ACTATGTGCAAATAATAAAATAGGCATACTTCAGATTGATTGCCTTATTGTTGCAATCTAAAGTTGTTGTACTCCTATTCCAATGATTCATACATTTTTGATACTTTCTTCATCTAAAGCGATTACTCAGTATACTTTCTATCTATTTTCTCAATATCATTAATAAGATCATTGTTCTTCTTCATCAAGGAATCAATCAGCTTATCCTTTTTAGCATTCTCCAAATTGAAACCTTCATTTTGCTAAGATAAATTCTTGATGATTGTCTCCTGCTTTAATAAAGTGCTTTTAAACATATCTTCACATTCCTTTAGAGTTTACATTACATTATTCAATTCCTCATTCGATTCCAATAATTGTTTCTATAAATTTGATTTCTCTTACTTCAGAATTTGCTCATCTTGTTTTAATTGCTTATTTATATCTGTCAAGACTTACATCTTGTGATTAGTTTCATTCATCAATTACTTAAGCAAAGTGTTGTTTTTATTTAATTCCTCTATTCTCTTTTATTATTCAATCATTATTTCATTCAATTCCTCCAACTAATTTATCAACTTCTTCAATTTCTAATCACTATGTACTACATCCTTGCTCTATGCATTTATTAATGTCTGATGCTACTTCTCCAATGCCACATAGGCCAAAGACAGACGCTCGACCTCAGTTGAAACAAGCACGAAATTCTTCATCACTGTCCACTTTTCAATCAATGAATCTTGTCTCACTAATTCTTGTAGATTGGTCTCCAATTCAATCAGATTCTTTCGTAATTTAGCATTTTCTTCTAACAGACATGCTTCGTTATTATTTTACATTTTTTGAAATAAATATTAATTTTTATGTTTATTCTTCGATATGGATTATTACATTATTCATATTTAATACCTTAGAATTATTTTTTACAGTGAAGTTCTAAATTATTAATTTCTTTACCAATTTTATATAATAATAATGCAATTAAAAACAAAGCTATTGTTAACTTAATTGATGTTATAAAATTTAATTACTCTGATTTAAGCAGGGAATTAAGAGCATAAAGATGTTATGGCCATAACTCAAAATTCAATTGGATTGTTATTGAACCTGATTATTTTTTGTTCAGAATATGCAAAAAAAAGACAAGACTTCATCAACATTTTGATTCAAATCAACATTATTGTTGAATTAGAGACTGTTTTTTACAATGTGGACAACATAACTAATTACTTCTCCCTCATCTACTTGCTGATCGTAGAAGATGTTTTGAAAAAATAGCACAAATGTTATTAATTTTTAACTCACACAATTTGCATCTATGTATCTATTAGACTTGGAGCTTAATTCTATGAAAAATTTACAACCCACAACTTTGCTCTATTTGTTCTCTGGCAACCACTCAACCATCTGATATTTTATAAAGACAATCAACCAAATGAAATTAGAAAACCAAGTCCCACTTCTCTATCACAAAGACAACCCAATCACAATGCTCACTTCAGTTACGCAGAATAAATCCAATAGAATCTAATAGACGAGAAATCGCCACAGGTAGAAAGAAACATCAATGTGGCTCTTGATGAAGACCTACTCAATTGTCTCCCATACGGATTGGCTTTGATCGACACTAATTTCCAAATTATCAAGCACAATGAGAAATTAATGAGTTATTTGATGATAAGTGAATCCGATTAAATCATGAATCACTTAGATCAATTACTATCCAAGTAAATCTATTTTTTCACTATTTCAGCGCTGAATTAAACTCCGTAAAAACCACTCCTCATACAAAGCAAAAGCCTCACATAGTTCCCTTGAGAAAATTGAAACAGAACTCAGCCAATCACAATTAGAATAATACTGCCATCAAATCTAACAAGACTAACTGGTTGTCTGATAGATTGAAAGTCAACATTCAAAATAAGGGCTCATTTTAATCCAGCATACATGATACAACAAATTATTCCTATGTTCAATTTGTGATGAACGAATTTTTAACTAAGAGTCACAGACAACTTAATCCTTCAGATAATCAGTCTGTTGCCTCTGATTAGACTCGCATGTTTAAGTTTCATGTAGTCAAGGATTTCCATGTAAAGAAGAAACATTTTCAAATAAAAGTGTATGAGGTAAAATTGTAAACGAAAACCAAAGATCCAGCGTTCTTATTCATAATTGAAAACATCACTGATAAAGAAGAATTGAAGGAGTTGACTCATCGATTTAAATTTCAATAGGCTTTATTAAATTCTTTCAGTCATGAATTGCGAACACCCTTAAATAGCTCATTACCTCTATTACAAATTTTAAGTAAAAAAATTGATGACACTCTGAATGACAACTATTTATAACTTGCAATAATCTCTTGTCGTAGATTACTTTTTTAAATAAATGACATTTTAGATTATGCTTAAATAGAATGTGAGGATTTTAAACTAAATTTAAACAACTTTTATGCAAGTGAAATTTTTGAAGATCTGAAAGGATTATTTCAATAGGAATGCTCTTAAAAATAAATCGAATTGATTTTAAATTTTAATGATCAAATAGTTATACATAGTGACAAATTAAGAATTACTTAGATATTGGTGAATCTAATGAACAACTCAATCAAATTTACAAAACAAGGAGGTAGGATTATTTTGTCCTTGAAAAAGAGAGAATCTTAATGCATCTTCTCTGTTTGGGATAATGGTGAAGGGATCTCTAGCGAATAGATGTTGGCCCTATAAAATCAATTTGTCCAATAATCCAAAGGTTCAATTAAAATGGGATTGGGCTTGAGAGTTTCTAAAGGAATAGTAAAATTCTTAAGTGAAGATGGGGAATTGCAGATAAAAAGCGAAAAGGGATTTTACACAGTAGTGAGCTTCTCAATTGAGGAGTCTGTCAGTACAATAGTGAAAGAGGAGGAAAGCTCGATACGAGATGTGGAGGATTTAGGATCAGATTCTAAGAATTCAGCATAAAGAGTATACATTTCATCAAGGAAATTTCTGAATCATTGCGAATGCATTTAAATATTGATAGTCGATGATGTACCTTTCAATCATATCACTTTAATGGCATTGCTGTAAACATATGGATATAAGGCAGATAGTGCTTATGATGGGGATTCTGCAATCAAGAAAGTGAAGTAGAGATAGTAAAATGGGTGTTGCAAGGTTTACAAAATAATATTTATGGATATTGAAATGCCAGGGAAGAATGGATTCATTGCTAGTAGTGAAGTATTAAATCATAAATTAATTAGAGATCTCTAAACTATTGAAAAATGAAAGATAAAAGTCGATTATTGTTATGTGTTCAGCTTATAATGGTTAAGAAAATGCAGAGTTAGCTCAACAGAGTGGAATGAATGAAATTATTTCGAAACCTATTTCTTTGGATTCTTTATAAACACTTTTAGTGAAATACTTTTGTTGAATTTTTTGAACTTTTTTAATTTATTATGTAATCATATTCCATTGAATTCTACAACCATTGGTTTTATGAGTTTATTAAGATTTGTCTGATGAAATGGGTTGAAATTAGAAGCTCGATATAATCCGTAAATCTTTTCGAAAATAGCCAATAAGTTTAATTTTTCTGTTCCTTGCTTGATAAATATGATCATTTTCAATTGTGTTATCGTTATATATGCATGCACATCATAATCATTATTTGGTAAATAGATTGTATACAATACTCCTAAATATGGTTCCGTTGATGTTCCACCATTCAATTTCTTTTATAATGCAGGGCTGATTAATTGCAGAGCTGTGTAAGTTTGAAATTTGAAATGCACCTGGTCCTCATTATTGATGTAATAATCAATGAAGCTGAGTTTGTCCTATGAATCGATTATAGCAATACAAGCAATAGACATTTTAATTTAATTTTATATGTTAATTGAGACATTATACATATGGATAATCTGGTTGATATTAAAAATACCTCAATTGGAAATCAAAGACACCATTGATGTTGAAGTTTACGACGAATTTATGATAAGGAATGCTAAATCTAAATACTCTCTATTCCACTCCTTTTTGGATAATTAAGAAAACAAATCATAACCACAATTTAAAGTGAGGCTAACACAGAATTATTTGATTGTAGATAATTAAACCATTATTGAATATGACAAAGAATGTATAGATTCATAGAGTATGAGATTTTAGAGTGCAATAATTGAACAATGAAGATCAAAGTGTTTGCCAACTGAAGAGAAATCACACAAATATGAAAGAATTACTATTGAATTTTTCAGTCATTAATTATTCTAATTGTTCAATCGCATACATGGATGAATAAACAAGAATTACAAAAAATGATATAAAATTGTCATTTACTAATTGTAAAGATATTAAAGTGATTGATTAATTCAATTATTTTCAAAAAGGATAACTCGTTATTATTGTATGTAGAGTATTGACAGAAGCAAAAATAAAAATTCTTTATTACAAAAATTATGAATAAGATTTCTTATAACTTTACTCATACAAAATATCATTCAAAGAATTGCCAAATTTATTTATCAGATATTAAGCACATGAATCTAAACAATTTATTCTGATTATAAATGCTTATATGTTACATTTTACAATTGAATAAATATCCTTTTATAAGATTGATCAAGTTGATGAAATCTAATTTTCAGAGGATGGAACATAAATTTATGCTGTAATTTAACTCTTATTATCAATAGATGAGAAAAAGTGTTATTTATTAATTATAATTATAAAATCCTAAAGTACAATTACTTGAATTGTTTGAATAATAAAATAAAATCAAAAATAGTAGAATTTTAGCATTTAGATGCTGGAATCAAGGAATATTAGTATTAACAGATAAGGGATATTTGAAGTATCTTGAAGTTTTAAATAATTAATAATTTCATAAAATTACCATATACGATGGGTTTGGAGTTATAATGATTTTGATAACATTGTTTTCAATAATAGTAAATTATTTTTGATAAATTGACATGAATTTATGAATTCTTTTATTTATAAAATAATTTTAAGAATAAAGAGTGGTATATTATGAAATAGAAAAATAAGAAACCAATCTCTGAACTTCTGAAGTAAAAAAGAATCGCAGAACAATAATCATAACCTGTTTAATAGCCCCCTTCACCTCCTTCTCGATCCTCTTCATCATGCTCATCTAAAACATCCAATCCATATGAAGATAGTAGTGATGCTGAGGATTATGAGGATTACAAAAAAGATGGTTATCATCCTGTTAGTATTGGCGATAAATTTCATAATGGAAGATTTTAGGTGATTCAAAAATTAGGATGGGGTCATTTTTCAACAGTTTGGTTAGCACATGATAAATAATCCGAAACACATGTTGCATTGAAAATATAAAAAAGCAAATAGAGTTATCAAGAAAGTGCTATTGATGAATTAGAACTTTTGAAGTATTTCATTCAAATTAATGTAGGGATTTATAGAAGCATTTGAAGGATGAAAAATGGGTTTAGTATTAACAGCAATTGTCACAGATTCCAAAATTGGATTACTCAACCTTAAAGTGGTATGATCCAAATATCAAAAATACAGAGTAAGATATGGAAATTAAAGTGAAATTGAATGAAACATACTGTGTGGAAATGGTTGATAATTTTATTCATTATGGGATGCATGGAAAACATTACTGTACAGTTTTTGAAGTCTTAGGGCCATCCTTATTAGATTTAATTATACATTTTGATGATTACGATAAAAGAATGGGAATGTGGTTAGTAAAATAAATTACAAGAGAACTCTTAATTGGATTAGTGTATATGCATGAAGTCTGTAATATCATCCACACAGATTTGAAACCAGAAAATATTATGCTTTAATTGAAACCATAAAATTTTGGAGAATTTGTAGAATAAATGAAGATGGTTAAAAAGAAACCCATAAGCATGAAATTCTTGGAAACATTAAAAAAATCAATGAAGTCAACTAATAAAAAATAAGAAAAAAGAAAAAAGTAGAAATAAAAGAAACTGTAATAGTAGTAAGAAAAAGATTAGTAAATTTAGAATTAACAGTAATAGTAATAAAGTGAATAACTTTAAGAATAAAAATTAGAGGATATATAGGTCTCAAATTAAGAAACAAATAATATTACAGTATAATAAACTGTTTAAGAAGATTAATAATAATAATAATAATAATAATAATAAGAGGGCGTGGAATAAAATTCAACAAATGTTTAATCAACTTTAACTGATACAAATACAGAGGAAGATTCCTAATAAATATAAAATATTGATAATAGTTAAAGCTAAACCGAACAATAGGATAATATCGATAAAAATGTTTTAGAGTAATAATAAAAGGAAGAAACTCATCATATACATAAACATAGAAATTTGCAAAAAGAGAAAGAAAAAGCAATGAAGGATAAGAAGAAAAGTCATAGTTAAGAAGAAGAAGTTTCATCAGATGAGGACGATGATCAAGATTGGAAATCGGATGAGGAAAGTGAAGAATCAGAATCAAATGAAGTAGATGAAGAGGCATTGTACACTTTGAAGTATTATACTATATTTATGATTAGATGGAAAGAGCATATAAAAATAAAGTTAGATCGAGATCTATCAATTAAAATTGTTGATTTTGGAAATGCTTGTTGGACTAATAAGCATTTTACTGATAATATTCAAACGAGAGAATATAGAGCACCTGAAGCTATTTTGGGAATCGAATATGATACTAGCACTGACATTTGGAGTACTGCTTGTATAGTTTTTGAATTACTCACAAATGACTATCTATTCAGACCTAGAAAGGGTAAAGGATTTAAGAAATCAGAAGACCATTTAGCTTAAATGATGGAGGTGTTAGGGAAGATGAATAAGAAATGGGCATTAAGTGGATCTAACAGTAGAGAATTCTTCAACAAGACTGGCCAATTAATTAATATCAAAGTAAATAATTGCATTATATTTAGGAATTGCATCCTACATCTATTAGTAAAATATTAATGAGTGATTATGGTTTTTCATATTATGAAGCAAATCAAATAGAAGATTTTCTTGTGCCAATGTTAGCATTCGAGCCAAAGAAAAGAGTGACAGCCAGATAGGCGTTGTAACATCCTTGGCTTTGGTCTAAATGATCTATTATATGTGATTTATTCTAAGAAAATTGCACTAAATAATAAATGAACAATTATTGGTTCTTTTTTGTGAATGAGAAATTAATAAAATTTAAATCTTTTTAAGTCATATACTTTTTAATTATTAATTCAACAAATGCTTTCAAGTTTTATCTTTCACTTTCGAATAAATAATTAGCTCATTATTTTAAATATATTTTCCTGAAGATGTCAAAAATGTGTTTTAATATTTCTATTAATATTATGAGTATGTAATTGAAAATATATATGAATAAATATGAAAAATAAAATTGTAGAAAATTTAAAATGAAAAAAGAATAGAAAAAGTAATAGACTTAAATAAAAATAACTCGATCATTAAATAACTGATTTGTATCTATATTAATCCCATTGGTTAGTTAGATATTCTTAACCCTAAAATTTATTTGGATAGTACAAGCTCTTAATCTACATGATTGAATGTGGCTTATGAGATAGAATGGACAGTATAGTTATTTATAATCATGCTGTTGGTATATTGTTGACACCTCGAATCGCTAAGATAAAAATTAAAATCTACTTAAAAATTCGTTTGATTTCGTTTTAGAAACCGAATTCTGATTCCTCTGTAATTAAAGGTTCTTCATTGTTGGTTGGATTTTCATGCGATTTCCAAACTTTATTGTCTAGTGGAAACTGCTTTGATGGTTTATTCTCAAATCTAAATTAAGATTTTTACATTAATTAAAAATAATATATATATATAAATTATATATAATAAAATCAAGTAGCCAACTCATCTACCAAAGATTTTGTACGTCTCTCATCTTTCTGTTCGGTTTCAACATTATCTTCTTGCTTCTTTGTAGGTGCTGTAACAACCAATACACAGCCAGCAAAACAAGATATTGATGGTACAAGAACTGTCAACCAACGAACCAAATTTTCATCATCAAGTACACTTCCATATGAACAAAAGAACAAGACTATTCCAGAAGAAATCTTATCCAGAAAACTATATGCTCCAAAAACAAAGGCACCGCTTGATCCCTTTAATCCAATCACATCACTAATAAGCGTAATTCCTGTATTCAAAGTGATAGCTTGAGCTATGCCAATGAATGGTGACACAACATACATAAAGTATGAGTTTTTTTCATTTAGGAATATCAAAGTTGAGGATGAAAGCAAACATAAAACTGTCCCAATTCTTCAATAAAAAATAAATGATTACGTCAATGTGACTTTTTTGCCTAACACTTGATAGAACTTCGATAATGAAGCACTGGTCAAAACACTCATGATATATAGAGAGAGAGGAATCAATGCAACTTAAATGGGGACTTTGACTTCTTCTGAATCCGGATCAGTGAACTTTAAAACACTTGCAATGTAGAAGGAAATCATAGTTGATGAAACATTACAATACAATCTAAAAAACATGTAAACCATTCCGAATCTATAAAATGCCATTTAGCTAAACCATTCTCTTTAAAATTTAAACAAAAATATTACTTCCAATCATGCACATCCTCAGACATAGAGCCTCTATTAGCCTTTTATTTATGTAAGCTACCTTCTCCTTCATCATCTGTAAATTCAACATCTGTCAATTTGACATTTCCTTATCCATCTATTTGTGATTCAGAAGTAGATTTTTATAAATCATCACTCGAAAATGTATTCTTTTATTCATCTTGAACCTATGTTCTTGTAATCTTTTAGTCCTAAGCAGCTTTTGTTGGATTGCTAACTCCATTTTATCTCTATTTGAGATACTAAATTATTTATATACTTCTTTAAGAATTCTTAGCAAAGTTCTTGCAAATTTTGAACAGTCTGACGTTAGTTTAGGTTCATTTATTTATAATATAAAAAACACTGATGTTGCTGTCCCAATTGCAACACATATCAATGATAAATATTGAAAAGCTTATGCTGAATCAGTGCCATCGGTACTGTTTGCCAATTAAAAAAATATTAACTAAAATTATTATGTTTTTTTACTGCCGTCACATACACTATTAATACGGCTATGAATTAAAATGTATTTCTTATGGAGTTTAATTTGTCTCTTCTTGATCTACTGCATGTTAAACTTGGAACCAAAGACATATGACTTATTTGTAATGAGGCCCAACCAAAATTAAAGATTGCTGGAAATACGGTATAATAAATGGCCTTGATTTAATTTGTATTTGTTACTTATACTACTGTGTTATCCTTCATATTCATCCAATCCAATATTAAATTTCCATTCCAAACTGGCAAAAATGAAAAGATTATCACAAAATATCCCCTTGCGAAATATACACTAAAATACCCTATGTACCACGGAATTCTCTTTCCAATTGATGTCTTTGTTCTATCACTATAATATCCCACCATTGGTGTTGCCAATGCATCAGCAACTTGTCCTGACAACATTGCATATGACCCAAAGTCAACCTGTATTATTCTTTTCAAATAAAATAACAGATAGCTATGATGATTATAAACTCGATACTTAAACCAACACGCGGCTGATAAATCATTAAGCATATGACCCATGCAATATGCCCAAAATTATGATGTAGTCAGACTGTCGAATTTGTACTTCTTATACCCGATTTCTTTTTCGTTGAGTTGACTCGCCTTATTCCAATCCATTAAAGAACTTGTCGAGCTATTATCTGATTAAATAAGTCTATCTGATGACATTTACAAATATTTATTAATATTTCCAATTTTTGTTTTATATAGGAATATCTCAATTATTACATCATAAAATATGTAATAATATGCAAAGTGTTTAAATTTATGTGTTAATCCCCAATATAATACTATTTTAATATTCAATTTTTTATGGAAAATCTATATTTACTTTTACATTAAAATTAAAAACTGATAGTCTGCCAATACTTTGGATCAAATAAGCTCATAGATTCAATATTTAGAAAAGTCAATACAGACACAAAGAATCAATACAACTTTGCTTAAGTTTATTAATTACAATATATGAGAAGGGTAAATTATTATTATAGCATAATTCTATATATACTTATTGTCATTAAATGAAATTAACCTAAACGGGACAATATATTTAATCAGTATTGTAATTTTGAATTTTTTATATTTGTATTTGAGATAAATGTATTTACATGAGAGATTCACATTTATACTGTAAATACTAATTTTTAAATAATATATATTTAACTTAAAACATAATAGATTAATGAAATTTCATGCTCCTTTAAAGAATCTTAGACCATCTCTACCTCCCCACCAGCCTCTTACCATGATCTACCAATAAGCAATTGGAAAGAAATCTTTTTTTAAATGGAACATCAATCGACTTTCGTTTGATTAAAATATAGGAAAAGTTTCATCAAGTTCTGAATTATATTTAAATTCTGCCAGTAATAGTTTGGACTAACTTGTAAATATTGGGCATGAAGNTTGATCTACTGCATGTTAAACTTGGAACCAAAGACATATGACTTATTTGTAATGAGGCCCAACCAAAATTAAAGATTGCTGGAAATACGGTATAATAAATGGCCTTGATTTAATTTGTATTTGTTACTTATACTACTGTGTTATCCTTCATATTCATCCAATCCAATATTAAATTTCCATTCCAAACTGGCAAAAATGAAAAGATTATCACAAAATATCCCCTTGCGAAATATACACTAAAATACCCTATGTACCACGGAATTCTCTTTCCAATTGATGTCTTTGTTCTATCACTATAATATCCCACCATTGGTGTTGCCAATGCATCAGCAACTTGTCCTGACAACATTGCATATGACCCAAAGTCAACCTGTATTATTCTTTTCAAATAAAATAACAGATAGCTATGATGATTATAAACTCGATACTTAAACCAACACGCGGCTGATAAATCATTAAGCATATGACCCATGCAATATGCCCAAAATTATGATGTAGTCAGACTGTCGAATTTGTACTTCTTATACCCGATTTCTTTTTCGTTGAGTTGACTCGCCTTATTCCAATCCATTAAAGAACTTGTCGAGCTATTATCTGATTAAATAAGTCTATCTGATGACATTTACAAATATTTATTAATATTTCCAATTTTTGTTTTATATAGGAATATCTCAATTATTACATCATAAAATATGTAATAATATGCAAAGTGTTTAAATTTATGTGTTAATCCCCAATATAATACTATTTTAATATTCAATTTTTTATGGAAAATCTATATTTACTTTTACATTAAAATTAAAAACTGATAGTCTGCCAATACTTTGGATCAAATAAGCTCATAGATTCAATATTTAGAAAAGTCAATACAGACACAAAGAATCAATACAACTTTGCTTAAGTTTATTAATTACAATATATGAGAAGGGTAAATTATTATTATAGCATAATTCTATATATACTTATTGTCATTAAATGAAATTAACCTAAACGGGACAATATATTTAATCAGTATTGTAATTTTGAATTTTTTATATTTGTATTTGAGATAAATGTATTTACATGAGAGATTCACATTTATACTGTAAATACTAATTTTTAAATAATATATATTTAACTTAAAACATAATAGATTAATGAAATTTCATGCTCCTTTAAAGAATCTTAGACCATCTCTACCTCCCCACCAGCCTCTTACCATGATCTACCAATAAGCAATTGGAAAGAAATCTTTTTTTAAATGGAACATCAATCGACTTTCGTTTGATTAAAATATAGGAAAAGTTTCATCAAGTTCTGAATTATATTTAAATTCTGCCAGTAATAGTTTGGACTAACTTGTAAATATTGGGCATGAAGTATATCCTAAAATTATTGTTTTAATAATAACCTAAATATCCTGGAAGCGGATCCTGTTTAAGTTTCCAACTTCTTATTAAGTTTTTAACTAAAACTGGTGTTTAGGCCATAACAGCGGCTGCTGTCTTTGAAGTTGGAAGAGAAGAACAATCTCCAAGTGACCAAATATTTTTGTATGTCACATGTTACAATGTATTCGGATGGACTTGTGTAAATCCAGCTTAATCTCCTAAACCACTTTTTGCTATGAATTAAGCAGGGGTCTTAATTTATTAATTTTGAATACTTAAGGTGGTACTAGATGTAATAAATCAAATGTGACAGATTTCAATTCCTTTGTATCTTAATTTTCAAATATGGCGACATGATCTTAAACTTCTACCAATTTCTATTTAAAATGGCAATTTATTTATTTAGTTTTGCATAATTCTGTTAGGATTTCAGCATATTTGGGAACTCCAAAAATAATTCCAGCTGTCTTATAGAAATGATGATGAGTCTTTATTCCTCTTTTATTCAATCGATCATGAGATAGATATATTATTTTTTAAGGAGCTCCTGCGCATTTGATTGGGAGAGGAGGTTCAGTATACACTATGTTTCCTCCTTCAAATTCCTGCACAAGTCTATTCATTTTTTCTGCATATTTATAATTATAGATTGAAGCAACAGGAGCATTTGAATCCTCAAGGTATTTTCGAGCACCTATTAATGATTAGAATGGACTTACCTTTGATTGAATCAAAATCGGTCGAAATTCCAGTTGCAATTACTAATTGATCATAGGTGTATATCCCTCCATCTTATGTTTCTATTTGATTCTCTTAAGGAATTATTTTAGTAACAGCGCTATCAGAAACTGAAATATTCTTGGGCAACACTTAATCCATAGGCTTTAGTGTCTTTTTTACGTCACACAATCCGCCACCTAAATTTGATTATTAAATTACCAATCATTGTCCATCCTGGTTAATAAGCATGCATCTTAGATGGCTCAAAAATTCTAATTTGCTATGGAATAGCATGACCATCAGCTACTAATTGAGCTGCCACATTTAGTCCGGCAGTTCCACCTCCTATTATAGCTATTGGTGAATGGACTTTTATTGCAGAAAATGCATATCCCCTCAAACAATCAATCTTTTTCATCTATAGAATAAATTAATATCTTTATACATTTATATGGATATACACTATTAAATGTATCTTATAATTAAAAATGATTTAAATTTTATTTTATATTAATATTTTTTAATGCATCATCAACTAAAACTAACAATTGGTTTGCTCAATTATATAATTATTTGCAAGTTTGCATTATTAATTATTTCTTATTCAAAATTAAATTATTTATATTGCTTATTCAAACTTTCTCAAAATATTCAATCATTTCCACTCCTCTAATTCTAGTTAATTTATTCATTTTCAGAATGTGTTAGATAATAAAAATAAGAACAAAATAAATAATTGCACAACATTCATTGGCTTAAATTTGCATTAACCTCTTTTTTTGTAATTACAAAATATAATATATATATATTTGATCTACAACTCTTTTTTACAATATAAATACATCTCATATACAAAGCCTACTGCTATCACTTATTCCTATACAATTAATCAAATTATTATAAAAACATATATTTCTGTAGTTTTAAATAAAATGGCTAATATTTATTATTAAATTAATAGCAAAATCATGAATGAGCTTTATTATCTGTTAATTCCTTAAACATACTTTTTTTTTTTTAATCACACAACTAAATTCTCTTCTCTCTCATTAAATTACAATTAATTATTCAATAGGTTCCATACATGTAAACTTATCGATTTGAAAATTAATAAGTCAATCTTTATTTTAAGAAATTGATGTTTTTGGAATGCTTTGCTATTTAACCATAATAAATATGAAAATATATGATACTAATTTTTGGACCATATTAAATAGAATAATTAATTTTGAAATTTAAATGTAAGTATTAGAAAAAACACTAAATATTATACAAATTAATGATATAATTCCAAAAGCAACACATAAATAATTTGAAATAAAAATTAATTAAAAACCTATTTAGCTCTCATAGATTAAACAGGCCTTTTTAGGCAATGTCTGAATAATACTAAAAAATTTAGTTTGAATGATTTATAATAAAAAAATATTACTATGAATCTCATAAATGTTATAATGTCATAGTTGTTAACCTTTAATTTTTCTATAGCAGTTTCTAATAAAAAGAGGGATGAACAAAATTGCATAGAGTATAAAGATTGAACATATGATGGAAAAAGCTATGATTGGTCCGCAACAACAAAAGAAATAAGGGGCTTTACTTTTATCGATTTTATTAATTTTGTTATCAACATAATCTCCAACTATTTTACTTACTTACATAAATTAATATCCAGGTAACCATATAATAATGAATAGGAGTTTGCATAATCCTCTTAAGATTTTAGGTATGTAGAAACATTTGCTCACCAATTTCCTAGTAAATTTTTTGCATTTATTCTTTTTCGAATATACTCTTGATGCGCATGTTTGACAATTACTTCGATATGGTTCATCTTAAAAATATTGATTCATTTATGGAAACAACAGAACTTGAGCAGATTTACATAGAATACAAAATTTAGTATTGCATAGTTGACATTACTAAATATTTATTTCTTGATTTGGATTTGACAAATTTAAACACACTCTTGGTTGAGTTAATATTTTACATTTTGGACATTTTTAAACTAGATGATCTTGGCAATATATTTTGAATTAGTTTAAAGCTAACTAATTACAATATTATTAATGTTTTTATTATGATCCATTAATTTAATTGCGACATGTATTACAAATTTTTGTTTTACATTATTAACATTAAACCATGTTCTTATTAATTTTCTTCAGGCTTGAAGATTCTATTGGTGAATAAGGATGAATTGTAAGTTACGAATGGCAATTTTATTTGATGCAAAACAAATCCCTTTATATTATTTTCCAACATTTAACCTATTAAAGTGATATAAATTAGGCTATAAGATAATGATTTAATTCTAAATTACAAAGTTACTTAGGACAAGGAATCCGATATAATTATGAAAACTATTGTTAAACATACGTATCAGTGCAATCAATACAGAAATAGTGATCATTCATGCAAATTTTGCAGCAAATTTTTTAAACGCAACAGATTTGGCATTCTTGAAACTTTAAATTATAAAATTTAGCATATGAATCTAAATGGATGAGTAATTTGGAACAATAAGGAATATCAGTTATCAACATATGCCAACAGATTCCAAGTAGCTGTTTGTCATTATCATTATTGTTGATAACATTATGACAATTTAAACAAACTTGGATTACTGTTTCTATACATTTAATTGTGAATAGTTCATCTGTGATTCCATTACATAAATTGCACGAAAATTAATCTTATTTAAATCCTGATTATTTTTTAAGTTTTTGTGTCTCGAATAAAATGAAGTTTTAATCCATGTTAGAATAATTAATTAGAAAATGCTGTAATTCTTAATCTATTTTATATAATATTATTTCTAATCAGATTAAAAAACAAATAATTTATTCAATTTATTTTATTTTAGCTGATGAGGTCTTAGATTAATAATTTAATATCTTCAAGTTTAGGTCTGTCTTCTGGATTAAATTGCATCATTTTTTTAATCATTTGATGAAGTACTTTATCAATTTAGACATAAGCTTTTATATTGATAGCTTCATTGAAAAATGTATCATATTTTTTTCTCTTATCTTCCTAATTTTCAGATTATTAAGATTTTTAATACTCAATCTTTGAATTTCGTATTTTCTAAATATCCTCTATTTATGATAGATCTGTATTTTGTAAAACTTTGTCATTTAATAAAAGTAACCAAATAAAACCCAATTGCCATATATCATAAGAAAAATCGTATTTCTCCTGAATACCTTCAGGAGGGGAATATTATTCATTGCACTCATATTAAGTTAAATTACCTTCAGAATCTACCTTCTTTGATCTATCATAATCAATAATAACACAGGTGATATCTTCTCTAAGAAGGTCATTTATATTATCCAAATTATTCTAACAATCAAACATATTGTTTTAAGGTTTTAAATCTCTATGAACAATTCCTTATTTATGCAAGGCTTCCAATGCGATAATCATTGAATAACATATCTTGAGATAGCCTTAATACGTTTTTTGATTTTGATTTTGATTTTGATTTTGATTTTGATTTTGATTTTGATTTTGATTTTGATTTGGATTTTGATTTTTATTTTTTTACAGTTTTCTAGGTCCAATGCAATTAGATGTTAGATGATAAAAACTAAATTTATGCTACTTTAAAAATAAAATCAATAAATTGCTGTATCTAATATAAGAATACAAATAGGGCTAATGAGGATTATTAAATTATTCTATTATTTCCACTTCTCTTAATTTATATTTTTTTTCTTGTTTGTATATTTTCATAGCTATTTAATCTTCCTTTACATTGTAAATAAAGGGAGGAGTTTTTATAAGATCAACTTTACATTCCTCACCTTATCTATGAACCTAATGTATCCAGGTGACTCCTAAATTTTCCTAGAAAGTTATTGCATGTTAACTTCCCTCATTTTCCTTATATCCAATTTCTTCTAACAACTAGTCTTATATTTTTTGCAGGTTTGTATTTTCTAATTAAACAATTACTCTATCGTAATTCAACTATTTTACTAAAAAACATTATTTCAAATACATATTGTTATCATCTATTTAAGAGCATGTTCTTCTCTTTAACCTTACTATATTTCATCATCCACATAAGATTTTATGAATGGAATAGCGATTTTAGCTATTTCACTTACATAAATTGTATCTAAAGTGATTGGAGGAAACATTACATCCTTTCTCTCTACCAATTCAATTAATACTTTATTTATATTCAAAAATACTAGAACTTAAATTAATTAATAGAAAATGCAGGTCCTTTACATCTATTGGTAATTTTTCTTTTAATCGAACTAGCCTTAAATATTCTTCCTAAATTTTATCATATATAAGCCCTTAAATTTTAGAACCATTTTTTTTCTGCTCCATACTAATATTATATTAATTATTAAAATTTATTTATATTGAAAATATCTTGAATTATAAAATCAAGCAAAAATTCCTGTTTATATTGAAGCTCAAATAAATATTGTAATGATTTGATCTAATCATTTTTCAACTAAACTTAATAAAAAGAACTTAGAATGAAATATTATCAATTATTAAAGATATATTGGATTTTAATTGCAAAAAATCATTACTTAATTTAAAAAAAAAAGAAATTAATACCATTAATTAATAATTTTATTAATTTTGTTTATTTCTTAATAAATGTAATAGAATTAAGTCTATTCTAAAACTCTAAAGGTTTATACATAATATATTCAATTTAAAAAATGGGTTAATCTCTTGCTTCCAAAAGAGACATTTTTAGTAATGATTAATAACTTTAATTGTAACCTCAATAAGAATTAGAAAAATGTATAAGACACTGTGGAGTGAGTAAATTTGAAGATTAAACATATAAAATTATTCTTCACCTTGAAAATGAAAAATATTATTAATTTCTATACAAATAACTAGATGATGGCAGTTTTGATAAAAAACAGCGTAATATTATATCTCAATAATAGATGGGTATTGTGGTGATCAACTCATTATAATTATGAATGAAGATTATCACAAAATGGCAAATGATAAACTAAAGTTGAAAGATGCTTTAATATTCTATGAAGAATCAAATGATCCAAATAATTTTTTTAAAAAAATTGTTGATAATGTTTAAAAAGATTTTGATGCACTTGAATATGTTTAAAATAACTTTAATAATGAAGAAAAATTGAATAATTCACAATTTACTTCAGTATTTAAACTTTGTAACTAATAACATCAATTGGTATTCGCTAATTCGCATATGAATTATCTTTTAGTCAATTTAGATAAATAAAAAATATAAAAAACATATTAATATCTAGTTTGTAGCCAGAAATTTATATTAGAAAAGCCACATAGTGAGAAGGATGTTTTAAACCTCATTAAAAAGCACAATGATGTGGATTCACTGATAAATGAAATTACAAAAAAATAATGAATTCTAAATAAATTCAAATCATATAATTTCCTTAATAATATATATAAAATCAAAAGATTGCACAATTTCCATAGCGGTTTACTAAAAATATGTAAGAGTTATTTATAATTACTTTCTGAAATGCATTCTGGATTTACCCTTTTGATTAACCAATTGGCTGCAAAATTACAATTGCTCATAGTCAATGTATAAGGAGTGGATCCAATTTCCCTAGCAATCTCTTATATTTCTCGAAATTCATAACGCTTGCATTATTTATCTAAAGGTTCTTCTTTTGAGTAATTATACGGAAACCAATCTTTATTAAGTTCGACAAACATTTCAATCAATTTTTTGTATCCGGGAGTTTCTTCTTAATTAGACCATGAGATTCCGACTATACTTACTCGGGATATACCATTATGAAATGATATGTATAACACTTTATCATCTTCTGAAACAAAATATATCTCAGAGTGTTAAGCCTAGAAAAATAACAATTTGAATTTGGTAGGCCTTTATTTGACAATCAATCTAGTGGCTTCTGCAGTATTAAATTGATAATCGCATAACTAACTATCTACAAGAATATGCCCAGAGTTTTCTTTTTTCATATTTTATAAATTCTATTATAAAATACTTAAACAAAAAATGTTTTTCTACTCATAATAATTTAAACATCAAGTAAAAAATGGGGAGTGTGTATGCAAGCGTATAGGCAACAGAATAGTTAGTATTGCCTAAATGTTTCTAAAATAATGGTTCAATTACAACTATCAAAGGTGAAGACTATGTTTAACTAATAACACATATTTTTTGGTAAATGGATTCTTAAAAAAATGTAATAATAGGAGTTAAACTTAAAAATTAAAATCTTATACGCTTTAAATATCTATATTAAGAGCCCAAAAGTTATCGGTAGCCGTAAGAAGATATTATATATTTTAAAGAAAAAGTAATTAAAGTTTAAAGAGTAGAATTAATTCCTTAACCATAAATAAAAGAGGAAGGGTATTTGAATAAATTTATCAGCCATTATAAAAATTAGTCTGACCCAGAATAACTAATAAACATATTTGTTTGTGATGGAGAAATTTAAGATTACTCAAAAGATTTAGATCTTAATGATAGCCGTGAAGGTAATTATAAAGTTTGTTACCAAAATTACTTGAATGAAAATGAGGTTATATTTGAAAGATAAGATAAAATGGACTATTAAAGTTTTGACTTTAAAAAAAATGGTGTAAAAACAGATACTAGACAATTTCTTTATAAATATGGAATTAAATTAAAGAATCCACTTGAGAATAAAGATGAAATTCTTAAATTATGCAAAAAGTATAACAAATCTGTTGTTAAATTTCTAGAAACAGAAAAATTATGAACCATTAAGTGAAATATTATATTCAATATACAATTTATTTCATAAATACCTTCTTTAAAGTATTTATAATTGTATTATGAAAAAAAGTCCATCATTTTTTCTTAATAGAATTATTAAAAATATGAGACAAAATTTTAGAATATAATTTAACATAAATAATCATCATCCTTATTTAGAAAAACAAGGTAGTACGACTGGTTTGGCCAACTTCATTGCTTTTCGCTTGTTCAGATATCTTAATGGTATAAATCCAAGTCTCATGTAAAATCTAAAAAAATTATAATAATGTACCTTGTCACATGAATGCAATCTTTACCACAGCGTTTATGTAGGTTTGAGAATTTATTTATAAAATTTTAAAATTCAGCATAATCAATGTTTTATTCATCAGCTCTTTAATAAAATTTGTTAATCGTTTGTGTTATTTATGTTTATTTTTCCTTGAGATTTTTATACATATGTTTGATAACATTGTCATTTAGTTCTTCAGTAATTATATTGCCTGAGTTATTATTTATGGCATTTCTTATAATAAGTTCTTCTTGTTACTCTGGTAAATCGAATAACACTTAGTCAAACATTAATCTCTCTTCTTTTTATTTTTTTTCAAATTCATCCTTTTATTTATTGATGTATTCTCTTGCTTATCCTTCTTATTTTTTAATTTCGTCATTATCTATTGTTGTTTATGGCCTTTAGTTTAGAGTTTCAGTTTAAATGTTTGGATCAATGTGAGTTATGAATTTTGCAGATTCAAATCCAGGCCATTTCTATTTATTATCAGTTGGTTTATTACTATTATTTTAAGTGCTTAACTTTCTTGGTGATTTATTATATTTATCTACTGAATCTATCTCTAAATTTGGAAGTTTGGCTCTTTAATTTTATTGTTGTACTTATTTCTTAACCTCCGATATAATACCGATTGAAGTTATTTCTTTATCAGGTTTTATTTAATTTTCTTAGACATATTGAAATTATTACTAAATTGTTTATATTGGACTTGCATGAATTACTTATTATTATTATTATTATTATTGTTATTGTTATTGCTATTACTATTATTTTTTAGTTGTTTTTTCACGATCTTCAGATATTAAAAACTTTTATTAACTTAATTATTATTAAAATTTCGTTTATTGTTAGGGTGAAATAATTATTTATGACTCTTAATGTTTTTATTAAATGGGATTACTGATTTCTAAATTTTATTTATGATTACTTATTTATTTAGGTATTGCATTGATATCTAACTTTTCTTAATTTTGATTCTTAACTTTGATTAATCGAGATGAATTATTTGGAGTATGGAATTGAACATTATGATTTGATTATAAGATATTAATAATAGGTTTATCATGTAGACTAGTATTATGAATTGCTATCTTGTTTGAAATCAATTCATTTTCTATAATCCTTTCATATTTATATTATTCTTATTATTATTGGGATATAGATCTGACAGGTTATCTGTCAGTTAACATACCAGAATTCTATTAGGGATTACTAGTCGTTTAATAAATATTCGAGACAGCCTCATTTGAATTATTTTAGTGTGAAACTTTTCTTTTCGATTTCAACTTTATTGAATTGGTTCTTTTTTATTTATTATTATTTTTGGTTTCCACAATTTATTGGACATTTGAAGAAGTTCTTCTTAATCTTGATTGCTTTTTATTTTCAGGAGAAATTTCCTCCATTCCTTGATTGCTGTCGTTAAAACTAGATTAACTTGTATTTTTGGAATGTTTTCCTTGAGTAGCAGCTTATTCAATAGGAACAAGTAGAATATGCTTATTTTCATCAATCTCTTTAATTTATTCTAAGTATAAGACCTTAGGGGAGTTTAAGTCCTTAGTTGATAAGAACTTTTACTTTTGAACTTGCTCAACTTAGTCTATCATTTATTGAGAGTAGAATGGTTTTGAAACATTCATAGGTGATCTTTAATCATCTAAGTCAGATTGTAAATTTCCAAATGATCTTCGCTCTTTAATCAACAAATCATTCTCTTCGATATCTTTAATTAAATCAAACATATCTGAAAGTTGTCGCTCTCCCTTTTGCTCCACTACATATTATAATTGTGATAATCTTCTGTCTTTGTTAGATTTATCTAAAGCATTTGTTAAAACAATCAATCGTTCTATCATTTTGTCCTTCTTGACCAAATCATTAAATTATTCATTATTTAGATTTTCCTATTATCCTTAATTCTGTAAGACAAATGGTTATAGCGAAGGTGGTTTCAATATTCTGGAATAAGATTGTCTTTCTTCCTTTTGCACTCTTCCATTAGGACTAGACATCTACATATCTTATGGTTCATCATTTTATGAAAAGTTAACCATAAAACTTGATTATCTCTAAAATACAGTACTTCTTCTAGATTAGTTTTATTGTTAATCAATCTTCTGCTTTAATTCTTATTTATCCTATAAATGCTATTTGATTTAACTTTCAAACAGTTTTATCTACAATTCGAGACTATGTATGGTTCTATCCTTCTCCTTTAGATCCGAGGTTTATTTAGTTAGCTATTACACTTATTATTCTGTTTTGTTCTATAATGATACAATCTCTCCCACATAGATCTAACAACGACAATCATCTCTGTTCCCTAGTGTTGTCTATCTATTGAAATGATCTGCTGTCTGAAATTTCCCCTTTTTAAATTTCTCTTTAAATAAAGCTTTACAATAGAGAAATACTCTTTCAGCTGTTTATTTCTGAACTTAAAGTATGTGTTACTTTACTTGTTCTTCCACCTAGTCATAATTCTCTATTGTATCTTTCAATAGACTCAAATCCACACTCTTGAAAATTGAATCAATGTCCTCCTTTTTGAATTTGATGGCATGCAAAAGCTTATTCAATTCCTCTGGCTTTCCTTTTTCCTTGTATTATTGTAACACTCTACTGGAGAGAGCCTCCCCCATCATAGCTATCGATTCATTTGCGTATTAAATCATGTTCTCAAATTCAATCTATCGATCATACGATCCAGATAAGACATTTGTACAATTTTAATAGTAATCTTCAGTAGTGCATGTGGATTTGTCAATAAACTTTTTTTATTATGTCTGGCTTTACTATTAGGCTTCATACCACGGCACTTGAGTAACATTTTTTATTTTGATATTTGGATTACCTTACTAAGAGATTGACACTCCACCAAAAAAATTCTACTAAGAATTTGCGCATTAGATACAATGATCTATTAATTGTATAGTTGAATTGTGATTATTCTTTTTTGGCTAGTTTTTTTACTCCCTGCTTTTCAAAGCTTACATTAAAAGATTGTGGATACAAACAAATGTTTTTTCTATCAATTAACTTACATCGATATTTATAGCTTATTGAATCAGCAATGATGTCTCCGCATTTACTTAATTCAGCTCTAATGATAACTATAAAATTTAAAAATCCTTTCATTACATCTGAAAATAGTTTGTAATCAAAATTTTAGTTACTTTGAAATTACTCCAATTTAGTAGATATCTAATTTACGACAGTAGTTAACTTTTTTATTTAGAACTCCATTAAATTGAAATATTTTATAATGAATTTCGCATTAATATATTTTAAATGGAGTCTAGTATTTTAGCTACTCAAAGCCTCTACATCAAGCAAATTTGAATTAAAAAATGCATATAGACACATGAATTATATTTTTGATATGATATATTAATCAAATAGTACACTAAGGGATTCAATACATCCTAGAAAGCATTGATTTGTTTAGCTATTTATAACTTAAATATAGTACACTATCTCTAATATCACGAAGTAATTATTTTTGATTGTTTGTTTGTTATTTCAAATAACTTTAATCAAAACTATCGCTCTAATGAAAACTTTGACTCACTTATTTGTATATTGGAAATGATGTATCTAATTGCATTTGGCTAATGCTCCCAATTAAGGACTTTTACGTTTACAACTCCTCCTATAACTTATCATTCTCCTTTAGATATTGAATCAATTTTGTTTGTTTATACTACTAACAATTTAACTACATTTATCTAAATTATTTAAAAACACAATTATACGTTATGATATATTCGCAATTTTTTAAGATCTACTAATTATTTCTTACCACATTAACACATTTATTATAAGTGTCCACTTAATCATTAGTAGATGCTAATAAACTCAATTTTTCATAACTCTTTTAGAGTTTCTTTTTATCATATTTCAGCCTTTCCTTTTATAATACCAACCACTAGATTTCTTGTTCGACACTGTTAACCAATTGATCCTACTCTTAGAGTTTAGGGGTTTGCTAACTACCTTTATGAGTCATTACTGGCTAAGACACATATAGTTTTGTTAACTCATTTAAGATATTGTCTTGTTCTTAGAGAGACTGTTAAAGGAAATTTATTTTATCATTTTAATTTAAAACCCTTATTATTTGCTCAATATTTACTTTATTAGAAATTCTTCATCTCTTTTAGTTTAATCTATGTTTGAGAGTTTAGATTTTAAATTCTCGATCTTCGTCCTGTATTCCTAGATCTGTAGTTCAAGTTCTTTTTTTTAAATCCTACTATCTGGGTTGATTTGAACTTTTAATTGAGAATTGTCCAATTAAGAAAAGCTTTGATTGGCCATAACAATTTAACTTAATTCCAATTTCTAAATTTAAAGCTCAGTACTCTTAAAAGTTTCAACTTTAAAGGCTTGGAGTTATTCCTTATAATAATTGCTGAGATAAACTCTTTCATTATCAATTTATTATTGTTTTAATTTTACAAAATTGGTTCTCAACATATTCTTATAATTAATAATATTTTCTGTCATTTATTCAAATTAAGAAATTTCTTCTTGTTTTACATCATTTTCCATATCATGGAGATTAGAAACTTTAGCCAATTCTAATTTTTCTCTATATACTTCTCTCAACCTCTTCTTTATATTAAATTCATTATTTTCCTTATATAAGTTATGTAATTCTTAAGACTTTTAGAGTTTGACTTATTTAAATTAAATAACTATGTCATTTTTTTTCTATTTTAATATTTCATCCATATTAAGAAGGATTTGTTAATACTCCTTTTAAATTTACTTTTCATATTGACCTTAAATCTTGAGCCATTTGGCCTTTAAATTTGATTGCTATTAAGACACCATTGATTGTTATTATAATTTTTTTTCATCTAATTCTTTTTAGGTAGATTTAATTTTTTATTTCAAACTCTATAATTTTGACTCCCATTCGCTTTGAAGTTATTGAATTCTTTGTTCATTTTTAATAGATTAGGCTGCTTTATAATCAAGTAATTTAGATGCAGATTATTCTGTTAATTTAGACTATTCAGTTATGAGTTTCTGGTCGGTTTCTTCTTGTATTTTGATTTTCAATTCTTCCTTTTAATTTAAAAACTTCTGTCTAATTTACAAGGCTTTTTCTGGAACATTTAGATTGAAATCTTCAAAGGAGGAATCAGATATTTCTTATTTATCCGATTCAAATTGTTTGGCTCTATTCATTTTATATAGCATCACAAAGGACTCTTGTTCTTTTTCATATTATGTAAGTTCAAATTTAAATTAATTATCGATTAATTCGAATTGCTCCTGTAATTATACACTCTCATTCAATAAGGGTACATCAGATAAATTACTCTGACTGATATCTGCTGCCTACGATAATTTCTTGTCAGTTTTCTGTGTGGTTTCTTGAGTGGTTGGTTCTCTCAACTATTCGCAGAGTCCTTTCAATTTCTTAGATGTTTTAGAGGGTTGACTATTTTGCACGTCTTTCTTTTTCTCTTCGATGTATTTGCGCCTCTAGTTTTGAATAAGTTTTACTTGAAATACTCATCCAAAGGGTGTTCCTATTGGAGAACCTTGGTAACAGGATTGTAATAGACGATGTCTCCATTTCTAAGCTAGGCTGGTCTCCAAGGGGGAGGGAGTGGTGTTTTTAATCCTTCTCTGGCTATATGAAAATACTTGGTGTCACTTCTTGGAGACATGCCTTCATAATTATGATGTTATTAAACCTAAACATTCAGCATATTCAAGAATTTCTAAATAATGGTTGTGTTTATTTACCCTCTCTACTAGGTTCATAGTCCTCGTCTATTTCTTCTTCCAAAATCTGAAATTCTGCTCGCATCATTATAAAATATAAAAATAATATATATAAAGTCATTTGATCGAGTGAAGATAATTTGCAAAATTCTTGTAGAATCTAAATGAACGATTAGCATAATTGTCATCAGACTACAAATAGAGCTTAATTTTATTTTAACGATTAGCACATGATTAGAAATTGTAAATTTGCGAGATTTGTGATAGTAGTTTCTACTATCTGGAACTAAATGGGCGAATAATATTCTTTTTTTTAGGTTTTTCAAGAGATTCATGTTGTATCTAAATATAAACATGCGATTCTTACTGATTATTCCATGTCTAAGATATCAGATTTAGCTTTTTCTGAGACTGAGGCATTCATTGGTCTGTCAATGATTTGCCACTTTTGTTTTAATTCTCTTATGTCTTTCAAGTGATTCCGATATTTAATTATGTGTTCATCATTCCAATTCTCTTATTCATGAAAGCTTAGTTACTTTTTTGTTTTGATCAACGTGTTCTCGAATTTGGACTTGTTTTAAGAACTCGTCAAGGGCATGACCTGTATCTTCTATTTACGCCAAAAGGATGAAGTTTTCATTTTTTATATAAATTATATTTTCTTAAGCATAAATCATTTTTTATTGACTTTTTAATAGTATCCAGTTGAAGACCTCCCCACATTGTTTGCTGATTTATTGATTCCATTATACTTTGAAGTCTGCTAGTTGTTATTTGGTTACTAAAATGGATAATAATAACCTTGTTTGTATTAATTTGAATTCATAACTATCGAGTTGGATTTATGATGAGTTTATTATGTATTTTAGATCTACTAGATTGAATTTTCTTAAGAAATAGTCCTGGCTACATCTTGACTGTGTTATCTGACTTGATTTCCAGATTGCGATTGCGGTCTCTAATTCTTCTTTTGCTATTACAACACTTGTTGTTGCATTTGTTATTGATAAATCAATTGTGAATCATCGACCCTGTTTAAATCTATTATGTCGTCTCGGTATTTTGGACTGGGATCCTTGTTTTTGAGTCTGAAATACAACAATTAGAGTACTTTTTATCATTCTCCTCCTCCAAATTGACTCCCAACTAGGCCAAATACTTGAGTTGCCACTTCTTACGTTGATCCTTCTTCCTCTGAGAGATGTCAGCATACAAAGACTCACGATAATCCTTGATGGTGAATTTCTTGTTGTCATTCATCGAAATTTTGAATGGCTGCAAACTCACAATTTCTTCATCTGGCTACGAGAATTCTAAAACATATCTGTGTTTTAAGGCTTGTTCTGCAGTCAATCTTGTTTTTGGATTATAGCACAGCAATCTTCGAATTAAATCAAGAGCTTCTTCTGTAGCTCCTGGGAAGAATTAAACAAATGATTTTTTTTTCGAGGCGTTGATGGAGGCTAGAATATTGGCAGCCAATTGACTATCCAAAGATTCCAATTCGTCAGCTTTTGGTTTCCCAAGTAACTCTATTATTCGTTCAATTTAATTCAAAGAGGATGTTCCTGGAAAAATGGCTCTTCCAAGTATCAATTCTCCGACAATGCAACCCACAGACCACATGTCTACTGCCTTACTATACTTAGTTGAACCAAGTAAGATTTCTGGTGCACGATACCAACGAGTAGCCACATATTCAGTGAGGAGAACCATCCCTAAAAATATATGTGATATTATTGAAACCATCATCTTCATTCTGCACTAGACTTCTGGCTAATCCGAAATCTGCAACCTTTACCAAACATTCGGAATTCAGAAGAACATTGGATGGCTTCAGATCTCTATGGATTAATTCACCTGAATGGATGAATTTGAGTGCCTTCAAGATTTGATATACTATGTATTTCTTGTGTATTTCTTCTAAAATATTGGCACGCTAATCTTCAAGAGGGACTTCTTACTATCACTGCATGCAAGTCAGTCTCCATGTAATCGAATACCAAATATAAATCCTTATTGTTCTCAGCCTTCATGATATTGAGCAAACGCACAACATTCTCGTGTCCATTCAATTCCTAGAGAAACATCACTTCCCTAAACGTTCTCTAGGCATCAGTGGCATTATGAAAAGCATCAAACACTTTCTTTAAAGCAACCACCTATTTGAAATTTCTTTTACAATAATACTTGCTTCAACTTCTTATCGATGGCCTTCCATACAACTCCATAGGCTCCTTTTCCTAATTTCTGGATGATCTCGAATTTCTTGGCTATGTAGGGTTCAATCTCTTCACTCATTTTTAAAATTATAATGAATAAAAATATATAATATATGATTATATCCTATATAATCTGAAATAACAATTTCACTTTAATTTGATGGCCTCCAACTCTTGTTAGACTTGATCAAAAGCCTTGATGGGTTTGTACTTCTCAGGCAATCCCTACTTAGCAAACTTGCCCAACGGTTGGAGAGTGACCTCAGAGTTAATGTGAGAGAACAAAGTTGAGGACACTCTCCAAGTACTCTTTCCTGCCTTCTTATTCTCCTCGAATCTCTTCTTAGCATCCTCCGTGTAGATGACCTATCACAATCGAAACAGAGAGAGTACTTCATGATAACCACACGTGACATAGCCTCCAGTCAGTAAATCAAATTGAGCTCCCGCTTACAACAAGAGATGTCCCTCAGGAACAGCAACGGAAATTCTCTCCCCATTCCTCAACCACACATACAGTCCAGGATAACGACTCTTGCCATGAATAGTCAAGAAATTGAGATCATAATGAAAACCTGCGAAGACAGTGCCGAGTTTGTGTCTCTCCATATCTGATCCAGTTGGAGCCAGAAGATGAGGACCTCCCTGCATCCTGGTAGTAAATGTATCAGCTGGTATACTCATGCCAATGGCAGCCATTTCAGCAACAGTCAAACATCCATTAATCATCATTTTCCCCCACTATTCCATTCTCTCTCCAAACTGAGGAACATCCTTCGGTCTGAATCTTGGCGGTTTAAAACTAAAATACTAAGAGTTATTAGTTACTCTTCGTCTTTGGTTCGTCTGCCTGTATCATCAATGGGCCAAAAGAACCTCCATTTGGCATCCTAAAATAAAATAGTTGATTCACTTACATAAGGAGCTGGCTGAGGAGTGTATGCTTCATTTTCCTTGGTGTTTTTGTCTAATCACATTCGAGTGTGTACGGGCTTTCTCTACGAACTCTGGAGTGGCCCCCACTTGATAGGAATAATTTGGAAAGATATCTTCGACCTAGAGTCTAGATAGGGAGAGTACCTTCTCGTCATTATAGAATTTGGCAGCTCTACTCGCAAAATACTTCTCCATCATGTCGAGGAAGTCAACATTATGACGATCGTTTACTCTGGGATCCTTGATGCATACAGCACCGTAGTTATGCAGAGCCTCAGCTACTTGGGCGCACTGAGCCGATGAGTCACCTTTTTTGGCCAGAAATGAAGTGACATCCACGACGGGAACTGATTTGGCAAATCTATAGGCCAATCTTGTTGTAAACATATAAATAAAAATAGTATGTCATTACGTATGAATCATATATTAATATAGTTTTTTTGTTCAGTAAAATCAGGGGGCTTCGTTGTCTCCACTTAAATACTTGTTGTTATCGACATTGACCAGGACGTCATCTTCAACACAATCCTAAATTTAATAATTTTAGATCTCCTTACTTGAGGCTGTTGTTGAGTCTCCTTTTCGACCACTTTGTAGAAACTAGGCAATTCATAGTGTTTCTGGTTCTTTTTCAAGTAGTCAAAAATAAACACGGAATTTGCAACTTAAATTATTGATTTAGTATCCAATCTCAATTCATCTATTTGTAGGAGAGTACCAAATTTGCTGCCCAGATCTTCTAAGAAGATTGATTCATCCTCTCTATTGAACGTTATCAGTGCGTGATTTCTAGACACACTGATATCCTGTAATTTGATGTCATTCTCTTGCACCCTCCCAATCTTAATGTTGTTTCTCCCATTCAAATTAATCACATACAATCCTTTCTCCTTGTTTTTATCAATGTGACTGATCCAAAATATAAAATACGCCTCTTTCGGTCTTGGAATGTCAATCAAATGATACTTCCTATTCTTAAACTTGTACTCCACTAGTTTTTGTATGTGATGTCATATTTACATTTGTATTGCTCCTTGCAAATCTCACAAATTAAATTGGACCAAAAGTAAAGGACAATATTGTTGAGTTCTCTGATCTTGAATTTGTTGTGGATCCACTATTGAAGACATTTGATGTGTATGTATTTGACAGATCCAGAACCTGCAATATGTTTAGGTAATACTCGTTACATTGGCATGGGTTTATCAGTGGGTTTTAAATTGTTCCTACTTTACTCATGCAGATCCTACATGAGTTTTCAGCATTGCTGTTATCACTGTCATCCAATCCATTGGCCTCTTCGTCCTTCTCCTTCTCGCTCTCCTCCGTAGCCATTGCCTAATTGAAACAGGCTTCCCACAATATGATTTTCACTCTTCCCAGTCTTATGGTTTGTCCAGGAAATAGTTAAACTCTCTTTCATATTATCGTAGACGTACATTCGTAACTGGAACTCCGTTCACTTGGTCATTCCTAATTATTGACCATATTTCCGTAATGGGTCTCAAAACCTTCTCCTTAATCACAAATAACTCTTAGGCTCCCTCTATCGTTTACTACCAATAAATGAGTGTTACATACATTTGGTTGAACAGCCAGAATGTTTTCTCCATACTTGCACAATTTCGTATCTTAAATCACCTACAATTACTAATAATGTGAATCATGACTAGAGTAATCATAAAGATGGTATTTCTTTTCCTTCTCCTTCCATATGTATACATCAACATGCAATCTAACTTTCTTTATTATTCTTACAATAACTGTTCATTCCTCTTACTCCCTGAACAAGCAACGCCCATTTATATAATAATTTTAATAAATAAAGAGAAATATCTACATTATCCAAATAGATTTATAACTAACTTAAGGAAGCACAATTTAAGAACTAATTCTAAATGTTATTCAATTTTCTTGGATTTCAAAACTATTTTTAGCTCTCCTTCTTATAAAGAGAAAAATAGAATAAACTTTTGGTAGGTGTATTGTAATAATTTTTTTAAGATTGGAAATGTAATTGCATTTAAATAATATATCAGCTTTTATTACATTATTATAAATGAGGGACAATGTAAAAATGTATTTAATAATCCACATTAATTATGAACAAATTATAATGATGAAAAATTATAAAATATTTGTATGAGAGATGGGAATGTTTGGAGAGAAGCATGCTCTGCTAATTGATGGTGCTGAGTTATTGAGATTTTTGTATGTTATTTAATTTAAATAAGATTTAAATTATTTTATTATGGCAGAGGTCGAACAATTATCAGAGGAACTTACCACCTTAAAAAGAGTCGTCTAAACATCATTACACAGAGGACAATTGGCTAAGGGAGTCCATGAAGTCTGTAAGGCTATCGAAAGCAAACAAGTATTGATATAGAAAGAGTGTAGGCCAAATTCGTAGTGTTAGCTGATGATTGCACAGAAGACACATACAAGAAATTGGTTATTGCTTTGGCAAAATAATTCCAAATCCCAGTTTGGAAGGTGGAAAAAGGAGCTTTACTTGGTGAATGGATTGGCATTTCAAAGTTCCTTACTAAGACAAAGAAGATCAAATCAAGAAAATGTTCATCTGTTGCAGTCAAAGACTTTGCAATTGAGGTCAGCGAAAATGAAAAGTAATTTGTCGAAGACAAAATTAAGGCATTGTGAAGTTATCTAGTACATATATATATATATATTAAAATTATTAAATGGATAAATTCAGCATGGATGAGAGAACCCTTGATCTCCATATCTTCACTCCTGAAGAACCTAAATTGGGTCCATACACCTACCTAAATATCAATTACCTTCCTCATCTTGCTTCTCATATTATGCGTAAGATATCTCACAAAGAATTTTGCTCGCTTATTGAGTTCGAACTGCAAACCTACTTACTAGAGTTAGCAATCTAGCCATAGAGAAGCAAAACAATAAGAGAATTAACAAGTTTTATAATCATGGAGATGAGACTCAGTTCAAAGTTTTGGATCCATGGAAGTGAAGCTTGGAATGAAGTGCAACTACGTGTAAAGTTGCTCCACACTCTGGAACCGAATTGTACTCAGGAATAAGTGAAAAAGAGTGGAGGCAAGAAATCATTATCAGAAATACTTTAAGATGCTCATGCCCTCAGAAAGTATTTGGCCTCCTTGGACTTTTCTAAGGTGGATTACAAGAGTGAATTCTTGAAGATTCCTGAAGTGATAGCCTTGATCTCAGAGTATGATCAAGCTAAGTATCAAATAACATTATCACATTTAGTTCTCAAAACAAATAGTTATAGGCAATAGACTCCTACAATGAAATCATTCAATCTCTTGTGGAATGCAAACAAAGAAAATATCAATTGAAATTGCAATAGCAAGTTGATCATGTGAAGAATTAACCTGTCGATCCGATGAGCAGAGTCACTTACATTTAAAATAAAGAGACCAGATCTGCTAAGACCGATCAGGTTTCATATAGAGACAAGAGAGCATTGCTTAAGGAATAGTAAAAGCAGGATGTCGATGAAAGAAGAACCATCTTTGTGCCGAATCAAGTGAACTCCTATTCTAAGATTGACTTGGTGATTCTACCCTACATATACAGGTTCATCTTTAGAGACAGTAATGAATTCACACGAGAACATTTGCGAATTCAAAATTTGGTGTTGTATTTGTGTTTGAGTGATCAAGAGAATTATAAGTAAAATAAATAGAAAAAGAACATCATCTTAGATGATAATGCTGAATCCAAGACATCCATGAAGTTATTTTAGAAGTATCTGGATCAATCAAAGGATAAATTGATGGCAGATTTTGATTAGTACTGCAAAGATCAAAATATCTGTTTAAAGAATTACTTTTCCAGCACCCCTGCTAGTTATAGAAAGGAATTACTCTTAATCAGAAACATACTGATCTTGTCACTAAGATTTGCCTAATAAATCTTAGGAATTGATTATAAATTTGAGGATCAGAAAATCGATTAGTTGGATTATGAGGAGGAAGAAAAGAACGAGAAATCTAATAGTGCTTATCAAAGATGGAACAAGGCTGATATGTAGAACGAATACTACTATTTTAATGTGCTTGCACAATTAGAATTGTATTATGATATTCCTTTTGATTAATATGATGATATCCTCAGAGTCTACAAGAATTACATTGAAATTGTATACACTTCTAAGAAGGAGCATTTCAAGGAATACTTTGGAGTCCTCAAAACCAATAAGGATGGTCTCTTAGGATTGAAATCCTCTATGGAATAAGTCAATTCGGCTATCGATGAATATCTAAATTATATCAATGCTCCTAAAACCCAGTAGAAGAGGTAAGTCTAATTTATGATTTCTTAGATCCTACATATATCATAGTGATAATAGGGAGGAATGGAAGGACGAATAGTATAAATAGTTCTTGGAGGGACTGTACAAATATTTTGAAATTGTAGTAAATAATAAGAAGATTGCCAAGTTTATGGGTGAGGTCAATCCCAATCATGTCAGATTCATTAAAGGGTAGTATTTGAGGGGATTGAAGAAGAGAGCAAAGGAAAAGAACATAAACAGAAAGGAGTTGTTAAAATAGGATATAGAAAACTTTGATATTTCAATTTTTGAGAAGAAATGATTCTTAGAATATATATATTAATCAACAAAGTTCTCCATCTGTGTGACCAACTATCTTGTCACAAACAGGACAATAATGCGTTTTCGAAGAACATTTCTACATGCAAAATGGCAATAGACCCAAAATTATTGTGCAAAAGCATAATATACAACACCATATAAATGTTGCTTTGCTATATGTATATTCTATCCTTGATATTCTTGGTTGGTTGCAAGTAAAACAATAGAATTCACATGGTTCTGATCTTATAATACACGCTCATAATTTTATACATTCCATTCAATTTTGTTTTGTATTTGAAATTTATTTATGATTACACAACATTCTCATCCATCAAGTGTGAATGCTCGGACATCTTTGTATATAAATAAATAAATTTATAAAATAATTTTTATATAAAATGATCTCAGATCAAGCCAAGTCAGGAGGATTCTCAAATAAATAATTGAATAGTGATGATACGCAAAGAGTGGGTGAATGTGTTAATCACAAACGATTACTTGAAGCCTTCTGTACAGTCTGTCATGTGTACCACTTTTCAAATATCATAGATTGATCTGTCCAACATGTCTCATGTTTGGAGATCACAAAGGACATTTAGTTGATTAGATGGACAAGGCAACAAAAGACTTAAGAACATCAATGGATTAAGCTGCAAAAGAAGGACTTTTGAAATTGGAAAAAACAGAAACCGTTCTTGTTGACATTAGACACACAAAACTCACATTTGAAGAATCAAAATAGAAAGTACTCAAGGAAATTGAATAAACTTTCAATAAAATATTCCAATTAATCAAATAACGAAAAGACGAAGTGGTTAATTTGATCAATCAGCACTATGAAATACAAGTCAATAATATTGACACCTAAGAATAGATTTGGATGGATAAACAATCTAGGGCTTATGATGTTATTAAACTAGCTAAATCATCTAATGATTATTAATTATTGGAGAAAGCAACATATATTTTGGAAAGTATCTCTTCATTCTATAATAATAAAAGGCTTAGACATTTTGAGGTAAACACCCACTTATAAAAATGTATACATTGTTAATTCTATTGACACCACTTTCAATACGAATAATATTTCATTAAATTTGTCTGAGTTTTAGAAAGGATTGCAAAACTGGATCAAATTAGGTGAATCTGTCTTAATATAATTTAAATGTTGAAAATTTGAATTATAATTATATAATGTTAAAGAAAAGATTTCTTTTCATTTTTGATTTTGACCACACCATCGTCGAGGATAACACAGACACATACATATGGAAATTGCTGCCAAATGGTCGCAAAAGTCTGCCTCCTTATTTTGAAAAAGAAAAAAATTGGAATAAATTTATGAGAAAGGTCCTGCAATTTTATTATCACAATGACATAAGTGTTTAACAGGTCTAACATTGTTTGCAAGAAATACAATTAACACAAGGATTTGGAGAGCTGTTTAATTTCATTAGGTATATACTTATTAATATATTTTCAATAGAACAAATAAGGACTAAATTGAATGTATAATAGCCAGTGATTCAAATACATTTTTCATTGATTCCATCTTATAAAAATAAAATCTATAAGATGTCTTTGATAAAATCTATACTAATCCTGTCTAAATTATTGATGACATCGAAATATCCATCTTCCCCTATCATAAAAATGAATGCACATCATCCTGTTCTAGAAATATGTGCAAAAGAACCATCATTTTAGATAACTATTAATTAAATAACTATGAAAAAGTGTGTTACTTTGGGGATGGCAAAAATGATTATTGTCCAGGAACACTATTGAGAAAGGAGGACATCATTTTTGTTAGGAAAGGATATTCTTTAGAAAAGCTAATTCGTAAAAAGGACTTAGAATGCGAGAAATTCTATTTTGAATCTGGAATACATTGTATTAATAGATTGAAGAATCTATTTTTGTGAATTTATTAATAATCTATATAACCTGATATACACATTCATCTCTAAGGGAAGTTGTCATTTTAAAGAAATTTGATCTGATGATTTATGGGCATTTCTATCATTTATTGATAGGTTAATAACAATATTATTATACATTTTAAATCATGGATTAATAAAAACTTATAGATGAATCAATAACTTTAGATGTCTTATAACCAAAATTAAACAAACTATTTCTGGTGTGTTCAATTAATAGTAGAGAGCCATTTACTGATCCTGAAACTATTTAAACTGATTTCATTAGTAATTTTGCTTCTTTTAATAATCTAAAGCACAAAAGAGTGAGACACTAATGGCCTTGAAGATTCCAAAAATGTTTGCATATATAGGTCTAACAGGCACCAAAGCTGTCTAGAATAAATAGCATGAGGAATAACCAAATCAATTTTTATGTTGTTTCAGATTATTGGATGTTGATAACATTATTGCTGGGTATATGGATGGCAGAATAGTTCAGAAACAGATAATGACACAACGAATTATAAAAGAATTTAATCGTTAGAATTAAGAGCCTATTATAAAGAAAAGACCCATAAAAATCCATATTTTTCAAAAATATTTTGCTACATTATTTTTAGAGGGAGTTGTTTGTATTTATCATTAAGAACATCAAATGTTAAAATTCCAAAATGAATATGAAAAATTCATTCGATTATCTTTTTAATATCATAAAAAGCTAGGTAGCATTTTAATATTATATAAGTAAGTTAGAAGACTTTGAAAAAATTCGAAATTGAACCCTCTTTTCATTATCACTATTTAAATTATGGTGAATTTTCAAATTTTCAGTATTGTTAGCCTAAGGCGAATCCATTATTGATATTTAGGTTTGAATCAATGTCAATAAATGATATTGAGATATTACCCTTTAGTCCTTTGGAACATCTTAACAAGCCGGAATTACGAATGGAGAAGGGATTGTGTATAGCTATGAGTGGATTAGATGGATATTTTAGATTGTTGGATGTGATGAATAATAAACCATTGTTTTCATTTAAAACTGAATGTTGTGGGATTTGCTCATTTTCATTTAATCCGAATTTTAGCAGTGTAAGTAGAGCTAGTTAAATAGGTTTGTTTAGGGGCCCAGGATGATTCTGCTTACGTGATAAATTTTAATTCTAAAATTTCATGGATACGTTTGGTGGGACATAACTCGTTTATATCTAGAGGAGTATTCAGTTCGATAAGTGCAACAGAATTTAGGATAATATGTGGATGCTATGATGGTACAATATCAATAACAGACGTTGATTTAAATTAATTAAACCCAGAAAATAGTTTATTTGTGAAGGCATAAGAGAAAGAGAAAGTTATATAAGTTAAGAACATTCAAAGTGTATCATAGGATGGAGTTGCAAACGTAGCAGAGTTTTAGAATTATGTTGTTTGCATGAATTTTGATGGAGTAATTAAAATTTTTCTATTGTAATGATATTTGGATAAATGGTTATTTCAAAATAAGACTCCCTTTTCTTAATAGTTGAGTGGTCTAGTGGAATTTGGGTTTGAGTATCTTCGAATGAAATCTTGTAAGATTAATTCTGAGTCTTTGAAATCTGTGGCTGCATGATCATTTGCTTGTCTGTGCACTCTGCATAAGGTTTCTTTGTAATCCTCATACCACCATACAAATCTTTTGATGTCTACATTATATTTTGTAGTTTCAACCTTCATGTTCCAATAAAAATTCATTTTCTTTAACCAATTCCTATGCTCTCAATTGAACATACTCATCAAACAAGTTCACTTTAGTGAGTTCTGATTTGTATTCGAAATATATTTTGCCAAAGATCACGCATTATACAACTGGGAAGAGATATCGAAATGTTCTGAATCTAATGTTTTGGGTTATCACATTGTAATTGTATGCATAGAGGAACTATTCATCATTTAATTTACATACCAAATTGATACCAAATGCCACTGCTTAGTATCCAAACTTATTATATTCGATTACAGGGTAAGTCATATCATCTTCCCATTCAGCTAAACAATCATATCAAATTGAGTACGGTCTTATGAACTGAGACAGAAGGCATTGAACGGTACCTTTGGTTGAGTCCATCCTGCTGTTTCAATCAATTCCACCATTTTCTTTATTGATTTATAACGTTTCAAACGAGCTTCTCTAAATGATTATCTATCAGCATTTTTACCTGAATGGTGGTAAATTCTGATTTCTCAAACCAAGCAAACTGATTATAGTGAAATAATTATCCATTTATTTTTATTTATGAATAAACATCCGCAACCAAAAAATCCTATCAATTGGTTAGATGAAATCAAATAAGCTTAGGACCCTGTATCGCTTTCTAATCTATACATTAAAAATTTAAAAGAAGGTATTCATCTACATTATTCTTATTGAACTAAGAATACTGGAATCACAAAATAAATCATTAAAAACAACTCTAGGAGTATACGATTTCGAAGCATCAAAAAGACCATAATCAGCTATTGAAAAAATGGCTAACTCAAAAACCCACTAAATTGAATTAGGACAAAAACCATCAGATTTTGCAAAATATCCGTAAATACTGTATTCTCTAACATTCTTAGTACAAACTAAAAACTAAGCAATTTATTTGTTGATGAGAGTGCCTTTGGTAGTTCGGCTGTTAGAATTGAATATATCAGAGAATTAGAATAATTAGGGGATGCATTAAAAAAATAGAATGCTGAGCTCCAAACTCAAGTACAACTCAAAAAGCCTAATCTATAACGCAGTTTCATTGTTATACCCAAAAAGTATGAAGGCCATGATTGTATGAATGATAAAACTCTTATATCAAAATCAACTCTAGTCAAAGGAAATAAATTTACAAAGTCCAATGAAACGATCACCAAAAGTAAGCTAAAACCTGATAACTCTCTTAAAGATAGGTAATCATTGCTTATTAATTAAGATAAATCCAAAATTTAATTGAAGAAAAGAAACTCTTATAAAAAGAAGTGGCTCTGTACAAAGAAACCTTCAAAACCAGATAAAATAAACTAGAGGGATTCGATACTGAAAAAATAATGAAGAAGTTTAATAAAAATGCAGCTCTACATGGGGATAAATAGAAGTAGCTTACATAGAGCAAGCATAATGAAGAAATAAAGGAATAATATTTATAGGCTTTAATGCAAGAGTCATTTTTACTACAATAATAATTATAGAGAATATAGGAGGAAAGTAAAAACTTCGATCCCCATAAAAAATCTGAATATTGACAATATCATTTTCAAAAAGTGAATTTCTAATTTAATTCCTCCAATTTTCTTTCTATGCCCTAAGAATACTTCTTGTATAGGATTTCTATTGAATATTGCAATTTTTCTGCTCCACTTGAAAACAAGTATATAAACACTGCAATTCTCAAAATGTAATATAGAGTGTATGCTTGAATGTAATAAAGAATTATTTTGTGACTCAATACCACTAGTGAGTACATTATCCAATAAGTTATCCATTTCAATTGAGAGTCATCTAAAAGTTGTTAATTGTATATATTACATATTGAATTTAAGGCTTATAAGGTTTTAAAGGTTGGGAAACAAAATCCAATAAAGTCACTGATAAATTGCGGTTGAATATTTAAATAAATCAGCAACAAGGAAAAGGACAAATATAGCAAAGCTAGATAGCTTGGCCTTCTGAATCCCAGATAATGCGAGATCCCAATCAGGGTTTTTTCGTAATCACATGCCTCCAATCCAACAAAATTTATGAATTAATCAATTTATTACATTACTTTAAATATTAATTATTGTTCATTTGAAATGTATACTATAAACTATAGAGTTTCACCTCCTTATAATATTTATTGAGAGAGGAGAGGACAATAGGGTATCTTCTTTGGACTCCTACAATATTGAAATTGCAGATTAATTTATGGTATCAAATATTATTAAATGAAAAGTTTATAATAGATATAAGGTGAAAAAGTAATTTATTACAGTAAATGCATTTTAATAAGGGGAAATGCAAATTAAAAAAATGTCATCTGAACTTCAAAACTGAATTCTTGTTTGGGGTTACAGTTGTTAATATTTTCTAAACATTCTGTAATTTGAATTACCTAATTGGAACTTGATTTTTAGAGCTCTTAAAAGGGACTCCTTCCTGAGGATGATGAATTGCCTCCATTTCGCTTAATGTTCTTCATAGGAGTTGTGTAGGCAGTAAGCATTCCTTAAAATAATATGGGAAATCAATGTACTTGTTTGGCTTTCCGTTAGATTTTCGCTAAAAATATGTGTTGGTTTCTCATCTTCAGCATCCTCTTCACGCACAACTTCCAAGTACTTGTAACTTTGTACAGGCAACTAAGAACTTTACGGACTCTAGTACTAGTTGTTAGGCATCATTTTAATTAAAATTTGAATTATATTAATGGATTATATGGAACTAAAGGACCTAGATTTTTTGAAGTTTGTAAGAAACTTCTACAGATTACGCATGGCCACCAATGAAGAATACGATCCTCCATTTCATGAAGCCATCAATTACTACGCCAACTATTTGGAGCAGTTGACTTTGGATTATTGGGAAGACCTACTCATCAATTATAACATCTACAATTATCACTTTTAGCAATCATACTAGAAAATAAACAATTCCAAATAAGATATAGAACTAAAGAAGTTCACAAATGTCTAGCTATTCAATCTCTATGATAAATTGATAGAATTTTATAAACTAAATATTAAGTCTGACTTCATAATCGCATTATCTATTTGGTATCCTTCAATTTTTAGCATTTTGTCCTCTCAAGCACGTAAAGATCTTTCAGACAGAAGAGAGAATCTAACCTTGAAATATCTATCAAAAGAATTGACCAATATGCAGCAAAAACTAAAATTTGAGTTCTCCATCCATAAAATAGTTGACATCTCACATATGTTATTTTATGACGTGTTTTTCATTCAAACATTGAAGTAAACCCATTGAAGCTAATTAATAGATAACCAATGCAAGCACATCATTAATTGTTGGATGTAATTGACGATGCATTTATCCAATTCTTTTAAGAACAATATAATCTGGCAGAAATACAACAAAACACTCAGGCAAAATGTTTATAGATTACAAAAAAGCAATAGGTGGACAAAGAACCACTTAAAAAATTTAAATAGGATTGCCTTCTTACAATCATGTAAATGAGAATGAAGAATTATGAACAATACACAAAATTTATTAAACATTATTTAAAACTATGAATTATAAATTTCATTTTAATTTGTAATAACATAATATATAAGATTACATCGAAGATTTATATTATCCATAAAATTGGTCTATCCCATTTAGATAATGAACTTATTTAATCTTTGATAAGTATCTTAAATATTGAATTTTTTTGTTTATAAATTATTCTATACAAACTGAATCATACTTTACACTTATTCTATTGATCATTTACAATATTTGATTTATTTTTTGTTTTTAAAATAAACTCCTCCTATTTCCAAGATTGTAGTTACATTTCAATTTAAATCGTCATAATTATAAATATTATGAGCTACTTTGCTTTTTAGGAACCATTCTAAATTCTATAATTGCCTATAACTTTTTAAATTTAATTATTTCTAAATAATTTTTATAATGACTTCTTTTATTTAGTTTTTCTATTATTTTCCCATCATTAATTCTCCCTTAATCCTGATATTTTCCGAAAACATAAAAATAAAAACTTCAAAATATTTTTACCATAGAAACAGGTTCCTCAAATTGTAATTTAGTTCTTAATTTTGGATAACAAGTAGGCAATTTGAATAATTTTAATTTCTAATTTAATATATTAATTTAAGGTATTCAAATAATTAAGCAGATTATAGTTATATTTAAGTTAGTTTTAAATTTGATAATTTTTATATTGTTCCATATTCATCACAGCTTTAAGGAATTTATTGAAAAATTAATGATGTCATATTTATACACGATTGTCTAATCTCTTAAAATAACAACATTAATTTGTATATAATTTATATAACTATGCACTATTAGCATTATATTAATATATATCAATCTTAAATTATCGAAAAATCATAATATGAATTGTAAAAATACATTTGAAGAACAATCGACTAAGATATCCATTTTTGATTGGGATTATTTAGAGACTGACTTAGAAACTGATTGCTTGTCACCTAAATAAGAAGGATTTATCAGTTAGATTCAGAAACACAAATTCGTTATTGGAATTTCGAAACCAGAAGAATAAAGAATTGGACTATCTTCGATTAAAAAAAGCAAAATTACAATCAAAGGAATCTTAGGGATCTCTAATCTTTCTATTTGATTGACTACATGTTTATTAGTATTCACAATAATTGTATATTCTATCTTGATTCAATAATATTTTGTTGATTTCAACCATTCCACAAAGCAATCTTCTGAATGATAACTATTCTTATTTTAATCTCTTGATTTCCACATTGGTGTGATCTGAAGTTATATACTAATGAAAAAATCTGAATCGGATATTCACTCTTATGTAAAAACAATAAATGAGACTGCTAAATTTAAAGAAGAAACTCAAAAATACAAGTCCACAAGCCTGTTCTTTTGTTAATAAATTTGTTCAATTTGAGGAGGAAATATCAATTTATGAAATAAAATATAAACTGTGTAATAATAATACGAATGTAATGTATAGGCAAAAGGAAAGTATTTTCCTCGAACAAGTTTATACTATTTCTACTGAAAGTAGTCGATATACTATCCATTACTTTTACAGCCTCTCATTATAGTTTTTAAAAATCCAGCCAAATTAATTAAATTCGTTCCTTATATTCATAGCCTCATATAAAACAATGCCCAGATTCTTAATCTATGAATGATGAAAATCATTTCCCAAAAGAACTTAAACATAAATTGGAATAATAAGTTAAGGACTTTCTGGAACCTAATCTAAATAAATCCACATGGATTTTTGAGGTTGATTTAACCTCTCTGATTATACATTAGAACAACTATCCATTTCACAGTATACTCTTTTTCAAAGAATAAATCTAATCAAAGGTTTTTTCAATAGAAAATCTCTTTAACTTTTGATCCTTTGGACTCTAATTTGAGATGGATGTCCAAAATGTATTGTTATTAACAAAATTATAGTTTAAAATATGTTATAGTAGTAGAGCCTGAAATTGGTTTAGACTTAATGAGTTAATTAATATATTGTGATTTTATAAATATAAGATAATTATCATGATTGAGTCAGGATAAATTCAATGAAATATAGCCTAATTATTATAGATTATATTAGATGTTCAATAACAGCATTCTAAAGCCAAGTAAATATTGGTTTCTAATTTTCTCTTAATTTTAAATCAATACGCTAAATTGGTCGATATAACAAAAGCAGATGGTGCTTATTTAACCTCTGTGATTTTTTTAAATTTCACTTATTAAACTAGCATCATATCTTGGCAATTAATTTATGACAATTTATATATAAATAATAATGTTGTCATTCATAACATATTAAAGTAAATTTAACGACGTAATTATTTTTTAATGTTTATTTTATAATTTGGCGTGACTTTTATTTCATCAACAGTAATAAATGTATATTCTACCCTACTAAAGTTAGATACTTCTTATATTGTTAAATATATTTAGACTAGAATAATACCAGTACAAAATTAATAAGTAGAAAATATCATATCCTGGTAATTGTTATGAAATTTATACTGCCTTTATGGATCTTAAGAAGGTAGAAGGTTTACATACAATTTGAATTGAAATAAATTAAATAACAAAAGGATAGGTAATCTTAATTTAGAGTGATTTAAATATATAAAAATAATGATAAAGTTTTAACTGAGAATGATTGCAGAGTTTAAAACTAAATTAAACCTATTTGATGAAAGAAATCAAAGGCAACAATATAAGGAGACTAAATCTAAAGTATTTTTATTATCTTCTTGTAGATAGTATTATATATTAAAATGAGAAAATGAGCAATAGATTTAAATTGTGTAAATTACATTAAGGATCACATTCAAGAAATAGCAGAAATGGGGATCGACATTAGATATTGATTATATTCATTAATCTATAATGGTCATTGTATTTGATGAGTTTGAAATATGAAACCAAACATTGAAAATTTTCAAAATAAATTACTCTAAAATATTGTAAGTTAATATGAGTTTTATAAAAATAGAATAGTGAATTTGTTCTTAACATGTAAGATCATAAATAAATAATAATTACTAATAAAGGATAGATTACAGGTATTATTGTTGCTGAATATATCTCTAATATTGAAATTGATGGTTCATACATCAAAGTAAACTCTCTAAATCCCCAAGATTCTAACATAGTCAATACATCTTACCATCAAAAGCTTCTTGATTCAAAGTGGAACTAAATTTAATGTTGGCTTCTTCATTAGTATGTTCAAAGATCAAATCGACATAGATTTTGGAATCAGGCCAAAATTAGCCACAATAGTTAAAGTTAGTTTCTACAAACCAATTATGAGTCCAAATTTAAGCATCATCTACTTCTATTGTAAACTTTTCATTATCCCAAGAATCTATTTTGTAAATAACGACCTATAATCTTAAATTTTTATGAGGTGGGATTTGGAAGGTTTTTGTTATGTATCCCCCAGTGCCCATCACTCTAAAACCTCCAACAAGGCTTGCCCCCATACAAGAGGTAAAATAAATTGGATCTTGCCTTTCGTGTAATTCCCAACCCTTTAAATCATCGAATTGAAGTTCAGTAAACGCTTATTCCAACATCTCAAAATTTGATATGTTTTGACATTACCCAAAATCGTAAAACAAGTTATCAGAGCATTCTATATATGATGTAAGTTTATTATTACTTATACAATCTGAAATGGAGGGACCTTAACACTCCTCACATCCATCAGCACAAGGCAAATAAAATATATTTAGATCCCTAACTCCGAAAGACTCATCCTCTGATGCTTAATCAAGTGTCGATGTAAAACTAACAACCATATTATTCCCAGTATGATCAACTATGACATCAATTCTCTGAAAAACTGTTTTATAATTTTTTTCATTTGTATTTCCACAAATTTTACTTTTGTATCCATCTGAATTTGTATAATTTTGCTACCATACCACTTTCCCATCAACCATCAACTGTCCTTATTCATTATCCCAAGAATCAATTTTGGCCCACAAAGCTTATACTCTTATTCTGTAGTGTGGTTTCATAGCTATAGTTTTATTCAACACTGATTAAGTCCCAAAGTTACTGTAACCTCCAATTAGAGCAACATCTATAATCATATTGTCTCAATTTACTTCCGCAAACTGAGGTTTAATCCTTCCCATTAAATATTGACCAACCCTCAGATGAGATGCCTGAAAGGTTATTCCAATTACTCAACCCAAATTCCCATATTGAACATTATTCTGATAAATCTTCAGCTTCACAAGTTACACAACCATTTGGACATCCCTACACTGATAGTTTGAGATCACTAAATCCCCACTTATATGAATATTCTATTATATTACAATTTCTTGTGTGTTTCCTACAAAAATAACTATACCTGCGCCTCCAGTATGCACCAAATCTACTTTTAACTAAATCATTTTGAAATCACTCAATGAACATTTAGTTGATATCATAGGGGAGGTTTGTTAAGTCCAAACCAAATTCCAATCCACAAATACACCAATCTGATTATCCTCACCCATTCTAATTTCTATTCGAAACGTTTTCATACCCATATACAACCACCTCCAGTCTCAGCATTGTATGTTAAGGCATTTGGAACTATTGAGTAGCAAAGGAATTGCTCCCTATGTAGGCATTGATCTTAGAACCACCATTACATAGTAATTCCTTTCTTTGCCCATCATAGAATATATCTTCTCTAAATATCATATTTACCACTAAAGGCATTTGAAATATTTAAGGCCTCGAATGGCATGTATTCTGCTGATGCACTTGCCAAAATCTACACAAAAATAAGGATCATATATTTGATCATAAATTGTATGTTATAATTAATTTTTCAATATTTTAAGTCACATCCTAATATAATTTAAATTTTTGTTCAATTTTAAGAAAATCATTGCTATTTTTCAATAATCCTTTTAATTTTTGAATCTTTTAACCTCTTTTTATGCTTTACCAGTAATTATTAATATGTAAATCATTTGAAATTATTAAAGGGTACTATAAGCACACGCACACACGCAAAAGCAATTTCTATTTTAGGCAATTGAATGAGTCATAAAATCATAGGGAATGTAGAATCAGTAAGAATTCTTGAAAGACTACAAAATCTTGGTAATTAATTAAAAGTATCTATAAAGTCAATCAACTTTCCATCAATTTTATAATTGATGTGATATTAATTTAGATTATAAGATGTACAATTATATGGGCAGAAACAAGAAAATAAGTTGATATAAAGCTTGGGTTGATTTCAGGATGAGAACTAATTCTAACCTCATAAAAATTATATTAATTTGAATACCAAGTAAAATTGATTTATTATTGAAAAGCTCGAAGATTATTCAAAATTATTATGCATAATTTGCGGAGAACTGTGATTAAATAATTTCTATTTTAGATATTTAGTAAGACCACTATCATCATAAAGTCTTATAATTAAAACTCTTTTGATTAGTAGGTTACCGAATAAATATATTTACTGATAAATTATATATTTATTTTATAAAATATTTCAAAATTATTCAAAACTCTCAATCTAAAATAATAAGTTGTCAGTAGCATCATGAGCAACAGACAATAACTTCAAATAGTTCTCTGCATACATTTTAATCACACTAATTGGATTGAACTATAATAATGTAAAGCATATCTTTGATAACTGAGTCAAGATATTTATTTTTTATCTTGATTAGAATCAAATAATTTACCTTCTATTTCTCTCCTCCAAAGTAGTGACCTCCTTTATTTCTTCAACCAAAGCATCATAAACAGCTTAAACAACAGAGGCTTCCAGAAAGTCTGCACTTTATAAAACTTTGTTCTCCTTGATGTTATACATCAAAAAATGCTTCCTATTTTGAACTGCAACGTGTATTATTGAACTAATTGTTATTAGCTTTCTCAAAGGCGATGCATCCCAGAATTCTATACACTCTAAATAGACAATTCAAAGTACTAAGCTAATAATCTTTTAACTCCACTTAATGACTTGATCATATGCATCATTAGTAGGAACCTTGTAATTATTCTTATTTGCCTATATTTCTAAGGCCTAACACCAAAGCAATCTATTCAGAGAACTCTATCTGAGCAACCCAACAATAGTCTCATTATTTGGTATTTCATGTGCATTCCAAACACAATTAATGTGAATTTACATAATCTTGTATATGGATTAAACATTGTTACGACTCATCAGATGAGCTAATTCTTACTCTTCTATAGTTTATAAGTTCTATAAATTATTACAAAACTGCATACATTCTTCTTAACACAGTCCTCATAAATATTGTAAAATGTATCATTATGAGCCTTGATGATATCCTTGAGTTTTTGATACTCTTGGCTCCTCATGCTCTCTATTGTCTTAGTTAAGAAGGATGAATATGGTTTGAATTCAAGTTGTCTTGGGGCTTCTTAGGGTTTTTGATATTTGAGAATAAAATTCTCAATAAAATCTTAAAGATTAGATTTTCTGATTTGATCATTCAATTTTTCAGAGTCTTATAAGGATTACTTTGAAATGGAAGTCTCAAATAAAAAGAGTTTCATCAGGGTGTCCTTTTGTACAAGTAGCCTTTACTATTCATATTATTCCATCTAAGACAAGTAGCTTTCCATTTTGGTTTTATAAACATCGATGAATTCATTATAGGAAAGCACAATAATTTCGAATTCTCTTTCCAATTTGATGCATTCTGATTAGATTTGTTAAGTTCTGTGGGTAAGTATGTATGTATAATTACTTTAACACTTGCTTCAATGCTTTGTCTTCTGAAATGTCAAGACTATATTGAAAAATCATATCTGAAATTCCTGATTACTCTAAATCCTTCGCTTGCAATTTATAGTCCAACTTTCCTCCCATCACATCGTCTTATTTATCTTGTAAGTCCCATTCCAGGCCTTTCATTTCATCAATAATCCTTTTGGCTACTTGATTTTGATCCTGGAGGATTTCTTTCACTTGTTCAATTATTTCCGATCTAATCAAATCTACGAAATTTTCTAGTCGTTCTATTTTTTATCTTAATTAATTCACCAACTATTCTCTCAAGTAGGTTATGCTAACGAATTCTTTACAAATTTAAATACCTTGACTTCTCAATTTATTAGGAGAGTTTGTATAATGATTTGGCATATTGATCTTCTATGTTAGCTCTTTCTTGTAAAATACCCAAGTACTCCTCCAAACCCCTTTTGCTTTCTATATTTTATTAGATCACCCTTTCCGATTACCCCTGTCTATTAAGATAAAAATGAATTACAAGCAAATTTGGATAATATGCCAATTTCTATGATTGATTCATATTTATATAAATGAAATCTGTAGAGATCAAATATTAATAATTAACAAAAATGTTAGAGAATTCAGGATTCCTTCTTTGGCTCATAATATTCCTTTTACGGTCTTTGTTGGTATTTCTTATATCCAGTGAACTCTCTCAAATCATCTTCCAATCTATCTGTAACTATTTAGATTATAGTATTACTGTAATGCTATTATGTTTTTCTATTATAGGAATTATCATAGTATTTGTTTGAATGGTAATGCGAGTCATTATTAGGTCTTCTCTTTTGCTACATGTTAAAATTTTCATTAATACTTGATATCTATTCTGATAATAGGGTTTTTGATGGTACTCAGTTCTTCCTTCATCGTGCTTGCTTCCATGATTTTTCTCAACAGAATTTTCTTTGTTTGATTCTGTCTCCCTTGTTTATTTTTGGTCTGGCTATTAAGTAGGCTATTCAACGATTTGTTGTTCTAGTGGCTGCTCAATTTAGATTGGCTCTTATTGTGTCTATTTTTGTGAATCCATGGTCAATTCTGGGGGAGGATGTAATTCTTGTTGGGGATAAAGGATGGGAACAAATGAAAATTAGAATTGTTGTTCTTATAATGGAGCAAAGTTCAATTCTACTTTATCTTTAGTTCTTATTTAATTTAGTCTTTGGCTAACTATATCTGAGGATGATAAGTCGTAGAGCTATTATTCTTATTAGGATTGTTGGGGTTGCTATTGCTATTAAATTTATTAAGATTATTATTGAGGTTATTAATACTATTATTATTGTTAATATTATTATTAAGAGTGAATTTAAAATTAATTTTGAGTTTCATCGTAGTTTCTCATATTGTTCATTCTTTGTTCTTGAAATTATTGTTATTTGAGTGCCACGATGCTCAAAAACTTAGTAAAATAGTCCACTTCTTCCATCTTAGCATTTTGTATGCCATACTATAAAGAGATAAAGAGAGAATTCTTACAATGGATTTGGATTGTTAAATTTTACTAAATCCAATTTGCGCATCTTCGTGAGTTTCAAAGACGATAAATAATTTAACCATATCCTTGTTTGGGACATATTCAGCCTCTTTTGGTTCCCATTCCTATTTGACTTCTAATTCTTATAAAAATCTGTGAAATTCTTCTACTTTATTTTTCTTGATCAAAATTTGGACTTATTTTCTCTCCTTCGAAAAGATTGGCATTACTGCACTGAAGGTTTGATCGTATACCCAATTGGTGTAGTTGAATTGTATTAATATCTAGATGAATGATGTTTCACTTAAATACATTGACTAAATTCTGCATGCCATTTGGATATTCTAGTAATTGTCGAAAACCATTCTCCTTTGCCAAGCAAGACAAATGAATATACCCAGTAGTGGAATCGAATCTTTTCAATAGAAAATGGTTTCTACTTAAGACTGGAAAACTGAAAATGCGTCTCAACTACATTTAAAGCTGCATCCTTACCTGTTAAAGAAGACAATCATCAACACTTTGCGGTTACATGCTACTATATTTTGAATTCAAAATAATTTATTTAATGAATGTTTGCAATACTCCAAAGTCCCATCAATAATAATAAATTGACGAAATTAAGTATCTTCATATACATATATATATATACACACATAAAACCTGAATCAAAAAGAACTTTTATATTGATTTGCCTTGTAATCTCCGTCCTTGTACCCATTACAAAATTTTCGAATATCATCTTTCCTGATACCTATATCATTCTAACTGTCAATTTTGAATTCTTATTAATATATTTACTCTTCCTATTAAAAGAGCTTCTCCATTGTGGTTTCCCCTTGATAATTTAAGATTTAATTCATGTAGGTTTTATAAATTTTGAACGAGGGAGCCTCACAAGATGAAATTCTTATTTCAACCAAACTAGTCTTACTGCCATATTCTCTCAAGAAACTCTTTATTGCAAACAGCATGACCGAAGCCAGTTTACTTCTTGCAATTTGATTGATTTGCTAATCCATCACGGAGAAGGCAATTGATTTCACTCCCAATTCCGTTGCTTTCTCCAAACAATTAACTACTGCCTCATAAACAATTTGAATTTCCCTTGACTGTGTGGAATCGAATTTCCACTTGTCAGCATATGCAGTAATAGAATTTACCCTGAAGTTCTCCTCAATTGAATATGCCATCTCCTACTCGTATGATTCATTCAACACTATTATTGAAGCATCAGTAGCACTAGGCAATACTGCAAAGAATAAGTAATCGTATGGCATCTAAAATCGTTATACAATAAATCACTTCTCCAGCATGAGTATGTACAACAGATCCCAATTATACTTTTCCTCCCTAGCTCAAAAGAATTTGGTGCAATTCATTCAATATCTAATCCCCTGCAAACTTCCTGTTTAATTAATCACATAAAACTACTTAATGTGTTCTTATTGCTAAAAGTTCAGCTTCAATTTCTGAGTTGTAGTCAACACAATTATGTCTACTTATTCATTAAATAATTTCCCGAGACTCAAAACTACACGACAGCCATTAATGTCTGTTTATTGAATAACCTGTGCTTGCGGTCTTCCATCCTGTCTGCAAATCTAAGATTGGAATTCCACCTAAGTGGTGCAACAAATAGACCTATTGCCCATTAATATATATTATATATAATATATTTAATTATGTCTCATATCATTTCAATGCATCCATCAATTTGTTTTTGATTGCCTAAGCCATCTTACTAACATCCTTCACGCCTCCATTATCCTTCAAATCTATATTTGTAACCACTGTCTTCCACCCCTCTTCCTTCTACACCTTCTCTCTTACGATAGCCCTATTCTATAACTTTCTTTGGTTTGCCTATTCTGCAAAATCACTATAATCGCATTAATTTACTTATGTTACCTCATGAACTTCTTTACATACTCTTAAGCCTATTTTCTTTTCTGTTCTTTTAGTTTCCTCTCAGCGTCCTATATTAAATATACACAATTCATTTACATCCTTCTCCCTTTGCTAGCTTAGATACACATTTTGTTTATTGGATTAAGTATTGGCAAATACATCATCAAAGGCATTAAAGGCACTCTAACTTTCAATTTTGACTTAAGGCTCTGTACTTTTCACACTTTCTTCATCAAATACGAACTCCTCATAATTCCCTTAAATTAGATTTGGCTAAGCTTAAGATGAATTCTAATTAGTTGGTTTGAGTTGAGTCTCAATATAAGCTTGATTTTCATCGGATAATTGTTATTGATTCTTAACATTCTCCTTTCCCATCAGGAAATCTAATTCCAACCCATTGGCTCTCTAATCAGCACTTCCCAAGACGATTTTCTTTGTGCTTGTTCCACCATATGTGGTGGGAATAGGAACAGGACATTATCCAGGTGCTTCAAGGCCTTCGAATGATTTACTTACAAGATGAAATTAGGAAGGATGTAGGAGAGTCCAATTGTTAGCTTCAGCATTTGGAGTGAAATCAAATACTTCGCTCCATTTGTTATTTTCAGGATCCAACTTGGCTTTACCAAAATCATCCGTAATGCCAGGATAAGCAAAATTATATGGAGCAAATGTAATGGCTGTTGATTTTTCAAGTGCTGGATCACTTGAAGTGTAGACAAAACATTATATACTAGTGAATAGATACTTGATTAATTACTTATTTGAATTTGAGACTCTAAATTAACTAGATGCTGCACTTATCTCAATATTTTCACATTTTCTAACAAAGATGGAGCCTTCGACTGGGCCAATAAAGATTTTACAATTCTTGCTCAGATCCACGAAAATTTATGCAGCATGATCACAGATGTAAATGGTACACTCCTCACAATTAGAGATTACAAAGTCCAATCCATTTAATTATCCAGGGTATTTAATCAATTCTTCACCTGTTTTCTTTCGAAATTAATAATCCTCCCGATTTAATTTAGCTTTCATTTCAACAACAAATTCTTAAAAATATATATATAAATTAAATCATATTTTCTCACAAAGGATTAATCTTCCCAGAATAACACATCATTATTCAATATTCAAACTAAGTGAATGGACATATAAGGATCACACATTTGAATTAGACATTTTAAATTGTTTTGAGAGTATTTAATAGAAATCAAGAGACATTTTATTATAACTTATTGATATGTATTGTTTAATCATTATTATTATTATATATCCTGTTAACTTTATTCCAATATAGTAATGTATAAATAACGTAAATATTATAATCTATTTATAGACTTGCTGATAATTTATTTCCAAATAATATTGCAGCATTAAATTGCAGTAATTCTCAACTCTTTAATATCTTATAAGTGCAGTGCAGGTTGAATAATAATCATATTATGATTTCTATCCCCTTTCAAATGCTCTCCATTAATCAAGACTTTATTGAAGCTTAGGATTCTTCTTGATTTCTATTATTGAGTCTAAAATATAAGTAGTACTATGCATGTGTTATATTATTCATCAACGATTTAATTTAAATAAATTCAAAATGAACGAAAGTTTAATGAACCCAGAGGATTGTTATCGTCTAGAAGGTGTGATTGGCGAAGGATCATATGGTCAAGTGTATAAGGCTACTCAATTAGAGAACGGGAAGGTTGTTGCAATAAAAATAGTTCCAACAACAGGTGAAATAGAATCATTGAAAAGGGAAATTCAAATACTGCGTGATTGCAGAAGTGATAACATAGTTAAATACTTTGGATCGTATCATTCAAATGGACAATTGTGGTTAGTGATGGAATATTGTGCAGGAGGAAGTGTCATCGATTTAGTTAAAGCAATGAGTTTTAATGGTTCTTCGTTGCCCGAAGAGTTGATAGCCACTATCCTATATCAAACACTTAAAGGTACAATAATGTCTAAGTAAATATAGGAATTGATTACATGCACAATCATAAGAAGATCCATCGAGATATCAAATGTGGAAACATCCTGATTGATCACATTGGCAACATCAAATTGGCTGATTTCGGAGTCTCCACTTAATTGGTACACACAATGGCTGACACTGATACAGTTATTGGCAGTCCTTTTTGGATGTCTCCAGAAATCCTCTTAAAGTCTCGTTATAATAAGAAAACCGACATCTGGTCATTAGGTATAACTGCCATCGAAATGGCCGAAGGAGAACCACCTTATGCTCACATTCATCCAATTAGGGCCATGTTTGCAATTAAGAACAACCCACCAAACTCATTGACTGATCAAACCCGATGGTCCAAAGAATTCAATGCATTTGTTAAGAAGTGCCTGATCTTGGATCCCAAAGAGAGACCATCCACTAAGGAATTGTTACAGGATCCCTTCTTCTAGAGATTCTGCAAGAGTAGAGAATATGTTCAATAGTTTATGATCAAGAATTCGAAAGTGATCGAAAACTACAAAAGGTAAAAATAGAATAAACAACACGAATAACAATTTGAGCAATCCCAGGAAAAGGGAATAGTCTAATTGGATACTCTAGTTGAATGCGAAGAGGAGGAGGATTTGGGAACCATGATTGTTAATGACATTGATGCTATACCTATGAATGAAACTGGAACCATGTTGGAGCATCAATATCAAGATGTAGAAGTTTATGAGAAGGCCATGAATAGAGTGGTATTTCCCTTAACTTATTTTATAGTCAGAATATGGCTTGCAAAGTCTCAATTAAATGAGGACACCTGTCACTGAATCTCCTTTTAGAAAATAAAAGTAGATAGAAGACAAAATTCAACAATTGAATGATGAGATGAACAACGAAATCAAAAAGATTAAACAAAAATATGGGGATCAAATACAATCCTTATAAAAACTGTTGCAGCAAGTTTCGGTGCAAAAACATGAATCCCATAAATCAGTGCACGAATAGAAGTTGATCCCACAATCAACCAATTACTACAGATAACTAGATTTTAAACATAAGACTTCGGCGCCTTCAACTCCCGTTTAAATGCAAACTAAGTAGAAATCCCAACAAGAAAACATCAATTTGGAAAATCAATTGAAACCAACTAAATTTTAATAAACTAATTTGCAGTATAGTTTTCAATATTTATACTAGAAAATTGCAATTATAAATATAGAATAGAATACATGATGCTCCTAAAGCAGATAATAATTCAAAAATACTAAAACAATTAATTAACAGAAAGAATTGAATTCATTAATCAAGCTTTCCTATTTCAAATTGAAATCTCAAAAATTTTCCTCCATCTCCTCCAAAAACTCTTAATCCTCCTCACTGCTCTCTTATTCCTCCTCATCTGATTCCGAAGTTATACATTCGAATCCCTCCTGGCCTTTCTCCTCAAAAAAGTTCTCCTTCACCAAATATCTGATCGCCTACAAAATATATTGTCTTTCTCTGTAGATTTCCCCAATCAACATATTTGTATACAGAGTGTTACTCTTATATCTAAAGTTCGCAGGGTTTACTCTGTAATTCAAAGATTCCTCCAATAAATTTTCCCTATTGTTATAACCATAAAAATTACATTTTCTCTTTTTATTCTTCCAAATTACCAATCATCTCCTTCGTATGATCTTCTAAAGTTTATGTATTTTCTGGTCTTTTGACTTATTACTACTATTACTACTCTTGAACTTATTCGGCCTCTGGATTTAATTGCTTCAACTATAATTTGAGATCCTTAATTTTCTTTTTGATTATTTACTTATCCATTTTTGTTAGCTATTATTACTCCCCTCCTTCCTTCACTTTTTTATAGTATTCTTTTGGTCTATTATCACTAAGTTTCTTTTATAATTTAGTTATTTCCTTAGAGATCGCTTCTTTATCATCTAATTTTTTATCCTCTTCTTATTGATTACTCTCTTCCGATTCAGAACTTTCTTATGGTTCATTGTTGAATTTCTTCTTGATTCTTTTTGATTCAGTGAGTACCTTACAAAGTTCCTTCATTTACTTTGCTTTAATTTAGGTCCTTCTGCAGCTGCCACTTAAAATAGAAATTTTTTTTCTCAATTTTTATTCCAAGATAGAAAGTTCTTATGCATTTTCATCCAATGCAGGCCTATCTTTATTGGGGTATCTCTTTCTTCTCTATTCCAGCCATTTCTTGATTTCATCAGGGGCATCTAAAACAGGATCCTTTTTAATAGGAGGAGGTCTGTGTTTTGGTATTAGTTTTTCAGGGGAAGACAAATCGATATTGAGATTTGGGATGAAGTCTGGCAACTTGTAAATAATCTGTGTATTAATAGCAAACATGTTTTTATTTGTTCACAAATTAATTTTAATAACCAATAAATTTTCGAATTATAAGAGGGTGATAAAAGTAGAGATAAAATGATGAGAAATATTAATTTATTTCTGCTTTCATAGTATAATCAATCAAACAAAGAATCTTGTATTATAGTTGAATCCACCTTCATTATAATCGTAGTAGAGTACTTCTCCAGTCCTAATATCTCGACAAGCGTACAAGATCACTCTCGATTCACCCTCCACATTAAATCTTTAGGATTTCACATTTTATTATTATTTTTTACTATTTTTTTTGGTGTTATTAATTCCTGATAAATATTTAGCAAGATTTCCATGTTTTTAAGGTATGATCACCAAAGAAGTGGCAGCGAAATTGGTTTCAAGCAAACTCATCATGGAATCGGATGTACTATACACTTGATCAGCAAATCGAAACACTTCCCCTGCATATTCACATATCAATGTATTATTAACAATTGGTTGAACTGCCTTCACATAAAACCCCTAATCCATATTGTATTCCACTATCACAGGAGCATAATAGCCGTGTTTGGTCACTTATTTATACTTTTTGAAGGCCTCGAGATCCTTTCCTGTTAATGGTGCCAATTTTTCAAGAGACACATTATTATCTTGTTTCTAAACTGATTCATACACTAGATCATCATTGAAGCCAATATTTTGACAATAGAGTGCATACTGAATGGAATTGAAACACTTTTCACGTAGAGTGTCATCGTAAATGCAACAAGGTAAAATGAAAGAGTTCTGGTTTTTCAATGAGATTTTTAGCGGTAGGAATTAAACCAAATTTTTATTTTATTTTATTTTTGGCGGTTTTTATTGCTCACAGAATATACATATAGGCGCTACTTTTTTTGGGCCATAACACTTGCTATGAAACACTTTAGAACATTTAGAACAAAATTCCTCATCACCACACTATACATGCTTTTAACATCGCCCACATAAAGTATCTACTTCCAATTCATTTGTATCTGGAAACGTATTCTTAAGCTCAAGACAACGAGTGCATGTCCACTTTTTTGGTTTGCGTGTCAATTTGGGTCTCTAAAGTATAACTTGAAATATTACCATGCAAGACAGATGATATACATCCTCGCATATTCCACATCCAACTGATTTCTATCTTATTATCCAAGATTTGCATTCAGCACATACTTTATTTTTTTTGAACTTTTACAGTTCTAACTTCTTTTCTTCTTATGGATCAAAAATTGAAATTGGTTGCGTGTTGCTTTACTCCTTCATGCTCTAAGTACTCATTATAAATATTATTAATTATTATGCACATAAATTTTGCGCTATTTAATGATACAACTATAATGGACACAAAGAGAAAACCATTAAGTTTATAAAATTTATTATTTTGCCTACAATTATTTGGCAATCATATATAAAATATATTTCATTATTTAATATTAGTTTTTTTCTAATCAACTCAGTAATTACCAATTCATTCTTAACATTTTAATCCAAAATTCAATTACACAAAAATTTCATCCAAAATTACGAACTTACATCAACCCACTCCAAATTCCATCGCCATCAATAAATTAATTAAGTCGAATTATCAAAATTAACATTTCCTCTCATTTCTCAAAAATACTAAATTAAACAAAAAAACTTTCTTTGATTTTAAAATTCAATATCAAGAATTTTTAACGTTTAAATATAAATATATATTCATTTTTACATAAAACTTACATTAATATATATATATATTTGATCAAATAATTAAAAAAGCCTATGATAATAAATAATATTGTCATAACTAATTGCTATACGACTAAAAAAACTTATTGCGTTTTCGAAATGGTTAAATTGTAAGATTTCCTCGATCACCATTAATCAATTTAGAGTTGTACTTGAAATACTCAAAAATGCCATAAGTATTAACCAAGGCTTTCTAGTATATCGGTAGTATGCATGCTTAGGGTGCATGTGAGCCGGGTTCAATTCCCGGGAGAGCCCTTCTTTTTTAATATTATTTTTTATAATTAAATAAAATAATTTTAATTTCAAATTATATTCATCTATTATATTTCCTTTCAAAATTGAAAAATTGAAAATATATCGAAACTGAGGCTTATCCTAAAATTACTAAGAATTAACAGAACATTAACAATTCATTTGAATTTAAACTTACTCTGTTAATCCCTTCATTATAGAATACCCAAATGCTTAATATAACTCTTGAAATGCCTTGCAAATTAGATTTAATTTATGCATTGAAATGGAAAAGATTTAAATTTATAGTCTATTATTGCATTGATATAAATATTTGATAAATTAATTCACAACTCCATTTCTTACATTTCTATTTAGTTGATTTTTCTTAAAAAATCTCCATCAATATCAACTTTACATAATTTATATAGCAAAGGCAATAGTGTGATCAAAAACAAGGAGAAATATAATTCTAAAAATAGTTATCCCATTATTAGATATATAATATTGACGTCCAAATCATTGCTCATTACTACTTATCTAATCAGAATATGAATAGCCAATTATGATATGAGTAAACCAATAAGTATCAAAACTCTAACGAATCCTTTTAGTGTAAAAGTTTAATGATCGTATTGTTCGGGTTTATATTGGCCTGGAGTGAAATAGCAACATAAGTAAAGATAGAAGGGTAAAAAGAGTACACAAGTCCCAACCATTTCCTGCTTTTCAAAAGACATATTGAAACGATAGAATTGATTTACACATTTAGAGTTGCCCTTAAAGAATTGACCCCATTCTTATTATAACTAAATCAACTCATCATCATTGCTCCTAAGAATATAAAGTAGGAGTGAAATCAATAATGGGAATGTTAAGCAAAGCGCCAATTTTCCAATATGACGAAGTTTATTATTAAGCTAATCCTATTGATTATAGATTGCTTATTAAAATAATCTCTCTATTTGTTTTTCGAATTCACAATAATAGTAGACATAGAGTATATATCCACCAACAACCCACCCCATTATTACCTAACTTAGATAATTCAAGCCAAAATATGAATTGGATATACCTGTAATAAACAAAAAGGAAGCCAACATGAATTTGTATTGATTATAACTAAACATTGAATTTGGATAGAGTTATGTGTAAAGATCGTGACTTATTATAATAAGAATATTGTACTTTGACAATTGCTTGTATAAATATTGAAGTTTTCTATCTTAATTAATTGAGCTAAGAACACCTAAATCGTTGGCCTAGACTTTATATTTTTTAAATAATAAAGTTTCTGATACAATCACATAAAAAACAATAGACCTTAACGCATTATCGCTAGGGTCTCCATAACCCTTTTAACAGAAATCTAATCGAACATCAGACTCTTCATAAAAGGGTCTAGGTTAAATTAGGATCAGTTTGATGAAATGTCCAAGAAAAGCAGTAATCGAATAGATTGTAATTAATTTTAAAACTTGCTCTTTCAATCCTGATTTCAACCAAAGAATTACAAATAGCAATCCCATAAATTATCGACCTCCCAATACATAAAAAATAAGCAGGAAACTCTCTAAATATAATTGATCTATTATAATTTACCTACTAATCCATTTTCATCCCCATAGTCAAATTACTATTACATGTATTCAGTGATTGAATCGCTTAAATCAAAGGTCGCCTTCCCATATGAGTAATCAAGCAAAATTAAAATACACAACAATAAAGTTGAAAGTATTAATTTTTACATTATGTATTTTTATTTATTAATATAAAATATAAAGACAATCAATCTAATTTGAGTTTTGAGTATGATTTCAAAGGTATTGGAATGTTTACTACTGCCTAAGTAGCAAAGACTTTGTTTTGCACAACAAATTCCAAAATCAACGAACCAAAAAACCAAAATATTAAGAATATCGACAAATACTGCATCCATGAAAATTTCAAGGCTTCAATAATCTCCGTTTAATACATTACCATCTCCTTGTTTGGAATTTACAAAGTCATATTTATTGTTAATTATGAAGAATGACTCAAATAGACAGGTAAATAGACACCCTTTTGGATGTCCACTGTTGTACTGGTGTTTGTATTATTTGTTGTGGTGTCATTAGTGGTTGTCTGAAATGCTATTGGAAATTAATCCTTATCAAGTTCTGTTTCTCTCGCAGGTGTGTTTGTGACTTCCAAGGCTGTAGTCGGAGGAATTATATATGACACATAATCATAAAAGATTGACTCTAACATCAATGACCTAAATATACCATTTCGATTGTAGATCGTATTCTCAATTATTTCTATTGGGTCTAAGAGTACTTAGCCTAATCCATTGTAATATGATGAATAGTTATATTTCGTTCTTGGTGTCTTCCTAAAAATGTCTAATCACTCACAGTACCCTGAAAAAATTGGATGTCTCTGACTCAATCTCAACTGTCCAATCGTTGATGCAGATGATATCCCATGTGGAGATTTCAAAGATGCAAAGGCATATCCTTGCATATTCATGCTGATAGTCTCATCTAAATCGTATTCATAAAATATAAGGATTTGAATTTCCCTTATTTATTTTATCGCTTATTCTGTGAGCAAATCAACGAAGAAATTAGATGTGAAGTTACTAGTTTTGGCTTGAAATTCATCTTGTTCATTCTGACTTAATGATTTTTGCTGCAAATCATTCAAAAACTATTACACTAAAATAAAATGCACCAGGTTAAGTTGCCCCCAATACTAATTATATTTCAGGGATATTCGTATAGGTTTTCTGAGTCCCGTCACTCAAGAGGATTTTCAAATAATATTCATCAAAACTACTCACTTTTGGAGTTTGAAATGTTGTCCTTTTCAAAATCCAAAAATCTAGTAATAAACACAACTCAAACCTGCAGTTGTAAATCCTATAAAAAAAGGAAGCAAAATCATCACCATATAGAGAAATACACAGAATAAAAAGGCACCTGAACATTTATTTGCAAAATAAAGCGTAGCATATTATTCTCTAATTAAATTTACCATTTAAAATTTTATAATTTCTATAACTATATCACGCATTCTCAATACACACCTAAATCGTTATTAATTCAATTGAATCTAAGTGTAATTGCTTATGATGATATGCGCTCTCATTGTCTCAGGTGTTCTTTAAAACAAAGACCATATAAAGCAAGTTCTCTTTCCTATTCAAAAACTAACAAAATTAAATAAGTTATGGTGTTTTTTCTGCTGCTAAATATTAGTATTTTTAACATAATGGAACTGATTAATTATAATTTAAAATCCAAAGAATCATTAATTATTTAATATAACATCCTTATGTTCTACTTTCGAGAATGAAAAGTATTGCTATATTAGAATAAACAAGTATAATTTAAAGTAAATCAATAATAGTGCAATTCTCGAAAACTGGATTGAACTAAATTAGCCATCAAATTATAAGCTAAAATCTTAAGTTATTGTTATTGATTATATCATATCTTCGATAATCATTTAAATTTGTGTATTATCTAAAATTATAATATAAGGTTGTATTATAATTAATTTTTTGTTGCTATGAAATAATAGGAAATTAATTCAACGAAAATTTTAAACATAATTTGTTGTAGGGCTAGACAATTTATGAGGAATGAAATGTAATATAATTATTATGAAGATTAATCATATAAATATGTAATCGTTATTATCAGTTATTTACCTCGTAACCGATCTTTAATTTAGGCTGAAAGTACTTAAGAATATTAGAAATTTCAAGAAAATCTTTTGTCTATGAATTAAATATAAGATTATATATTGAATAATAGTTCAAATCCATGCTAGTTCTTTATATCCACAAGGGTTCTTGTTTTTATATAGAAGGGTTTGCTTACAATTCATGGATTGTTAGAAAATCTCATACTCTTGTTGAGTATTTTTCTTATTAAAGTAGTCAATTTGGTTCTAGTATATCCGTTAAGGATTCATGAGAAAGGATTTAAGGGGTTCATCGACTTTAAAGAGCCAAAATTCAATGAACACGATTTGATTTGGGTTGACTTGTGTTCTTTTAAACATTTGTCTCTATTCTACAGTGCATTTGTATTGAGCACCTTCATAAGTGTTAATATAGGTCTCAAATGATCGAAATGATTGAATCGAATTGGCAGAAAGATCACACCATATTTTCAGAGAAGGCCCAAGATCGAAAATAGATGGAAGTGTTTTGGTCTCATGCAAGTGATTTAACATCATTTCCTTGCTCACTCCCATAAGAGTATAGAATTAATCATTAACAATTCTCTAAGACAAAGAACTGGAATCCTTATTAACCTTTTGGATCGTACATTGATAAGGATACTCTTGAGCTATTTTTTCGACATCAAGTAGATCTTCATTTGAAATATATGGTTATTAAGTATATTCTTGGATGATCTTGTGTCGTTCCTGGACTAATTAGGCTGCCTTAATAGCATGAGGGTCAGTTTGATGAGAAAGCAGTTAAATGATTTGATCAATGGAGTGGTTGGCTTGGTCTAGTAATTCAAGAGTGTAAAAGTAGACGTCATCAATTTGGTCAGTGCGTGAGACTCTATAATTATAGGTGCAGGGTGTTTCTTTTAAAGCGCCTAGACAATGATCTGGTATAAAAGAAAGAGCTAATTTGAGTTCTACATTCGATTTGATGTAGACATGTTCTTTAAATGGTTTTGGCACTGAAACTAAAGAGATGAGTTGTTTTTATGAGTGACGTTTTCTTGTTTAGGGTTCTATTTTTATAAAAAACCTTACTTTTTTTTTATATATTCTTAGATTGTATTGATTAAGTAAGGGACTCATCATGCATCCCTACTCTTTGGCGAACTATTAAGCTCATTATTGAATTTTAATTTAATATTTTAAGAAATATGCAAATCCTTTTGGATATATTTGAAATTAATGAATAGTATTGCTGATTTGCAAATCGGAATGTAATATCAAATTTATATATTTTTATATTATTACTGCATGATCTCAATAATAATTAAAGAGTATAAATTAATAATTGTGATCCTTTAGCCATTCGCTTATTGATAAATTGCATAGAGTCTGAGACATCTCTGGGGGAGGAACATACTTTTAGGATTGTGAAATGAAAAGAGGAAAAATAAAGTACTAAAAAAGTAAGTTGTTTTAGATAAAATAAATATTGGGTTGTATGAAAATCTAATTGACAAGCATAAACTATCGTAAGCTAAGCTGCCACCCGTTTTCTGATTTGGTTTTCGAGTGAACTTGACAAACAGATTTATAAGTCAAAATCTGATGCTTCGAATGTCACTCTGAAATAGGTCTCTTCCTTAATTATCTAAATGAGATTTTATATATGAATTAATATTATGGGAAACATAAATAAAGGAGGTAGTCAAATTTTACGAAGGAATTTTGAGTATTCATATTTGCAGGTAGTCAATTAGGTAGTAAATTGAATATAATTAATCACATGCCCAAAATGTTCATGTTTTTTATATTGGAATTGAACGTATATATAATTATTTGAAATTTTGAAATATCGATGATAGAAGAAGAGGGACAACAAGCAAAGAGCTAATTGGAACAGCAATTGATAGAAGCAATTCTAGACTCACTACAGAATCATATGGACCAGAATGCCATCTTTTTGGGTAAAGAGTGTTGAGTTCAAATTTCAATAGCTGAGAGATTGGTGTACGAACGAGATACAGAGGAGCACAGATCACTATTGGCAGAATGCTATTTGCATGAGAACCAGCCTTATAAGGCATGTCATATATTGAAGGAATGCAAGTCAGAGTTTAATCGGTATATCGAAATGTTTAATAGAAACGCAGTTATCAACTGGCTGTTGCATGGTTCAGGAGTAAAAAGTACAAGGAAGCTGAGATGGCATTAATTGGACCTTCCTTTAGCAATCAATTCGCGATACAGTCAACAACTGTGCCAAATGGAGGTTTTGGCCACCTCTTATTGGGATAGATTCATGAACAAATGCATAGACTAGAAGATGCCAAAATCCAATATTATAAGGCTTTGGATTAGAATCCAACTCTTTGGATGGCCTTTGAAAGGTTGTCCAAGATTGGCGAACCAGTTGCAATCAATAAAGTGTTTATTGAACAAAAATAAAGACAATATGAGACAAGCAGATAATAGAGTTGTAACATTTACAAAATAATTGCTAACTTACTTAAAAGCAAATCAAATATTGGTAAATCAGGTTCAAAAGAAGTTGAAGATGTTAAAGAAGAATCTCTAATTACTGATAATGTAATTTAAAATTAAATAATAAGCAATTGGCAAATAAGAGATAAACCCAAGGAGTGAAACCATTCTCAACAACTGGAGTGTAGGCTTAAATAATGCATATGGATGACTCATCAAATAGTTAAATGAAGTTTTCCTGTAAGTTTAGTATGATAATATTTTAAGAGCCTTAATAAAAGAAGGTGGGGGCCAAGATGATCCCAACTCCTGGCATTGGATTATAAAATTATCAATCTCTACTAAGTCAACCATTCCAGTTGTCATAAAATTCAAATAAGAATTACAATGCAAAAAAGAGCGACATCCAGAAAGTCAGTAGTGTTGCTCTTTCATCTTCGTCTAGTTTAATGAAGTATTGAAATTATTCTAGTGGAAGCTTACCTCAACTCTTAAAATTATTTGCTCATCCATATCAATTGTGGACTAATTATTCTGTGGAAGCAATAGCCAATTTTTAGAAACTGCCTCCTCAGCATTACAGATCAGGATGGGTTTTAGAGAAGGTCGCTAGAAGCTTTATGGATTAAGTCAAATATACAGACGCAGAAAGAGTTTGGAAGGAGTTGAGACAAATTGAACCCACTCGATTGGAGGGTATGGATTACTACTCATCTTGTTTATGGCATTTGAAGAAATAATCAGAATTAACATATTTAGCACACTCTTGTTTACAAATCTCTACATAAGCACCTGAAACATGGATTGCAATTGGAAATTGTTTTAGCTTGACCAAAGAAATAGACAATTCAATCAAATTCTTCGGCAGAGCCATTCAATTGAGGAAAGATTACTCTTATGCTTACACTTTGTCTGGACATGAATTTTCACAAAATGAGAACTTTTAATAGGCCAAAAAATCATATGAGGCCGCAACCTCATTAGACTAGAGACAATACAATGCTTGGTGGGGTTAGGGTAATATGTATTACAAGACCGATAAATATGAGGATGCCATCAAATGCTTCATTTAAGCCATCAGAATAAATCCCAATAACCCTGTTCTACCTACATTTTTAGCTATGAGCTATGCAGCCAAGGGTGAACACAATGATGCTTTAAAGTATTTTGAATAGAGTGAGAGATTAGATCCCATGAATGGACTCAACAAATACTAGAAAGTACATAATTGTTTTGATCGAATTAGGCAAATTCATTAATTAAAATGGATAAGTACGAATAAGCTTTGAGTGAATTGCAGACTTTGAGTTAATTTATTCCCAAAGAAGCTGCCATCTATATTCTTATGGGTCGGATATTAAAAAAGTTGAATAAGATCCAAGAAGCATAAAAGTAACATTAAATTTTAAGCTTTTAGTTGTTTCAATATAGCCATGTCACTTGATATGAAAGATTAGGCTAAGATTAAAGGGCTGATGGAAAGTCTGAGCAATCCCAACAGTGAATTCAACGATGATTTTGATTTATGACATGATAATCAATATATGTGCTCGTCTACGGCTATTTAGACAAATTCCTTCTTGTAATCTCCCACTGATTCAGCTCCAGTTGCAAGCTAGTTGATTCGAGCTGTGCGAACCAAATACTCAGATAACTCTTCTTTCTCACACAAAGTTTCTAATGAAAGACGACGAATCCAATCAAATCCAGAGAATGCAATTCCTGTATACAACATGTACTTTGGGTACTAATGACACTCTATGCTATTTAATAGACTCCTTACTATATAGAAGTGGTTGACGTATCACTCTGCTAACTGTCATTCTGATACCCATTCCAAACAGACATCCAAAAATAAAAGCACTTTCCATTATATTAATAATTATTATTAAGACTAAGATTATTTTACATATAATTCAATAACTTATCTGAATAAGATATAAGCTCAAACACTCACTTAAAATCACAATTCACTTGTTTATAATACAACGACTTTAACAAAATTCAACATGAAGTAAAAATGTACTCCAAAAATTTTTGATAAAAATGCAATGAAATCTAATTAAAGTGCTTTTAATTTATTTTTAATAGCCAATTAGAACCATTAAACTGTAATTAAATCATAATTAGAAATGAAAATAAATGCAAAATTATCTATTAGAAATAGAATAGTTAAAGTAAAATAAGGAATTAAATAATCAGATATGTAATTAATTAATATACAGAATTGAGTACTTCTTTACATCAATAAATATCAGTATAAAAAATCTATCTCAAAATAACAATTAATTTAGAATTCAATCCAATATAGACCTCCAAAATTAGGAATGTGATAAATTCATACAAAAAATAATAATTAATTTTGTTGATTTAATTAATTTTTATTTTTATAATGTCTTAACATATTTAAGCATCTGTTTAATTCAGTTTTCCAAAGGCTTCTAGATTTCAAAGAATCCGCACACCTTGTCAGACAGACTATTATGAACCAAATTATTTTCGCAGCACCAGGGCATCAGGATTTGGTTATGGCAAGAAGTTTGATTTCACTAAAATTCATTTCTACACAGAGACCTATTATGATCCTACCAGCTCTTTTTCTAATCACAAGGGGACAAGTTTTGGATTAGGACGAGATCTTGTTAAATATAGAACATACTATCAAGGGAATCGAGTACCAGGCCCTGGGGCTTACAATAAAAGTTCTAATAGGACAGTCGGTTTTAAAATTGGTGAAAAGTTAAGCAAAACCTAACAAGCTTCTGAAATGCCTGGTCCTGGGACTTATGATCCAAATTTATACAAGCAAAGAAGTATATCCATCAACAAAAAGCCTGAAAGATTTTCAACTGATTCAACTTTCAATCCTGGACCAGGAGAATACTTCGCTCAATCAAAATCCTGTTAATCTAAGGGGAAGTTCGGAAATGCTCAAAGAAAATGTTTTATTGATGAAGCAGTTAGAGCTGCAGAGAAAAGTGGAGGTATTAATCAATCATAATTAATTAGTGCCAGGGCCAGGGAATTATGACAATTTCACTCAGTTTGTGTAGCTAGAAAAATCACATAAGCGTCCCTCTACTGCCAAAAACTGAATATATAAATCTATTTATAATAACTTTAATCAATAATAAGCACTAGTTACAATAACTAATTTTTGAATCTACCAATCAAGTTAGAAGTGAAATGATTAAGTTCTCAATCTGCTGTTATTTTAGGATTGTTTTCCTTATCAATTCAATATTTAAATTATTATTATAATTCAGATATGATTTTACAAGTTATTATAATTAATAGTTAATAAAGTAGATTTAAAAGTAACTTGGTTTTAAATTACACATAATATGAAGTTAGTCATCCAATATTATCATAGTATTATAAATATTTTTATACAATTCAGGATTAATTGAATCAAAACTCAAAATATTTAATGATTTCTAGGATATACACAGAAAATGAGATTAAATTAGTTGGTATGTTTAGTTGCATGCCCCTTGAGGCAACTAAGTATTAAATTTCATTTTCCTTAAAAATGGCATAGAAGTATGATTTGCATTTCCATCCAAATATCTAAAGTTTGATGTAATTTATATTTATATTTAATATTAATTACACAAAATCATTCTAAATATGAAATTTTATAGCAATATAGTTGGTTGATTTTAATTAAAAAACATAAATAGAATCCTTATTTTGAAGCCCATTTTATCTTCTATCATAATGTGACTAAATTTATTTATATAGTTATCGAAATTTTTGCTCTTAAAGTTCTATAATGGGAATTTTGATTTTTGAATTTTATGTAATTCAAAAAAGCTTCTCGAATTTGAGAAACTCAAAATGTGTATTGATGTCAATGTTTTATTATTCGAAAGAAAAGGAAAGATGCTCCAAAAAGAAACGCTTAGAATATTTTATCATCAATTACAAATTTAATATAGACCATTATTATTAATATTAACCAAATAAAAAATATTTTATTATTAATCAATTTATTTGAATTTATCAAATAATTATTTTTTAGTCATACAACTATTCTCTGTAATTAAAGCTTCTGATTTCTAATTGGGAAACTTTTTCAGAGAAATTCACTGAACCAAATTCGAAAAATAATGAATTAGCACATCCTTACCTTTGAGATTTACAATTTTATGATCTTTCTAATGATATCTTTCATTACTTAACATCCTCAAACCCAATCAATTATTGGTTTAGAATAATTCTTGCTCATAGAAACTCAATAATTAATTAAAAAGAATATAGATGCAAGGAATTTTGAGCCTCTAATTTTGAAATAGTTGTTTTTAATAAAAAAAAATTCTTACGAAAATAATAATAATTTTTTGGGAAGTATTTGCTAATTCAATGGTTCTATTAATAATTAAGAAATGTAGTATAAATTATCATAAAGTATTTTTAATAAATGTTATCATACTGAAGTTCCTTTTTAAAGATGACAATGACATCATTAACGGGAGAAACACTAAGGATTAGAAAGAATTTATTTTGAATTGATACAATTAATATCATTTAAATATAAACATCCTCATCTATCAAATAAAAACGAGATTAGGTGTGAAATATTAAAATATGAGTATATATAAAAATTTTTAAATGAATATAACACTTCTGTCTAGAGTATGACTTTGATAGAATCATAAATAAAACCATTAAAATTTTTCTCATTAATTAGCAAAAATAATGGATTAGTGAAGAAATTGAATCCGCAAATATGGATGTAAATGTGGATTCCATGTTTATGATGTGTTTTCTTGCTTTTATCAAAATAAGTTTGAGATTTGGTTTGTTTAGAGATAAAATTTAAAAGACTCAAAATAATCTAATAGAGAGTTAGAAAATTTGAAAAAGAATTGAAATGTTCGTAATGAAAGAATGTCAGATTGTGATGAAATGGGAAATAGTTGTAAGGAGTGTTTGGAATGAATATTTTTTGTTTAAAATGAATTGATATCTATTTCACAATTTCACTTAATGAGTCATCAAGTTGCTTTAGAAAATAAGAAGGTAAACCACTCTTAATGGATGTTTGCACTAGAAGTTCATGGTTACAACATGAATATGTGCATCATGAAAACACAAGGAAATAAAATTGTTCAAATGCATAATTGAATTTATGTTCCAATCTCTTTGTCATTTCCATTATATTAATTATATAATCATAGTTCTGCGTATCTCATCAATTTATCCTTGTAAAAGTAGTATTGTTTTTAACTAACATACAGCTCGTAATCGAGCATTATTAGCAGTTCTTCTTCTAATTTGTTTAACTCTGAGATTGTGATTCCTCCCACTCTGGCATAGTAGTCATTCTTATAGTAATCGTCATCATTATATTTGATGCTAAGAATGATGCAGGCGAACATAAATCTAAAATATTGATCTTTTATACCTATGAACACAAAAACTATTGATAACTACGTCTTGGTTCTTTTCTTGAATCCTGTCTATGTAGATTAATGCCAATATGAAGCATTCATTGCTGCAATAAGAGTACATTTAAATGCGCTCCAAGTACTTAGCCAAACTTATTGAAGGTTTTTTGTTTGTATGAAATACAGTTTGTTAAGGACTCTCAATTATGTCAGTTTCTCTAACGATTTCATCTAAAACTCTGGCAATTGAGTATATGATTCTATCTTCTAGGAATTCCTACATTCCTCCAACAAATTCTACATCCATTTTTCCTAAAAGATATATATGTAATAATTATATATATTATATATAAAATTATGATATGATATTAAAATATAGATCATTCGAACAACACAATTTTTAGCAATCATTCAAAATATATGAATAATCCAATTTAATGTCTGTTTTGTTGAAGTCATCCTTGAGTTGCCATAATAGAATCCAAACATTTTCACAAAATTAATTTCCAGACAAATTGATGAATCCAATCACTTTTTATGAAGCTCGATAAATGAAATTTAATTTACAGTAAAAATTATCATCCCCTAAAATCCGATGTCTAGAACTCAATCACAAGACTTCTGTTGGCTCTTTCAATCAAAGTGATTACACCTCTCAAAACTCGATCATATCTTTTTGTTTTTAGATATACGATTCAATTAGGGAAGAGCCTCATGAAGTAAAGAATTTAAAAATTTTAATCATTTATGTTGAAATACATTAAGAATCAAATCAGAAACTCATTCTTTGGAGATACATCATATCTTCATTGAGTTTGAACAGCTATTGAACCAGGATTTACAAATTTTGACAATAGGAGCCTCTATCACTCTAAAATTTATATTTGTGAATTAACTTTATGATTTAATTAAATAACGAAAAATCTTTAAAACAATTCCAATTATGTCATCAGAATATGATGCAACATTTTTTGTATAATTCTTCTCTCAAAGACTACTTTTTATTTAAGTTATTGTTAGAAATTAAGGAAAATGAGAAAATATAAAAAATCAAAACTACTCACACTTCTTCTTCGTCAATTTATTCCAAAGGTTGATGATATCTAGCTGATAGAGTTTTGCTTTTCGTTATAATCGCCTTTCCAGAGTGATTCAAATGCTTTCCCTGTTGCTGTTGGATGATTTTTGTCCATTCGTCGAGGTCGTCCTATCGTTATTCTTAAATCGGAATTGTAGAAAATTTAAAATCTTTCTTTTGCTTCTGAGTTACACATCCCATCTATTTTTAGTTTTGAAAAGTTAATATTTTATATTTTTAAGTGTTGTACTAAATATTTTTAATTAAATATCACGCTTTAACAATAACTTAAAACATCTCAGACAATACTCTACTCTATTATACAATTTTTTCAATAATCACAAATCAAATGTTCATTTTTCTTTAACTTTGCCAACAAACCTTTATTACCCTAGTTAGAAACCAAATTAAATCATTCCAGTAACTAAAAGAGACTTAAATAACTAACAAAATACAATTATATAATAAATAAATAGAAAAAAATATGTTCTTATAAATTTAAAACAAACAAACAATCTCTAAGAATCCATAAAAGCTAATTATGTACTCAGAGAACAAGCACTCTATCAATGAAATTAGAAATGCTTAAGAGAAGAGCTAAGTCCTCCAATTTTTGAGAGTAAATAATGTTTATCAATTCTAATATATGTTAGTAAGGATTATATTTTCGTAATATTTTATCAATTGATTTAGAACTAAAGATATTTTTATATAGGATTCTTGAAATTGAAGTTTACAGAACGATAATGCAGTAAATGGTGCTTCACCTCAAGATCTTAATTTTCTAATTGCATAAGTTAGAGTTGATCCCTGAGTGGCATGAATTCTTCAATCTCAGAAAAATGATTAACAGTTTTAGCTTTGCTATAAGTTTTCTTAGAAAGAAAGTAAGAATCAGAATTCACAAAATCAACATAAATGCTTTCTGTACTCTTGATTGATCGTTTTTTATTATCAGATTCCATACTATTGAGTTAAGAAGAGGGATTAGAGTTGCCATTCATTGTAGTTGATCTATTTATTCGAGATGCTTTAGATGGAGTTTTTTCGATTGACCTAAAATAATGTAATTTATAAATACAATTAGATTTAGATTTATTAAGCACTATCATATTTCTTGGTTTTTTACTGATTTACTTTCCATTCTTATTTGGTTTGATAATTTCTATAATGACCTTAGTACCAATCAAAAATCACCCATTATATATGTAGAGGAGAATTTTCAAAAAGTCCTTTTAGCTTTCGATAATTTGGAATTTAAGATGATGCCAAATTCTGGATTTATTTCATATAACTTCCATTTAAATCGATTATTACTTCAGAATTTAAGAGGGACATCCTTCACAAAGTTTTTCCAAAGGAATGCTCTTCTTCATTTAGCCAATTTTCATTAAGCGATTTTCTTTTATTTTTTCACATTTCATCCATGGTAACTCTTACTTAATCAAGTATATAAGGACATATCCCAAAGCCTCCAAATCATCTTTTCTGCTTTATTCTTCTCCAAAATGAGCTGCTATACTTGCATATCTACTCGTTCCAATAAATGGAATTTTTTAATAAGTATATCTTGACTATTTTGTTAAATCTTTGGCTATTCCAAAATCAATCAAATGTATTTGATTACTATTAGCTCTTCCCAAAATATTCTCTGGTTTCAAATCTCTATGAATGATATTTCTATAAATATTTAAAACATTTTATTACAGCTTATGTGATTTTTCTAAAATCTCCAACATTTGATATGCAATATTGTAGACGCAATCCATCGAAAATTTTTTATGTTTTTTCAAATAATGCATCAAATCAAATCCCAGCATGTTTGTAATCATTATTTATAAACCATTTTGTTCCCCAAACCAAATTAATTCAGGCACGCCTTAGACTCCTTGCAGTTTAGTTAAAATGTCTATCTAAATTATTTCTAAAAGATGCACCTCTCTGTTTAAACTGAAGAATCTTTGCATCTACTATTTTTCTACTTTTATAGCGACATTCCCTCCAGTTTATAAGTTTCTTCCCAGGTATACCTTTCCAAAAGAACCTTAAGAAAGAAGTTTAAGAACTTTGTATAAATTGGCCACTATTTGTCCTTGTTAAATGTCAGACATTATGTAAAATCTAATTGATTCTCAATTTGATTAAAATTTTTATGATAAATTCAAAAATTGTTAATGGATCCTTAAATGTCAGATATTTACTATATAAATATGCTTAATTAAAGCAAAAATTTTTCTCCCCTTTCATCAAAAAAATTCTAAAATTAATTATTTATTAGGTGATTATCTATAAATTAATAGATGATATTATTTATCTTGTAATGTAAATAGCATTTAACAATTTTCATACAATCTATAATCACTTACAGTAATTTTTATTATCTAAGTTCATGTAATTGCCAACTTATGTCAGAGAAACATACTGTTCTAATAACTTTAAGAATTATAAATCAAAATTATAAAATTAATATTTATTTTAATAAAACATCTTTAAAATGAAATTATTCCATTTGACATGATTTTATTAGATTTAATTCCTGAATAACAGATTATCTTAGTTTCAATCTACTCTTACCTATATTTTGAAATTTAGTAACAGGTGCTTTCTTTTTTTGATTTCTAGTTTAAATTGAATGAAATTATTGTGATTGTTTAATTACATAGAACAGTTTAGGTAGAAATATTTTAAAGCTTCTATCAGACTTTCAACAAAAGTCAAGATGAGTTATATCTCAGTATTTAAATTAAATTCTGCAGATAAGAGGTAGCCTTTATAATTTTGAGAAAACATATAATGTTGTATCAAATAGAGAAGGGAAATTATAGCTTATAAGGTTTATTTATAAAAATTGCATATACAAGAGGACTATGAAAATCGATCTATTTTATAAATTTGCATTTTTTGTTTTACTTAAAACTCAGGAACATATTTTGAAGATAATGAAGCATATGCATTCTAGAATTTTATTTTGAGTGATTTAATTTTTAGAAAGATATTTGATTAATCAATTATAATCAATTATAATCAAGTGTTAATATATGATTTGCGATCCATTTAAAAGTATGCAATTGATAATTGAATATTTCTTGCATAATTATTCAAATTAAATTGAATTGAATATGCTATCTGGATCTATAATTTAATGGATCAAATGAGTACTCATAATTTCTTATTTAAGTTTAATATCATACAATAAACAAATGTATTTAATTAAGTATAATGTTATACATCACTTCCATATTAGAGGAATTAGAGAACATAATAATACAATGTTTCCAATTAATTGTTCTGTATTGAACTTTGCAGAAAAAACAAAGAAATCAATCAGATACCCAAAGAATAGTTAAATTTAACTAACATTTGACACTACACTTAATTTGCCCTCTCTCATAGATTGAACCTACAATATTCCTGCCAATAAAGATATAACTGAAGCAATTGTGATCATAAAGGTCCCATTTACTGAGGGTATCTTAAAACTAAAAATGATGAATTATTATACTTAGTTCCATCAAATAGAGAATTGATTACAGGTAAATTAATCGCAAAAAATGCTTAGTATAAAGTTATTACAATGCTATCAACCTAAATTGAATTATATAAAATACTTATTTATTAACAGATTTAACTAAAATATTAACTATTGCTTAAGTAATGGATGCAACCAATATCAAAATTATGCCAATCCAATGGTAATAGGAATCAACTGCAAGTTATGTCTAATTGTTGTTTTTTGCTATTAAAAATATTCCTAAACCAGACATTGTCATATTTATAATTAATCGAATATTGAATTATTCCTTCTTTAATACTAATATATAAATGATCGATGTCCACAAAGGAGACATTCTATTCAAAAGAATCGATTCAGATACAAGTACGAAATTTAATCCTTTAAAATAAATGAATGCCCCAAATCCACCAATTATACCTCTATTAATTAAACTATCCATTGTTGGCTTATCAAAGTTGTAAACTTGAAGTTTATAGTAGATGGTAGCACTTGCAAGCAGTGTTAACCCTATTAATGCCCTTAGATATAAGGTTTAATTAAAATCTAAGTCTGAAACCATTTTCAACAACATTGAAGCTACAGCTGCAAATAAGGAGGACACTACTTGTTTGACTATTGCAGTAGTTTATATTTGCATTTTATTTAACAGATTATTTATTTTAGAGATATAATATTTCAGTTATTTTTCCCTCAAAATTCGTTTATAATATGTTGAGAAAGATCTTTACTATTATATTTGTTTTATTATTTTTTATCAATAGGTTAACAATGTTAGTCAACATAAATAATTACTATTGAGTCTTTAGAATACTTACAGTTATTCTTTACTTTTGATATACATTTATATCTATCTATACATATACTATGAAGAATACGAATAATCAGTATTATTTGATAGTATAACCAGAGATAATTGTTATTCCGATTTTAAAGATTCATCTAATTAATTACATATACTAATTTCTTAATTATTTTATTTTAAGATTTAATCAATATGTTAAGCTTTCTATTAATATGACAATATTTTTATATGTTTAGTTATAAGAATGAATACGCTTATTGTATGTCAGTTCTTTTTAAACAAATGATAATATTGTTTAGAATGCTATCTTGATTATTTAATGATTTTTTATTAAATTGTTTATATCATTAATTTGAGAAATTAAATAAAATTTTATTGAATTATTTAACAAAAGTATATGTTATGGTTTATCAGATAATACCATAATTTCCTATGTTTCCTTGGCAATCAAGAATTATCTTATACAAACATATACCAAATTAATTATTAGTTGTTTTAATAAGTTAATTTATTATACTATATATATATCTTTTCAAGTTGATTATAAGAAAGAGATTCTTAAATGCGAAAAGAAGGAATACTAACATTTACAGATTAGCTGGAATTTCGTAAGTTAAGAACTACAGTGCCATGTCTTAACGCATCTGAGCTTTTTATACCTTTGTCAACTCTTTCATCATTTTTATACAAATTGCTTTTCCATTGCAATCATTTATTCTAATGTTAACATTTAGATTTAATAGTTAAGCATTCCTGATCCTCATAGTACCATTCAACAATCTGCTGTGTATTTGAATCCTATTTAGAACAGAGACTCTGTCCTTCATCCATTCAGATTTACATTTCCTATGTTAATTGGCTTCGCATTTTATCAAAAAGCATCGAATTATGTGCTCTAAATCTCGTCTATAACCTTCACTTAGAAGGAAGTTTAAGAAGAAGAGTATCTTTTTTAGTTGAACTCTATAAATGCGAGCAACGTATATTGTAAATTAAATTATTGAATTGATGTTAATACTGTGAATCATATTATAATATTCATTGCTGGACTTTATTGATAAAATAAATGAATTATTAAAAAATAAATGTTTTATGCAGATTCTATCTAAGATGATAAAATTAAAACTTATTTAGTGTAAGTTGAGCAAGAACAAGAGAGAAAGGATAGAATTAAAAAACTGGCTGAATCATTAATGAATAAGACCAAATTAAAATTGAAGTATTCAATCATAGCGACATTAGGTTATCGAATAAGGAATCTAAGAGAGAAGAGTAATTTAATAAGAAATTAGAAGAGATGAAACAACTCAGTACTTTCGTAGATGCAAGACCCTCTATTAATCGATTAAATTTACTTAATGATAGAAATCTATTATTAAAACTCTAAGTGATTTAGAAGACATAAAAATATTAGGATAGTAACAAACATAGCGAAAATAAAACTTAAAATCTAAAACAGGAATTTCAGTCTCTAAATTCCCAGCCCCTTATTTTGGATGAAGAATTCAAATTATAATTTTTGGCTTCTTAGAATTATGAACCAATCTAAAGAAAACAGCTTTCAATACCGAAGAGGTTCTAACCGGAATCCCCCAAAGATATTGAGGCCCCTATAAAAGGCGAAGAATTGCTCAACTTTGATCCTTCTCCGAAAAACGATTCAAATCTCTTCTATCGTTCAGTGTTTAGAACTAGTCCTTCTCCTTAAAGAAAATAGTAAATTCAATAATTTGAAGAGGAAACTCAAAAGGCCAAATAGTTTCTTCAATCCTAAGGACTGATGGAGAAGCAGACATCAAAGAATCAAAAGAGAACTCCATTGAGAAAAATACCAATTTAACAATACTATTAGAACTTTCAGAAGTAATGCCGGTCATTAGTGAAGGATGTGGCTATGGAATCGAGAAGGAGAAGGATTATGAGTCATATGAACGAGAGTGAAGGATGTTCTTCTAAGAAAGAGATTGTGAAAGAGGCCATCAATCATAAAAGTTAAAATACGATTACAATGAGCACCATGAAGTTAAATAAATCATAGACAAATTCTTTTTCATCTCCAAGATAAAAAATCAATAATTCCAATCAAAAGAACATGTTGGGATCGTAAACTTAAAGAATTTTAAGGAAGTCAAAAAGTATATTTGATTCTGAATAGAACAGTCCTATCAAAACAAGATTGCAAACTTAATTTGAGTCATTTACTTAAGCTGTTAACAAGACTCAGGAGGCATTCAATAAGATAAATAAGGGGAATGAAAAAATTATTCGAAGGATGTCTACTGCTGTTAGTAGTATTCACAAAAAGTATAGTAATGGGATTGTTTAAGTTTAATGAATAATTATATTTATAATTTCTCATTTAATAGGATATTAATTTAATCTAAGAAATGGGATGTGGGGTTTCGAGATAACAATAGGAAAGACTGAAGAGTTATGTAAATTTTATTGGGAATTTTAGAAAGAAAAGTTGGAAGAATTAGGATAAATAAATGATTAATTAGCAAAGTATATAGCAGATTTGAGAGATGTCAGAAATAAAAGAAAACCTATTTATATTATCAAAGATTAAGAGGTATTAGGAATATTAAGATTTTGAGAGGTGGAAGATTTAACAAATTATAAAGAAGATCTAGAGAAGAAGTTTTAGTTGATTGAAAAAGAAATCTTACGAGTCAATAAATAATTACAAATATAAGCTAAGGCAGAACCGAAGAAAAAAAGAAAAACTGCTAAACCTATTGATATTGATGATCTAGCTGATGAAGAAGAATGGAAAAAAGTTTGTTAATTTATTTCTAAAATAGAATATGATGAATGATAATGATATCACCATCAAACCTTTTGATGATGCTCAACTCGAAATAGAATCAGATAATGTCGAAAAGAAGGATATCAATAAAAGTTCTTAAAGTAATTGATAAATTTAAGTAGGCGATGTTTTGTAAATGGATTCCTAATAACATATTAAAAGACAAATAGTACTTGCTGAACAAAAAGATGAATAGAATAATAATTAGGAATAATAATTGCAGTTTGACAGTAAAAAAATAATAATATAAAATGTTCAATAACATGAATAAAATAATTAGGAGGAATAATCAAAACTTGAATAATAGGATTTACAAAAGATCAAAATGAGTATCTAAGAGGCTTTGGGAGATGATCTCTAAGCATATAATGATGAAATAAAAAACAAGTTATTTTCTCAGGATTTGAGTAATCAACCATAATAAACATTGAAAAATAGTGAAATTGAGATATGTTTCAATGAATAATCTTTGGAATAATTAGATTAAAGTCCAGAAAAATACATTACTACAATCCCAAAAAAGAGTAAATAGAGCTAACCTCAAACTTTGACTTAAATGTAAAATTGTTAATAGTAAAAAGCAGAAAAATAATTATTCTTCTCTAAATAACGTCCTTCTGTTAATAATTAACAAAGAGGATCTAGGAACAAATATCAACTATGATTTTAATGTTTTAATATTTATCAAAATTATTATAAAAACAACTCATTAATTAAAGTAATTCTGTAAATGAACTCCTAATGTATAATTTCTTATATACAATTTAAATTCGAATTAAATAACAATCTTACATGTGACATTAATTAAATCATATTTTAATCGAATTATATAAACATTTTCTTTTATTTTCATTTTTGCATTGAAAATTTTACAACCTTACTCATACTTCTTATTTGTATTATAATTCTTTGTTTGAATGGAAGGGCACTGTTTTATCTTGTGAATCTAACACAACTTAAGACAGACCTAGTTAACTTTCCAGAATCAACTGTACTATAAATAGATTTCTTATGTATGGTGTTAGAAAAATCATTTAGGGTTACTAAAAGATGAGTTTACTTATGCAAAATATGAGCAATTTCTTAATCATAAGTCTTAAGTCATGTACTAATAGAGAAAAAAGTCTTAAAATTAATAAACTTTCTACAAATTCAAAAGTTTAATTACAAGCCTATGGAAAAGACTCATTGATAGTTTCTGGGGATCAGAGATAGCAACTAATGTAACATGAGTAACTAATTGTATGTAATGAATAGAAAGCAATTAGGAGAAAGGAAATATGAATTCCATTAAGACTGTCATACTTTTTTCGTTAGAAGATAGGGAGAGCGTCAAATAGATAGGATGTTATTCAAATTCACTTCCTAAGAAACTTAATTATAAAAAAAATCGACTTTTAAAAATGTTATCCGATCCAAACACTAATTTATATAATGTCTTCCATTACAAGGTGTTTCAAGTATACATGCATCGAATATCATTAGGATATTCGACAAATTAGAAAAATCTTAACCTGAAAAAAAAAATACTAAATATATAATTAGGATAAAAATAGAACATTGTTAATACATACATACAATCAATTAATATGATTTAAATTATCTTATTGGAGTTTAACCAATAATTTATAAACCAATTAATCTAAACAAATCTTGATTATATTTAATTTATGATTTAAACTCAAGCCCATCTTCCACAAGAATGGATCGATTTCTTAGATAAGATCAAAAACCTAGACCCAATCGATGTAGAAACAGTAACTTAATATGTAAAAGTGCGGGTCAACCACTTTCCAACGGATTAATAAATGACAGAATACTACGAAGAAGTATTTTCGAAGTAATGTGTTATTTTCATTATGTTTAGATCCACTAGCGATGTAAACCGGAAGAAATGGCATTAGTAAGACAAAAACCTACTTATATGGTGTATGACCAAGCACCTAATGTCATAGAATCGATCAGAGCTCATTCCTGTAATTGTTAAATTTAATATTTAAGAATGACGATGATTGGGAGTTTGTATCAAAAATTCTGTGTGTAGATAAAAATTTAGTCGAGTTAAAATGGATTTCTCTTCTCCATTCCAATTTAAAAATTAGTCCTTGGTCAAAGGAAGAGGATTAGATACTGATTAACATTGCAAAGTATCCTTATTTAATCAATAATTAAGTGATCATTATTATAAAAACAATTGGACTGAATTGACTATCAAATTCAATTCCATATCTTCTACACAGAGATATCCCAAATAGATACGAGAACGCTGGAACAATGTGCTCAATCCCAACATCTCAAGATCAACCTGGACAAAGGAAGAAAAAATTAAGTTACTTCAATTGATTTTGAACTATGGTAAAAAATGGTCCAAAATCTAAGCTGAGTTAAATGGAAGAAGTGAAAATTAAATTAAAAATTAATACAATGGAATTATTAGAAATTTAAAAAGATTTAATGTAATTACTTACATCTAATCAGTAGGTCCAAGAAAGTGAGGAAAGATTGCTGATCAAAGCAATAATAGAAAATCCAGATCAGAAGTTAAGTCTGACAGTTACACAATTCATGTCAGACTTCCTAGCCAAAAAAGACTCCTCAAAAAACATTGAACCTAATCAAATCAATCAGCTCACTGAATCTTAAACCCAAAAGAAACTCTGTGTTGACCCCTCTCCATTAGAATCAGGGATCACTGCCACTAGTACTATATCTATATTTATAAAAGATATCTTATTATAAGAAAAGTTGAATTAATGTAAAGAGGTGCAATAACAGATGATGCAAACATCCATTCAATAAAATTAATATCTCTCAAATCCTTAATAATAGCACAATTAATCTATGCCAATACCATAGAACCAGTATTTTTACAATAATGCCACTTATCCAAATTATTACCCAAATTATTATTAATAAAATTAACAATATATAAACTATCCTAACTACAATTAAGTGTAATCGTTAATGCCATACTAGTAATATCATTATCCCTATTTTTGATTAAACAAGATTTGAACAAAATATTGATACATATCAAATTTTATCTTATTATTATGATAATTTTTAATAATGAACTTGCAACTCGCTATCAGTAAATTAATATATTTAAAAAATATTCCAGCAGATCAAAATAAACTTCGCTTTTTATTTTCATCCAAAGTTAGCCCTCCTCATTAATATTCTTAATCATTTACACAAAGTTAAAAAAATTAATAATTATTGAAATATAAATTTAAGACTCCTTCCCTATAAATTATATGTAACATTAATCGGAGATTTCCCCTTAAGATATATTAGCCAGGAAACTGAGTTTGTGCTACTTTGAATAAGAAATGTTGTGTCTGCACATTTGTGTATAAATTACTCAAAAATATATATTATGGTGACTTTTTATTATTAATTAATTTATTAATTGGTAATAATTAAAAAAGAAATTTAATTTAATTTTAATTATGTAAATAATTTTTATAAAACGATATTCATGAAGTACCTCATTAATTGGGAAAGTAATACAAATTCCTTACTATAAAGGTACAATTGTAAAAATGATTCTACATTTTTGTAAATTTATTAGAGTAATAAATATAAACAAATATAAATAAAAGTCATTAAGAAATGTTATTAATGTAGTTGAAAAGGTCTTGTATGATTTTGAAAGCGAAGGGTTTGATTCTGTTTAAGTTGATTTAGAATTGTTCTAACTTAATATTCGCCATCTGAGCAATAATTTTAGGACTTATGCCGCCTTATTTCAAATATATAATATCAGTGGCAATTTTTACTGATATAGCGTTTTGAAGTTATTTAGGCAATTTATTTATTAAGGGCTACATCTGCTATAAGAGAAAGCAGCAAACTTGCGATGCTTTTGAATTTAATTTGAGTTTTTAGCATAAAGTAGAAATTAAAGAAGTATATTAATTTTAAATGCATTTGGAAAGGTATTCTACTTTAACATCTGCCTTTGGTAATGAGTAATTTAGCTCCTTCATAGCACAATGTACTAATGCCTAAGCATGTAGTGAGGTGTTTGGTATATTTAAGTTATGAAGTATTGCTATTGCTTTTTTTTCAATTGCATCATCCAAATTCATTTTGAACACCAAGTGTTACACTTCTTCTAATAAGTCAGTAGATCTCTTTGGAGTAGGACATTCATCTCTAAATTTAGGTACTGGAGGTCTATTAATCATTATTATTTAATTTATTGATATAATTCAAGACCTCATTAATCAGTTTAATATGAATTTTCATGAAAAAACTCATAATATAAATTTTTAGATAATATTAAAACATTATTATAAGAAAACATTATTGACAACACCGAATATTTAGAGCCTAAAATTTCTTTAATTTTCGTAAAATCCATTTGGCCCACAGGTCTCAATTGTAATCAGGCCCTCTTCAATTTCTAAAAACTTGATTGATCATCTCAATCCTTACTTACGATTTCTCCTATACATAACATAAATTAAACTTGAAAATGTAAGAGGATGATCACTATGATTTTAAAATATTATTTTAACTTCACTCTATAACTCCCTTCCTTCATTCACTCTATAAAGATTAATTAATTTTTACATATTACATTTCAATAAGATTCAAGTGTAATTTTGATACTTTCTCTTTTTAATTAATGTTTATGGCTTCTCTTTCAAATTCTAAATCATTTGTGGCTACTATTCTAATACTTGCTTGATGTAATTTTGATTAATATTTTCAAATTTTAGATGACTTATAATATCTAGTCTAAGGCATGCTATATGCTATTAAATCGGATAAGCTTTTCTCCACGTATGATAATAACAAATATGAATAACAATCAAAATCAATAATATAAAAGAGTATAAGAGTTCTCCCCTATTGTTAATATAAACTTTAATTAATTTATAAACTCAATAATCAATCATTTCATACAACTTTTCCCAAGCCTTCTCTTTGCTCTTAGCATAAATATGCAATTATGATATTTCATAATATTTATCTTTCTTGATGTTTACTATCTAGGCTTCTAACATGTCATAAGGAATGAACAAATTTTCTCCTTATGCTACTCTTCTGTAATCTTAATGAGGAATTTTGATCAGATTAAAATTGAAAGGGTTACCTATATTACTCTGGTACCTAAAACTTAATGTCATCGTTACCATTGATAAAATTGATATTTTGGTTGTCTCTTTATGAAATCAGGTGAATACAATTGATATACATGAACCTTTTCTAATGTTAATGTAGCCCATTGCATTACAATATTTAAACTGCAATTTGAATCAAGGTAGATAGCACCAACAAGAGCTAAAAATGCATTTTCCAAGATTTGTGAATGTATAGATTTCTAAATTTTACCAATTTTAAATGCTAAGGATTAATCCTTGCATTTTTCAACTTCACTAGCTAATATGAAGAGGGAATTTTAATAGCTGCTATTCAAATACTACTGCAAACCAAGTTAGATGGCTAAAAATGCTAGAAATGGAGTTTTCGTAAGAATCTTTCCAACAATTTTAATTGCAAAACAATCTATGATTTTGTAAATGAATATATACCCATATTGTTCTCATTCAGTATTTTAATTATTAGATAATTCCATAATGCTTTCCCTAGCATTGCCAATAGCGAATTTTCATAATTATTCTAGTCTGTATCATTCATGCATTCAAATTGACTTTTAAATTCAATCCATTATTATTCCTATATCATCCCTTAAAATTCTTCCTTCTTTTAAAATTGATCATAATACTTGTTTTTTAACTTGTTATTAATCACAAATTTAAATGAAATATCGGTCATTGCTTAAAACAACAATTCAAAATGTTTGAATTAGTATTTTATTTGATATTCAAGAGAAGAGAACACTCTTCTAATTTTTCTAGTCTGTTCACTAGGAGGCACAAAACCAGGTAGAAATTCCTCTAAACATTTTGATGAATTCACATGAATCTTCATAGAAGTCACTATTCGAAAGGTTCTAAGCCAATTTAAACCATTGACTAGATCCTAATCATTCTATTAGATTAGAAATAATGAAGTTTGTAAGAATTAAAAGAATTCCTAATTTGAAATATGGATCTTATTTCTAATTGTATTCGCCTATGATTTCCTTTTGGTTACTGAAAAATCATCTAAAATTAATTATTCCATCATCAAATCAAAATTATCTTGATATTTTTCAAGCCCAATAAATTGTGTAGTTATATCATTTAGGTCATTCTTATGTAAATATAGGAAGAGGTAAGATTCTAGCAGACAATTCCTAACATAAGTGCTTCTTGTAAATGTTTTATATTTAGCTCTGGTAATGTGAATATCATTTTCGAAATAATTAGCATACAATATAACTGCTACAAGGAATTTATAGTACTGATGGCCTAATAATAATTCATTGTATTTATGAGACTATAAATCCAATGATTTAAATAAAATTTCATCCAATCTATCTTTCACATCCGAATTCAAAACAACATCAGAAACGCTATATTGTATAAAATTTAATTGCAATGCTTCCAATTCATTTTAACAGCAATATTGGAGAGAGGTGAGATACTGAATGTATTTATTAGTGGAATTCAAAACTTCATTGATACGAGGTTTGATATTCAAAGGAATAATGGAAATTTTTTGAACTAGTTATTCTTTAATTTTATCCTTGAATAGATCCACCTTGAATCTTAAAGTAAATTGATTGATGATTTAGTTAAGTGTAAATTTACTATCGGCTGAACCCTTTAAGATTAGAAGTAAATTCGAGTCGCTCTAACTTTTAATCATAATTTAACATTCTAAAATAAATGAAATATGTACTTTGATTAATAACCGCATATACATTGTCTTTCCATTTTAGTAATTTTTCTTCTTTGATAATGGTCTGCACATATTGTCTATAATAACTTTCATATTAACTCTTAGAAATTTTCTACATTGATTTAAATTAAATGCCAAGAGCTTACAAAGTATTTTCACACTTACTGACTTGAGTAAGCATCTATTTCGGAAAGGCCAAGAATATTTTCTCATTTTAATATAGACATTCGTAAAGTAAGAAATCCTCAATCTAATCGTTTTAATCCTTTGTTTAGAAGAGGGTTTTGAATAAATTAGTATAATACCTTTTTTATGAGTTAACTTTCCCTCCCATTGTAGATTAACTTTGTACCAACCTCTAAGAGTATTTACATGCTATTTGCCATTATTCTCTTGTCTATGAAATTGTAAGATAATTATAGTTACCATCATGATTTAAGAATCATCTTAATCTGCCCCTATGTGTTGACCCAAATCACTATCAAAGCAGATTTGCAAATTCTCATCAATGTATCCCTTCTAATACAATTACATTGATGCTTCAAATGCAGCTGAAGACTTAGCATCTTTGGAAGTTGGGGCAAGTTTCCCATAAAATATGAAGCTCTTCATTGATATTGGGAGAAGTAAAAAGGCTATGAACTACTGATTAGACTAAGCATTTCCATGCAATTAATAAATTGCATATTTAGCCTAAGTCTTATCTGCATCCTTTTAATTGAACTTCGAACACAATTACATTATTAATTAGCAAGACCAGTTTGTATTGATTAGAGCACCTGAGCTCTAAATTTCAAATGAATCAAAATAAGTGTTTTCAAAAGTTTTGTTCTCTGGTGAATATAAAATTATAATTACATAATGTTAGCATCGCCTTATTGAGCATTTGCTATCTTTAAGGAGCAGTCAGTTCTTCAATAATCTATTTAATGTTGTTCTAAACTTGTTGATGACTTTACACTTAAGCCTGCTATAACTTGTCAACCATGAATATCATAAACTATGAATTCTCTTTTCTTGCTCTCCCTTTCATTTAAACATATGCCTTCGAACTTGAAATTGGATTGAATCCAATAACAAAATTACACATTGGAATATCAATACCTTCTTCTGCCACTGCAGTAGAAATTAGAATCTTTATTTTTCCTTGTCTAAACTGATTTAAGATGTCATTTTAAACTGAAGAACTAATCTTATAAGCAAATATGTTTAATCTATTGACCTGATCTTTAAGTTATTCAATTGAAAATTTGCTTTGATCATTTTATAATTCAGCATATAGTTTTTTAATTAGTTCTTCTTAATCCTCTTTATTGGAATCAATCACATTGATCATTATACTATTATTCTGTTTTCTCACTATTGAGGAACAATGTCCTATTATAAAATTGCTTACAATATCTAATACATAATATATTTATCAATACTTATTCTCTCTGTAGCCAAATATTCTTCGATTAGCCTATTTAAAAAGAAAGCGGTAAGCCTTTATTTCACAAAAATCAAAATTCTGTTGTTATCATCGCCTTATGAATAAGCTTTTTTTATTAGTTCAAATAAGACCTGTACTTTAGGAGTGGATGATTGGTAAACATTCGAGTATTTTAATTTAGCATCTTTTAGTAAATTCTAGATTTATTTTAAGATGTCTAAACAGGCAGCTTAATTTGGTGGTCTCTTGATGGTTAAAAAATCATTTAACTTAATAATAACATATTCCAACAATAATACTATCAATATACTATAGATGTGTACCAAATAAATATTGACCTAATTCCAAATACATTTAAAACCCGTTTAGTAGGATTTATTTCTCAATTTATGCAATTAGGATTTTTGTTTATAAATCATATGAGTATTTTCTTTTGAAATTTTCCAAGGTTTACTTAATTAAAAAAAACTCAATTAGATAGCCATTTCTTCTCATTATATCAAGTGCCTTATTCTCATTTTTCTCACAATTAGTGTATGATGCCTTCAAATCGATAACTTTTTGGATGTCAGAATCATTAAAGAGCATTTTATAATAGACAGGTACAATCTTCGCCTCTTTTATATGTTTCTTAAGGGATTAAGCATCTACATATAAATATTATGAATCCATATTTGCTGATAACTAAAGCAATTCTTATAGTAGTTAATTATTGCTGACTGATCTGCTATTCATAACAGGAGATGCAGTAGTTCCTACAATTTATGGTAAAAATTGATTATCTGACTAAAACTTAGTTCTAAGGTAAAATTCCTTTAAAATATAGTTATAGGGATGATCTTAAATTGCATTATGACATTCATCCATTGCAATAAAACTAAAATTAGAGATTTTCACCAATCCTTTTCTTAATATGTTGAGGAAGATTTAGGTTGTCATTACTAGAATATTACTCTCTTCTAACATAATTTGCCACATAATTTAGTTCCATATGTCTGTGCATTTACTTCCATGTAATACATTTAACTTAGACCCGATTTGTTTAGCCTTCGCAACCATATTCTCATCGTCGCTTAACAACTCAGCAACTCTAGGTAATTTCAACCTAATTTGCTAGGCCTATTATTCTACCAATTAAACAGTGTTGGCAAGAAAGACTATTTTTTTATCAGGATATTTAAACAAACGATCCCACATAAGCATTATGATGACTAAGGTTTTACCCAATCCTGTTTCCAAATAAATGATAGAATTCTTGCCAATTCCTTTCTCATATAATTCTATTTAATAATCTCGAAATTCAAACTCCTCAATAGTGTCTACAATCGTATCATCCTCTTCTATTAGATTAACTCTATTGTTAAGTATTTCTTAGTTGTTAGAAATCGATGACAGCATTTAATCAACTAAAGAGGAAAGCGAATCCTTAGGTCCATTTTGCTATTCTTGACTCTCTGAGATATCCAAATCAAACAAATTTTATTCTGGCTACTTAATAACATTCTACAAAAACTAAGAGATTATGCTTTTATCTTCTTCGTCATCGTCTTCAATTAATTTATATTCAAATGAACTTTGTTAGAGATTAATATTCTCCAATTTCTTGTCATCTGCAGGTAATTCGTACATTAATATTATCGAGTCGAATAATAATAAAATATAATATATAAATAGTTCTATGAACGAATTTTAAACATTTTTCGTCGGTTTGGGAGATCGATAAAATACTCCCATTTCGGATGAATATAGAAAATAATTTAAGATCAGAGGAGACTTCGTCTATCCATCTAATAAAAAGTTTGATCAAATTTGTAAGAGGTTGAGTATATTAAACTCATTTATAGTTTTTTAGAAGATGAAAAATTGAGATGCAAAAGAAAATGGGACAACTCTTTTAAATTATTTATGATTTGGTTTCTGGTTAAATATTTTGAGAAGTCGAACCTTATTACTATTCTTCCGGTATCATGAGAAAATACATCATAGGATGAGAATGACTGGGTTAATTTCGAAAATATCCTTAAAATTGACAGACATTCATTAAAGCAGAGATGGATAACCCTCATAAACCCGCAGATGAAATCAATTAACTGGCTTCAAGAAGAGGATGATTTCATTAAAACTCAAATGAAGTAGTTTGATCAATTTAAACATAGCCAAAAGCATAAGCATATTTGGACATAGATAGCAGTCTCTCTATACGAAAGAAATCTTTAAGGTAACATACGAACACCCAAACAAATAAGGGAAAGATGGATGAATTACCTTAACCCTGATTTGAATAAGTATAATTTTCATTGTATTCTCCTAGAGATCAATGGATGCTCAAGGAGGATTTGATTATACTCAATAACGTTGTAAAGAACGGCAAGAAATGGTCCTAAATTTCATAATAGTTAAATGGAAGAACAGAGAATTAAGTCAAAAATCGGTATCCCATGTATCTATATCTTAAGTTATAAATCTCTAATTCATAAAATATGCAAAGATGATGAATGTGACGAAATTGATATGGTTAAACAATACATAAGAAAAAAGTAAACTTTAAATAATTTAATTCTAGTCAAGCTCATGTGGATTCCAATAAGTAAGGAATCATAGGAAAAAGAGGTAGACATAAAAAAGGAATAAGAAACAAAGATTAAAATGCTGAATCAAGAAAATAAAGAAATCTCCCAAAAATCATAAAACAAGAAGAATAATTATCACATTAATCATTTAATTAACCAGCTTAATTAATTATTTAATAAGCATAACAATAATAATAATAGTAATAATATTAGTAATAATAATAATAATAATAGTAAACCTAACAAATGCAATTGTAACAATTACAATAGTAAATGAATTTTAATAACGAAGAAATGAAAATTGCTTTAAACTTACACTCTAATTTCCTTTAAGAAGATTTGAAAAATGCAACACCTTTAATGATGATATAATGTTTAACATCACCTGGGTATCAATTTTTAGAGAATCAATTCTTAAAACAACTATCTCCAGGAATTGTTGAAGAAGGAGAATGCAATCAGAATTCCTCCTTGCAATTACCTAAATTAAATAATATGTACAAAGCCAGTTCCGCTTCACCTTTTTTGTTGCCCTCCATGTTGCAATCTCCTTTTTGGAATAACGAATAATATTTGTAGTAACATGACGAATAAATGGCAGCACCTATGCAGACATAGTAATTTACATAATAGATATCTACTACTCCTTTTTTGAATTTAGGTTATCTAGGAAAACCTAAATTAAATGGTTTTACCAATAAAAAAGAACTAGACTTATTACAAGAGAACCCAATTTAATCATTTAATAAAAGAAGAAATCTTAATTAATAGTGAAATGACAATAAAATCAAAATTAGTTTATTCATATTTATTCTAAATTTTCAAAGAATATCTCTTCTTAATTGATGATTTTGGTTTTTATCACATTCTGCTTCAACTTATTTGTTTTAAATTTATTAAGATAAGAGGGTATTTTACCCCATTATATTTTTTATTTGAAATACTTACAAAAAGAAAATAAAGGTATTTTGAACACTTATATTGTTTTTCTGAGATTAAAGAATAATAAATCTTATGTGTTATCTTTAAACGTACTCACTTTTTTCAGAATAAAGGTTATCAATAAATTAGAATGTCTTACAAATTATTGCAAACATTGAATTCTAAAAGAAGTTTGAATTTAATTATAAGATGTAAACTAACATTGCAAACTTGTGTAAGCAGTTGGTTCCTTTAAAAATTTGAAACAGATACGGAATCAATCATAGAAAATCTGATAAATATGCATTAACAATAAGTTTATCGCATTATATGGAATAAATTAAGGGTTTTTGTTCATTTAAAATACAATCAAAGACCTAGCATGGTTTTGTATTTTTTTGATTATGAAATAGATGTATTTCATTCTTTTCAAATTAAACTTTAAAAAATAAATATTCTGACTAGAAATTACATTAAAATAACAATGAACAATCAATATAAATGTAGTTAAGAAACACATAGGATTTTAGAAAAGGAGCTTGAGATTTTTCATTAATAGTTTTAGTTTAATAGTAAATTTCTAATCACATTACTAGATACAGAATCAAGTATCTTTACTATGATTATCTCATTGATGATGTGATTAGAGGACTATATAAAAATAAAATTTTTATTTTGAAAATCAAAATAGCGGATTAAATAAAAAATAAGAAAGATTATCGATTTTTTGTAAGGTTATTGGTATATTCTAGCAGAGGATAAATAAAATCAGCAGATGGGATAATGTAATTAAAGGGGAATCTTGATAAAGAGAGAGGAGGTGTATTTTTGAGAACTCGATTCAGATACGCTTTAATTTAATTTCTTTAAACAATTTTTCAATAATAAAATTAAAATTTAATAATCACTTTTCTTTTAATGTCACATTCCAGTGATATAACATAAATAAGTGATCAGAATTCACTGGTTTAGAAACCTATTATACCAGAGGATGAGGTTAATATTTTGAAGGCTTAAAAATCTGATGTTCCTATTGGTAAAATGCATCAAGTCAAGCTTCCTTCTGCGATATTGAGTAAAAAATAAATTGAGTTGAAAAAAAACAATTTACTGCATTTAAAAATGTGGAATACAAAGTCAGATGAAGAGATGGAGAAGATCAATGAAGTTTTTAAGTTATTTAGAAGGAAATTTGGAAGGAATGCCTAATATTTAGATGAGTTCTTCACAATTTTGAGCAGAGCAAATTTAGATTTAGAGTTAGTGCAATAATTAATTTAATTTGAAGATAAATTTCTCAAAAAATATATCCAAGATAGGAGTTCTGAGAATAGGATTGATTGATACTTATGTATATCCATCATTTTTCAGAGGCCTACATATTTTATATTAGAAAGTGAAATTAAATATTTTATAATTAATTTATTGTATGGCCAGGAGAAAAACTGTCAAACGTGCATAAAAATCTCATAAGCATTTATTTACAAGAAATAAAAAGATAAATAAGACTTAAAAAGAACAAAATAAAATTCCAGGGTGGAACAAAAATATTTCATTCACTCAAAACTTAAATAACTTAGGAATGAACACAGGTTATTAGATTAATCAAAAAATAACTAATGAATTAAAACAAAAGGAATAAGCTCCATAATAATTCATTGAGGCAGAAGAAATTTCAATTGATTAAATAAAAGAATTGTAAAAATAAGCAACATCAAAATTACCATAAGAAGAAGTTGAAAAGAAGAAAAATAAAGTGAGAATGAATATTGATGATGAATGGACAGTTGAAGCACTTGTTAAAAAATATAAGTAAGATTGGGAAGCTATGAAAAGAGATCACAAATTAAACACATTTTAATGGACCGCAATTTAATGTTAAAAAAAATACAATGATTACATTAAAAGATATGGTAAATGTCCAAAACCCTAATGATTCATGAGTAAATTTATATGTATATTATTTATATGAATAAATTCTTAGATTTTCATTAATAAATATTATTCTTCATTTATTTATTGATTACAATAAATCTTCTGAGTCTTTAAGAATATTTCGAATTCTATCAAAATTGTTATATTAAGGTTTAAAATTCTCATTTGCATCTTATTTGATTTACATAGGTTACTGAGGTTAATAAGATAACTAACTTGAAACTTTCAAAGGTTAATTTGATAAGTTGTGATCTTAAATTGGTGTAACATAATAAGGATTAGGAACTTATGAATAAGTAATTGGATTTAGGGGTAGATTCATAGCATTTATATTTTACATTTAATTATTTGGTTAATTAGGTGTATATAAAAGAGGATTTGTTAAGTTATACTATTGAATCGGAATCGTTGGGAGGTCTACAGTTTATATTGCTCCATTTATATTTTAATTAGGAGCGCCTAAAGGTATACTTCTAGATTAAACTTCTCTTTTTGGAGTGACAAAATCATTAGCTTAATTCTAAGAATTTATAATACATAAATTTATTACTTAAGAAGGATATCTTTGTATTGGAATTTACATATTAGGTAACTAAGGCTATAAAGTAGTGGGATATAATGGGATTTGTGGGGATTATTGTTATTTTTAAAATGTTTATACATTTGTAGCATCTATTGGTTAGTTCAGAATTGTAGGAGATGGGCCTACAATAACATTTGGATTGCTTCGAATTGAAGTGGATGTCTAATTATATGTTTGCGCTAATTAATAGTTAGGAGATATTTAGGTTGTACTGAAGGTATCTTGTTGTATTGGTTATTGAGATGATGGAATTAATTAGGATTATAACATTAATTTTTAAATGAGTTTTGGCTATTAGTTGGTAACTTATAATTATTATTATGGAAAATTTGGATCTTAAAATTAATATTCAGATTTTTGTTATAAGAACATGGATTAATTTCCTAATTTATTCTGTTCTATGTAATTATTTTATGAATAAAATTTTTATTGGAATCTTTAAGATTCAATGTTGTTGGCTTATTAATATTATATTTACTATTTGATTTATTATGTTTCAATTTGTCTTGGGCTTTATTAATATTATTATGTTTCATAAATGATTTCTGATTAAGTCCGTTAATGTTACTGAAAACTGGAAAGTTGGCTGTAGCGATATGAAAAACTTTCAATAACAGATTTACATTTTAATGTATTAGTTAAAGGTAGCGCATTTTATTTNGAGATCACAAATTAAACACATTTTAATGGACCGCAATTTAATGTTAAAAAAAATACAATGATTACATTAAAAGATATGGTAAATGTCCAAAACCCTAATGATTCATGAGTAAATTTATATGTATATTATTTATATGAATAAATTCTTAGATTTTCATTAATAAATATTATTCTTCATTTATTTATTGATTACAATAAATCTTCTGAGTCTTTAAGAATATTTCGAATTCTATCAAAATTGTTATATTAAGGTTTAAAATTCTCATTTGCATCTTATTTGATTTACATAGGTTACTGAGGTTAATAAGATAACTAACTTGAAACTTTCAAAGGTTAATTTGATAAGTTGTGATCTTAAATTGGTGTAACATAATAAGGATTAGGAACTTATGAATAAGTAATTGGATTTAGGGGTAGATTCATAGCATTTATATTTTACATTTAATTATTTGGTTAATTAGGTGTATATAAAAGAGGATTTGTTAAGTTATACTATTGAATCGGAATCGTTGGGAGGTCTACAGTTTATATTGCTCCATTTATATTTTAATTAGGAGCGCCTAAAGGTATACTTCTAGATTAAACTTCTCTTTTTGGAGTGACAAAATCATTAGCTTAATTCTAAGAATTTATAATACATAAATTTATTACTTAAGAAGGATATCTTTGTATTGGAATTTACATATTAGGTAACTAAGGCTATAAAGTAGTGGGATATAATGGGATTTGTGGGGATTATTGTTATTTTTAAAATGTTTATACATTTGTAGCATCTATTGGTTAGTTCAGAATTGTAGGAGATGGGCCTACAATAACATTTGGATTGCTTCGAATTGAAGTGGATGTCTAATTATATGTTTGCGCTAATTAATAGTTAGGAGATATTTAGGTTGTACTGAAGGTATCTTGTTGTATTGGTTATTGAGATGATGGAATTAATTAGGATTATAACATTAATTTTTAAATGAGTTTTGGCTATTAGTTGGTAACTTATAATTATTATTATGGAAAATTTGGATCTTAAAATTAATATTCAGATTTTTGTTATAAGAACATGGATTAATTTCCTAATTTATTCTGTTCTATGTAATTATTTTATGAATAAAATTTTTATTGGAATCTTTAAGATTCAATGTTGTTGGCTTATTAATATTATATTTACTATTTGATTTATTATGTTTCAATTTGTCTTGGGCTTTATTAATATTATTATGTTTCATAAATGATTTCTGATTAAGTCCGTTAATGTTACTGAAAACTGGAAAGTTGGCTGTAGCGATATGAAAAACTTTCAATAACAGATTTACATTTTAATGTATTAGTTAAAGGTAGCGCATTTTATTTTACTTCTTCATAGTTAACAACAAAGTCTTAGAAATTAAGTATTTTGTTTTGATATGGTTTGAGGATATAATATACATCATCTATGGTTAATTAGTTTACTGACTCTGCCATTAATGACTCCATGATTCGAATCAATTGGATAGAGTAATGATTATAACATTAATTTTGTAATTCATTAATTTGTTGTTCATCTAATTATTTTTAATCATTTAATTGCATCAAATCTAGTAAGGTTTTTCCCAAAGCATAAGAATCAATTAAATTCCACTGAATTTTGGGTTACTAATTTTGTTGCAGTTGTTTTTTGAGAGAAGGAGGAAGATATGTTTCTGTTTTATTGTTGATAAATTTATTGATTGAATTTTCTTAATCAAATATTATTCCTATTGGATATAACTTTATTTATCCATTTGATTTTAAGGAAATTGTGGCTGGTCTAATATCTTAATGGTTGTATCCCTTCTGCTTCAACTCATAGAGAGCATTAGCAATTGACCAGAGAAAGTACCATAATTCCTTTTCAGAAAACCGTTCCGAATGTTGTTTTCTATGTTTTAATTCTCTAATTTAGCGAAATGAATTACTTTTCTAAATTTTGGGGAATGTATTCAAAGTAGCTTGAAATAACAGTAGAAGTTGAGCAAAATTCTGATGATTGTTTTTCAATGCTTCCATAATAATCTATTATGTAGGGGGCTTGAATTTTTTTGATCATGGTTTGGAATTTCAGCCAGGGTTCGTCGGATTCATGATTAAAAACTCTATAAGGGAATTCAATAACCATCTCTTAATTGGCATCATTGACGTAGATTTACCCGGTTTTAAATTCATTTTTTAAATCAATTGGTTTGAATTGGCTTTAGAAAGTTTTAAAGAAAGAAGAAGAAATAGGATTTGATTATGAGGACGTAGATTATCCCATAAAATAATTTCAATAAAATTTTATTTTATTAATATATATAAGCTTGGCTCAAACAGTTTTTAACTTAATTTTGATTTTTGAATAATGAGATATGTGGGTTTTTTTGATGTTCCTTTTGATTGTTGTTTATAATTGAAATAAAATGGTTTTTAGTATTTTTTGCATTTTTTAATTAATACCTGATCTTAATCGCTTAGATATGGAATTCAAATTTTTAAATTCATGTCTAATGTCAAGGAGATAGGCGAATAGACTGAATGTGGGTAGTCGTACATTCTCAGGATCGAGAGAGGGTGCATTGGAATTATCATTTAAATTAGTGTATCTGCACAATATTATATTATTTATTTAAATTAAATATCGGAAATGAATTCGAAGGGCAAAAGGACTTTAGGTACATGATATAAAAATTATATGACAGGTCCAATTTAAAAAATTAACAAGCCGTCGATCGATTTTGAGTCAGCTCTAAAGGAACATCGAGCAGTGGAGGAAAGAATAAAAATGGAAACTGACAGTCAAGATCCGAGGTATTTGGAGTAACATATATATTTAAGGAAATTTGTAATGAACCTCTTGAATGATCGTGATAATTCATTAATAATGGACAATTCGCTAACTCATTCACAAGTGGCTATAAAAAAGAAAGTATTATTGATAATTAATTTAACAGGTGTACATACGTTCAAGACAGGTTAAGAGTCAAGTGCCATTCATGTAAATGTAGACGAAGAACAACTCTCAAATTTAATTTGCATCTCCTGCTTAGAGTTTGAAGTTTGACTTTGATTTGAAACCAGATTTCAATTCTAAACGATCGAATTTTGTTCCCAAGTTTATAAATTCAGGAATCAATTTTGATGTCGAAGTAAGAGGAACACTTGGAGAAGAGTTTACAGAGTTTCAGATGTGTAATTAAGTAATTCAATAAATTTAGATGACAATGACTCATAACCAGAAGACATCCCAAAAAATAAAAACTTTTCTTATGGAGGCAGAATGACCAATAAAAAACTTAAAGAATATGATTGTTGGGATGAGGAGAGAACTCCATAAGAATGGGTAGAAATATGTAAAAACAGCAATCCTCCACATGCTAAATGTCCAATGTTTGATCATTCAGACAAGTACATTTGGACAGATGTTGAGGTGTTAGGCTTCGAGAATGGTAAATTCGAAGTCAAAATATTGAGATCAAGCAAGATCAAACGAATAGGCAGATTGTCATTATAATTTAATTAAGAAGATCCTGTCAAATTTGAACAAAGAGTTGAATTGTGCAAATAAAGATAAAAGAATGCTGATGATGAATTGAGATTCCTTAAATATGTGGACTCTTTGCCTGATACAATGACATCAATTTTATCTCTTGAAATGCAGAAGAAGATCGAAGAATACACTGTTTTTAGAGATTTGCCATACATAATCAAAGAAGATCCTAGCAAAATAGCTCCTGGGTTTCCACAGATTCAGAATCTCAAAGATGAATTGAAGTAGATGATCACAGATCCAGAAATCAGAAGGAAACAAATGCAAAATCTTGAGTTGCTTAAAAAAGACTTAGTGAAGCAAGTTCAAAAAGAATACATCATGCTCATGAAGAAATGTTCAATTCTTAAGGATATGGAAGTCAATAAGAATGATATCAAGTGGATTCAATTAAGAATCAAGAACAGATTTGAATAAACCAAAAGGCCTTATTATGGTTTAACTAAATAGTTCGCAAGTGACACTAAAATTTTGAGCTTCGAATCCTTGGGCTAATAGACATCAAAGCAAGTGAAGGTTCAAGACAATTGGGCCTTTGTTGCAGTCAGATAAAACATCTCGCAATTACACTATTCCAAATTCACTGTAGTCGTTAACACATTGAATGCATTAACAGCCAGATCCTAATTATATTAGAATTTCCCACTCCTTAATGTATTGCTTAATCATTAATCGTTACCAATGGCTTTGTCTAATTTCGAAAGCTAGCAAAAATAGCATAATATCTAAGGAAGATAAACTCTATAGGTGCAATGGCGTAGCACTATTGTTGGAGATATTCAAGATAAATTAAGAGAGAAATACCGATTCTATTAAACTGAAACCGAAGACTATTTGGATAGTGAATTGTAAAAATTGCTTATTCGAATCGACTATATGTTTACCAATTATATTAGAGAGAATGTAGTTCGACAGACTTGCTAATCATGGATTGATTTTCTAAAAAAGTTCACTACTCCAAAAGAGGGGGAGTAATGGAAAATTAATGATTATCCTCTATTGATTTTAAATCTAGAAGTCAATCTCAATTTCAAGAAAAAGAAGAATGACAAAAAAAATAAGTAGGACGATACTCCTTTGATGATGATGGATGAGGATCCCAATAGTGCCATTTACTTTTCTCCTAATTTCTCTGCAATCTAACAGGGCTTGCTAAAGCCAATAGAGCTTTTATTGGAATCTGTGAATTCGTTTAATAGACTCGAAAAAGATTTGGTTCCATTGGTGGATATTGATTAGAAAAAAGAGGTTAAGGGACGATTGAGAGCTTACGAGATTGAAAATGACAAGGATCAGATGTGGATTAAATGGGCTAAGGACAAGGTTTAAGAATATCTGGAGATCGGCTATTAGAAACCTAATTAAATGCTATAAAAATTCAGAGAATTTAGTTTCTTATTAGAAAAGTCTGTTCAAAGTGTTCTCAAAAGTTTATTTGGAGATGTATCGAAAAAACCTATCATAACTTCATTGGATAAGGATGAAATATAAAAAAAGTTATCTGATTTTATTAATGCTAAATTTTAAATACAAAGATTGTGTTTGGATGAAAAGAATGAATAATTTTTTTAGATTAAAACTAGGATTGCCAAAGAAAATTTGATATCCAAAGCCAATGAATTTATCACATCCATTTTGAAGCAGTGTTCGGATATTGTGACTGACAATATTAGTCGATTGAGTTAGGAGTATAGTGATATGAGTGATAGAATTACAAAGCAACCTAAAAATGAGGCTGAATTAGTTGAATTGAAATCTTATATAGCAGAACACGAAGTGAATTTGGCAAAGAAGAAATAGGAGGTGGATTGTATCTATGATTATTTGACCATGTTTGAAGATATGAGTCATAATTTTGAAGATAAAAACCTCTATGAGTTTTGGAATTTATACAGTTTTCCCCCTGAAATTAAAAATCACGTGATTGAAGGTCAAAGAAAGGCTAATCTATAAGAATAAAAGTTTATGGAAAATTTGGATAATGAAAAGGACAAGTTCCAAGGAGAATTGAAGGAATTGACAGAATTATTCTTAACTGTCCAGAAGTTTGATGACTATTCAAGAGTAAAAGACTTTGCAAACGATGTCGTATCACTCAATGATCGGTTCTAAAATGCCTAAAAGAAAGTAGAATCATTTAATGAGAGAGAAATACTGTTTAAGCAGTAACCATCAGTTTATGAGGATTTAAATTAATTGATTAAGGATTTCACTATTTACTTCAATTTGTGGACTAATGCTATTGAATTTGAGTATGATAGAAGCGATTGGTGTACAGGTTCATTCTTAAAGCTTAATTTCACTGAAATTGAAAACAAAGTGAGAACCAACTAAAGGAATGCCAATTTACTTATTAAGGCTTTCTCTGATGCACAAGATGACACAGCCGTAGAAGTGGCACGTAAGTTGAAAGGTCAAATCGATGAGTTCAAAGAGAGGTTGTGGTTGATTGAATTACTGACCACAGAGGCAATGAAAACTAAGTTGAATATGTGGAAGGATATATGGAAGATTGTTGGAATTGTTGATCAAGAGACAAATGACGATTTATCATTGGATGCCTTGGTTTCTCACGGCCTTATGAATTTTAGGAGTGATATCGAAGAAGTTTCAAGGAGGGCTGAGAAGTAATGGTAAATAGAGAAGAATCTCAATTCGATTCAAGAGAAGCTTAAGGATTAAAAAGTAGAAATGATTCCGTACAAAAAGACAGGAACCTTTGTATTGAAATCTTTAGAAGAAGTAGTTTAATGCTTTGATGATTAATTCAACATTCTATTGATGTTGAAGGCACAACCTTAAATCAAAGCTGTCCTCCATAAAGCATAAGCTTTGGAATAAAAGATAGTGTTAATTTAAGATACTCTTGATGGTTGGATAAAGTGCTAAAGAGGGTGGATGTATTTGGAACCTATTTTTACATCAGATGACATCAAGAAGAAAATGCCATAGGAAACCTTAAAATTCTAGAAGGTGGATAGTCATTGGAAATAAGTAATGGAACAATTCAGCAAGGAGCCCAATCTTTGGGACGGAGTAGAAAGTGATAAGATGAAGAATGAATTCGATTAGGATAATAAGGCTTTGGATTAGATTTAGAAATCTTTAAGTGAGTATTTGGAAACAAAACGTAACTCCTTCCCAAGATTTTATTTCTTATCAGATGAGGAGCTCTTAGAAATCTTGGCATAAACCAAGGATCCAGAGACAGTGTAGAAGCATATTAATAAATGTTTTGAAGCCATCAACTTATTGGAATTTGTAAATGGATAGGAAGTTGTGGCAATGATTTCAGCAGAAAAAGAAAAAGTGCAGTTTTCAAAAGGAATCAATGTTAATGAAGGTGAAAAGAAAGGTAATGTGGAAAAGTGGTTGTGTGAAATCGAGTCTGTTATGATAGACACATTGAAGAAGATTATGAAAGCCTCACATTTGGATAATGATACAAAGAGAGTTGTTTGGGTAAGGAAATGGCCTGCTTAAATTGTATTGGCAGTAAATATGATCAGATGGACCAGAGGTAGTGAGTTGGCCATAAATGATAAAGAAAATTAATAAGGAGGATTGGCAGGATTTTTATAACAATTGATTAATGAACTTAGAGACATTGTAGATTTGGTAAGATAAGACTTGTCTCCTTTAGAGAGATTAACTCTGGGTGCACTTGTCGTGTTAGATGTACATGCAAGAGATGTTATTAGATAATTAGTAAAAATTGGTTGCAATGATATTAATAATTTCTAATGGATGGCATAATTGAGATACTATTGGACTGAATAAATAATGAAATGCAATGTCAAGATGATCAATGCTGATTTACTCTATGGATATGAATATTTGGGTAATAGTATGAGATTGGTTATTACACCTTTAACTGATAGATGTTATCGTACTTTGATGGGAGCATTCCACTTACAGTATGGAGGTGCACCAGAAGGTCCAGCAGGAACAGGAAAAACAGAAACTGTTAAGGATCTAGCCAAAGCATTGGCAGTACAATGTGTTGTGTTTAATTGTTCTGATGGTTTGAACTATTTAGCTATGAGTAAATTCTTTAAAGGACTGGCAAGTTCAGGAGCTTGGTGTTGTTTTGATGAGTTCAATCGTATAGATTTAGAAGTGCTCTCAGTTATTGCTTAATAAGTGCTCACCATTTAGGATGCTATCAGACAGAAGAGACCAGAGTTTGAATTTGAAGGTACTTTAATTAAATTGATTCTTTCATGTGCCATTAATATCACAATGAATCCAGGATATGCAGGTAGATCTGATTTACCCGATAACTTAAAGGCTCTATTTAGACCATGCGCTATGATGGTTCCAGATTATGCATTGATTTCAGAAATCTATTTAGCATCTGTGGGCTTTTAAGATGCCAATAATTTGGCACGTAAAATTGTGGCCTCATTAAGATTGTCATCTGAACAATTGTCATCTTAGGACCATTATGATTTTGGTATGAGAGCCTTAAAGGCTATTTTGACTGCGGCAGGTAATCTCAAAAGAGTTATGAATGACATTGAAGATATCATTTGTTTAAGAGCACTTATGGATGTCAATATTCCAAAATTCACAATAAACGATGTGCCCTTATTCAATTCAATTACATCGGATCTATTTCCAGGAATCAAGTTGCCTGAGTAAGATTATGGAGCATTGGAGACTGCTCTCAAAAATACGGCATAAGAGATCAACATTCAAGCAGAGAAAGGATTCATTGAAAAGTGTATTCAATTATTCGATACCATAAATGTTAGACATGGTTTGATGATTGTAGGATAAGCATTTGCAGGTAAATCCAAAGTATTGGAATGTTTGGCCAAAGCCATGTCATCATTAAATAAGGTGTAATCTTTTGTGAATGTTGCTGTGCTCAAACTTAATCCGAAATCAATTACATCAGATCAATTGTATGGTAAATTGGATCCAGATACTAAGTCATGGACCGATGGAGTCATTGCTATTATTATGAGATAGTGTGCGTAAGATGCAGAAGTCGAAGAAAGGAAGTGGGTAGTATTTGATGGACCCGTTGATGCAGTTTGGATTGAAAATATGAATACAGTATTGGATGATAATAAGAAATTATGTTTGACATCAGGTGAAATCATTAAGATGACAAATTGGATGACCATGATGTTTGAAGTTGAGGATCTCGCTGTTGCATCACCTGCCACTGTTAGTAGATGTGGTATGGTCTTTTTAGAAACACAACAAATTGGATGGTATGCCTTGGTGAAATCATATATATAAACAATCCCTGAAAAGTTCATAGAACATCATTATTTGGATGATCTATTAAGAGTCATTATTGATGCCAGTTAGGAATGGTTGAGGAAGAATGGCAAATTCCCAATTTACAGGAGTGAAATGACACTGGTGAAGAACATGTTACTGATACTCCAAACTTACCTACAGGAATGGACAGACATGGATGAGAAGGCATAATAGAAATAAATTAATCATAATGAAATCAAGGATGTAGTCTCTAAGGCTGTTCTGTTTTCTTGTGTTTGGAGTTTCGGTGCAGCCATCGATGAAGTGTGTAGAAAACAATATAATCTATTCTTGATTAAGTTGATATCTGCAGAAGATGTCCAAGAGACCTTCAACTTATAACTGTAATATAAGTTTACACCTGTCACTATCAATGCTAAATTACCAGATAAAGCTAACCTATTCGATATGGTGTATGACAGAAATAAAAACAATTTCATCAGTTGGACCTAAACACAACCTCCATTTGTGATTCCCAAAGGATGCGATTATCATGATTTGCTAATCCCCACAAGTGATTCAATTAGAAACAATTACTTTTTGCATTTATGTGTTAGAAATAAGATACATTTATTGGTATCTGGACCAACTGGTACTGGTAAGACCTCGAATATTGTTAGTGAAATCAATAAAAACTATTTTAATACTGAATATACAAATTTGATAACTGCTTTTTCAGGTTAAACTTTGGTCAATTAAGTCTAAAAAACAATAGAAGCAAAGGTTAATTCGAGGAGAAGAAAGGGATATTTCGGACCTGAAGAAGGCAAAAAGTACATTGTTATTTTTATTGATGATTTGAATATGCCAGCCAAAGAAAAGTATGGTGCCTAACCTCCAATAGAATTATTAAGGTAGTGGATGGATACTTAAGGTTGGTATGATTTAGAAACTAAGGAACCTAAGTTCCTTTAAGGAATTACCTTTATTGCTAGTATGTTACCACCAACAGGAGGAAGAAATGTAGTGAGTATGAGATATTTAAGACACTATGTTCTCTTGTATGTGGAACCTTTCGAAGGAGATTCATTGTAAAGAATATTTTAAAATGTGTTGGAATGGTATTATGCAAGACAGACGAATCCATTCATGAAATCAATTACAAATCTGAGAGATTAAACAGTGAATGCCACTCTTGATATTTATCAATTAATCCAAACTTGTAAGGAACTTTTACCAACTCCAGCCAAATCACATTACATATACAATCTTAGAGATATCAGCAAGGTGTTCTAAGGAATTTCTAAAGGAATTATCAAATCTTTCAGAGATGAAAATGATTTCATTAAATTATGGGCACATGAGTGTCAACGCGTGTTTTAGGATAGATTGATTAATGAGGATGACTAAGGAACCTTTGACAAGATTCTAAAGGAAACAATTCTGAAACATTTCAAACGAGATTGGAAACAATTAGTGTAAATAGAACCACTCCTATGGGCTTCCTTTGTTCCCACTCTCTATCCTGATGACGACAGAACCAAGAGACCCATGACTGATATCTACTGTGAATTAACTGATCGAGAGACACTTAAGAAAGTATGTCAAGAACAATTAAATGAATACAACTCACAATACACAAGTAATAGAATGGAGTTAGTGTTATTTATGAATGCAATCCAGCATGTGCTTAAGATAGTGCGTGTGGTTAATACAACATTCGGTCATGCTTTGTTGGTTGGTGTAGGTGGTTCTGGAAGGAAGAGTTTGGCCTAATTGGCTTCTTTCATTGCATTCTAAAATGAAACATTGCAAGTGGACTCAAGAAATTGGATAGAAGAATTGCAGAAGGTGATGAAGATGGGAGGAATAGATCAAAAGGAATTTGTGTTCATGTATTCTGATACTTAGATCATTAAGGAATCGATGGTTGAGGACATTTGCAATATCTTGAACAATGGTGAGGTGCCTAATTTATTCCCTCCTGAGGAGAAAAGTAAAATCATCGAAGAAATGAGTAGTTACACAACTGGAACTCCGAACGAGAAATACGGTTATTTTGTAAAGCAGTGCAAGAAGAATTTGCATCTTGTGATTTGCATGTCGCCTGTAGGAGAAGCATTCAGAAGGAGATTGCGTACTTTTCCTGCTTTGGTTAATTGCACAACAATCGATTGGTTTTTGCCATGGCCAGAAGAAGCCCTCAGATCAACAGCTGATGCAGTGTTTACAAGGGACATGAACATCACTGACACTAAATTGAGATTGGGATTAGTGGACATAGCGGTTGATATGCAGATTAGAGTGTCTGATCTAACCAAAAGATATTACAATGAACTAAGAAGATACTATTATGTGACCCCAACTTCATATTTGGAATTGCTCAACACATTCAAGAGACTGAAGTCAGATAGAGATCAAAATATGTCCAAGATGATATCTCGATATGAGGCAGGTGTAGATAAGATTATCATCACAGAAAGTGAAGTAAGCAAAATGTAGAAGGAATTGGAAGATTTGCAACCCAAATTGGAGTAGGCTACTAAGGACAACAGTATAATGTTGATTAATTTGTAAAAGAAATAGAAGGAAGCTGATGCAAGGAAGTAGGTTTGTCAGTAGGAAGAAAAGGATTGTAATGTACAAAGAGATGCAGCCAACGCTTTAAGAAATGATTGTTAAAATGATCTCGACAAAGTATTGCCCATCTTGGCTCAAGCTGCTGAAGCATTGGAAAAGATTGATAAGAATGATATGGTTTAATTGAAATCATTCCCTAAGCCTCCTCCTTCTGCTGCCATTGTCATGGAAGGATTGTGTTACATCTTTTAGGAAGATTAAAATGTGCCCTGGAAACCAAAAGAACCTGGGTCAATGGAAAAAGTCTAAGATTTTTGGGAGTATTCCAAAAAGAATCTTTTGAATGATAAGTTGATTAAAAGAATTAAGGACTTCAGAGATGACTCAATCAGATAAATTCCACAAGTGAAAATCAATAAGTTAAAAGCATTCTCATAAAACCCGTTGTTCTAGAAGGATAAGGTGTTTAATGCATCTGTTGCTGCAGGTAATCTCAGTTTGTGGGTTCGAGCTGTTGTAGAGACCTATGATGCTTTGTTAGTGGTGGATCCAAAGAGACAGCAATTATTGGAGGCAGAGTCAAAATTAAAGGAAGCAGAAGAAACTCTTAGAGTGAAGTAGGAAGCATTACAGGAAGTGCTTGACATGTTGGCTAAATTGGAGGCCGACTATAATAAGGCGAAATAGGAGAAGGAGGACTTGGAGGCTAAGGTCAATAAGTGCAAAATCTAATTGAGTAGGGCTGAGAAATTAATTACTGAATTAGGAGGTGAGAAGGAGAGTTGGAAGAAGAAGGCTGCTGATTATAGAGTTGATTCTAAGACAATCGTCGGTGATTGTATATTGTCATCAGGAATTGTGGCCTATTTGGGAGCATTTCCCATTGCATATAGAGATGACACTATAAAAATATGGTAGACTTTATTGGAGAAATTAACTATTGAATTCGACCCTGAGTTTTCATTGCAGAAGATATTGTGTGATCCGATAACTATGGGACAATGGACAAATGTTTAGAAATTGCCAAATGATTCGTTTTCTATTGACAATGCCATCATTCTTAAGAATTCCACTAGATGGCCTTTGATGATTGATCCTCAAACCTAAGCTAATACTTGGGTTAAGCATATGGAAGCCTAGCAATTAGTAATTGTGAGACCTACTCAATCTTAAAATGTGTTATCGAAGACTTTGGAAAGTGCCATATAATTTGGGTAGAGTGTGTTGTTAGAAAATGTAGGTGAAACCATTGATGCTATTTTCGAATCTATTCTCTAACAAAAGATCATCAAACAAGGTTCAGCTTACAAATTGAAATTCGGAGACAAGATGATTGACTACTCCAGAGAGTTCAAGTTTTACATGACCACTAAATTGGCCAGACCTCATTATCCACCTGAAATTTGTGTTAAGGTTACTATGTTGAATTTCCAAGTCACTTAGGAGGGTTTGGAAGATCAGATGTTAAATATTGTTGTTAAGATCGAGGAACCTGCTAAGGATGAGCAAAGACAAAGGAATATTAAGGAGTTCTTTGAAAATAAGAATAAGTAAAAGATGACGGAAGATAACATTTTGCAATTGTTGCAAGAATCAAAAGGAAATCTTTTGGATGATGAAGTATTGATTGACACTCTGCAGAGGTCGAAGGCAGAATCAATCACCATTTAGGATAAATTGAAGAAACAGGAGTAGGATAGGGAGCAATTTAATTAAATTCGTAATTTCTACAAAGAAGTGGCCAAGAGAGTTGCTAATTTGTATTTTGTAGTTTTGGATCTCTCCTTGATTGAACCCACTTATCAATGGTCTTTGGAGTTCTACATCATCTTATTTGAGAGAGCCATTAGAGAATCAATTCAAGGGAAGGAGAACAGAAGCAAAAACATCATAGATAAATTTTAGATATCCTTGTATGAGAGTATCTGCAGATCTCTATTGGAGAAGGATAAGCTGATATATTCATTTTTGATGACAATGAAAGTGATGCAAAGTGAGGGTAAGATTACTCCACAAGAAATTCGGTTCACCATGGTTGGTGGTACATATACAGATCCAACATACCCGTAACCATAACCAGAATGGATATCCAAAAAGATGTGGTGTCTGGTAACGGAAGCAGCTGACACTCTGCCATTCTTCAAAGGATTCCCTGAATCATTCTCAAAACACTTAGCTGATTGGCAAGAAATCTATGATAGCAGTGAACCCTAAACTCAGCAATTGCCAGAACCTTGGAATTCATAATTATCAGCCTTCCAAAAGTTGATTGTCTTGCGTATCATAAGACCTGATAAATTTGCAAATGCCACTTAGAATCTGATCATAACAGAAATGGGCAAATAATTTATGGATCCTCCCCCCTTCAATCTAGAATATGCCTACAAGGATGCAGATGCCTACACTCCTCTTATATTTATATTGTCTCCAGGTGCTGATCCTCGTTTGGAAATATCAACACTAGCTGATCGTCTAGGATTTAGATAGAATTTCATCACTCTCTCCTTGGGATAAGGTTAAGGAGAAATCGCCACTAATGCCATCAAGGGAGCAGTCAAGGATGGCAAATGGGTTTTATTGTAAAATTGCCATCTTGCACCATCGTTTATGCCTGAGTTAGAAAGAATTCACGAATAAGAAATATGTGCAAAACCAGTTCAAGAGGTTAATACAGACTTTAGAATTTGGTTGACTTCGATGCCCTCAAATGTATTCCCAGTTACACTATTAATGAGAGGTATCAAGATGACATACGAACCACCCAGAGGCTTAAAAAACAATATGTTGAGAAACTTCTCTTCAATTGATGCCAAGAGTTTTGAATAATGTAAGAAGCCAGTCGAATGGAAAAAGCTGTTTTTCGGTCTGAATTTCTTCCATGCTGTGTGTCTAGAACGTCGTAAGTATGGACCTCTGGGATGGAACATTCCTTACGAATTTACATCAGCAGATCTAGCCATCTCAGTGTCTCAATTGAAAAATTTCCTTGACACTTTCGAGGATATTCCTTGGGAGGCTCTTAATTACATGGTTGCTGAGGCTAATTACGGAGGCAGAGTCACAGATCCAAAAGATAGAAGATTAATTGGTATTCTGCTTAAATAATTTTACACAACCGATGTGTTGTAGATTGACAAACACAAATTAAGTCCAAGTGGCATTTATTATGTTCCTCCGAATGGAGTATTAGAAGATTACAAAGAATATATCAGAAATCTTCCTTTGAATGATTAGACTGAAGTATTTGGACTACATGATAATGCAGAGATATCATCAGCCATTATTGAAACTAATTTCATCACTTCAACTATATTGTCATTGCTACCTAGATCAACAGGAGGTGCTGGTGTGTCTGCTGAAGACTTAATCAAAGAGAAATGCAAATAGATCCTATCTAAATTGCCCAAGTAATTCAACGTTGAGGATGCTGCTCGTAAACACCCTGTTTAATACAATCAGAGTATGAATACAGTCTTGCAATAAGAGTTGATTAGATTCAATAAACTATTATAGGCTGTCACATCTTCTCTCATTGATTTAGGTAAGGCAATCGATGGTTTGGTCGTAATGAGTGCGGATCTGGAACAAGTGTTCAATAAGGTGTTTGATAATCAAGTCCCAGACGTGTGGCATAAAGTGGCTTACCCCTCTCTTAAACCACTAGGATCATGGATCAATGACTTTATTGATAGATTGCATTTCATGCAGTTGTGGATCGACAATGGAGCTCCACCAACCTTCTGGGTATCTGGATTCTTCTTCACTTAATCATTCTTGACTGGAACACTTCAGAACTTTGCTCGAAAAGTAAGGAATTAATTAATAATTTAGTACCAAATCCCAATTGATACGCTCTCCTTTGAATTCATAGTGATTCCTCCTTCATCTCAAGAATACGATCTTACAAAACCTCCTGATGACGGATGTTACATTTACGGTCTGTTCCTCGATGGTGCTCGATGGGATGAAGAAAATAGATGTCTCAACGAAAGCTTACCAAAAATACTCTAGTACAAGGTGCCCTACTTATGGCTATTACCAAGTGAAGAGAAGAAGGACTGGGATGCTGATATATCTGTAGGAATATTGATCTAAATCTTAGGTTTATGAGTGTCCAGTCTACAAGACATCAAGAAGAGCCGGTACTCTATCAACAACAGGTCACTCCACCAACTTTGTCATTTCTATCTATTTACCCATTTCACCAGATCATCACCCATATCATTGGGTCAAGAGAGGAGTGGCCATGCTATGTTAAACTGATGATTGATTCAAATTTTATAGTGTTACGGATTAATATATATTAAATTCACTCATAGTTATCACATAAAAAGTTTATTGTTTTTGTGTCTTAATAATCTAACCTCAAAAGAGACCTTTTTTTGAATAGTAACTTATTTTGGTCTATGAACTGATTTTTAGGACTTGGTTTGATTAATTTTTAAAATGCTCTTGATGGTCTGGGTGTCTGATCCTCCTTAGTTCTTTCTCAAGTTCACTGAAGTTTCATCTTATAATACTACTTAGAATTTAGTTTGAGTTACAATTGCATTTAATTTTTGACTCACAACCTATACAGCCTCGCTTATCCTTGCTTATTCCTAATGAACTGTATTTTATTCATTGGTTATTTTTTCGTCAGTAAACCTTTTATTGAGATCTAAATCTTCGAGAATGCTCTCCAATTCGGTTAATTCTTGAGCATCCTCAAGTAATTCGGAATGAGTCAAAGGTTTTTCCAACGCACATTGTCTGTGAGGTGCCATTTTTATTTGCCTATTGATAATTGGGTATTGGAGATTTTCATTATTTTTAGATGATCTATTAATACAGACAGATCCCATAATGCTTGAAGCTTTATTAATTTTTTTTATGAAAACAAACAAATATATAAGTCATTCTTATTCAATTTAATTAGGTGGAACAGTAAAATATTTAATCTTTCCTTGGTTCCAATCCTATAACACAATTCTAGCTGCACATTCTAAATCGGGAATGCCCCCTTTCTGCAACTTCCCTCTTGACAAAGCCACCTAACACAAGAACTCATTCACATTGTTGAATGTTTGAATTTTGTACAGTAAGAGTAACTCATTTTTAGAGACCTTTTTCAAAATCTCTCCAATTGGTTCTCTTGGATCCTCAATTTGTTCAATCTTTGGATAATACTAATAGATTATACTTTAATGATATTCCTCAGCAAAGTGCTCTCCTTATTCTCAGAATCAAAGACTACTCCTGGACAATCAATGATCTTCACCTAACTGTCAATAACCACTTCCTAAAGACCCTTGGTGAATCCTGGAGTTGAAGAGACAGCACAAGCCTTACTTCTCTTGAGACTGTTAATGACTGAACTCTTTCCAACATTGGGATATCCAATAACACCAACAGTCACACTACTTTTAACTCCATCATTTTTTGAGTAGTTTTTAATTAATTCCAACAACTTGTCAGCTCCTATGGCTTTGGAGGATGAAGTCAAATCGTCAGCCAAATCCTATCTTTGGGATAGGGTTTTCTTGTAGATGGAGGCTGAAGATAAGTTGGATTATTATTGTTAGGTATTAGCTTTGAAGAGAACAGTAGCAAATTCCCTTCTCAAGTGAGCCAACCATGCATCTGCATTACCAGGAGGAACTAAGTCGATCTTGTTCAACACCAATATAATCTTTTTATCTCCTGGCATACCGAGGATTTCTCTCTCCAAATGCTTGCATCTACATGCCAATGGATCTCTGGCATCCAAGATTATCAACAATATATCAGCAGCCTTAATATTTAGAATGATTCAATTACCTCTGCTACCTTCTTCACTTAGGTAATATATTTCTTGTGCTCTTTGGTTAATTGAGTCAAATTCTCTTATTGCACCTACTCCTCTTCAACCACTTAAGCCTTTGTCTCATACAAGTTTGATTTGACTTCTGCCAAATTAAGATCGAGTTCCTCTTTTTATTATAATTTTTGTATTTTTTTCTCCTGCTCCTCCTAATCCTTCTTTCGTTTCAGGGTCTCAATAACATTCTTCTTAAATGGATACATATTGGGGATTCCTATCTCTTTGGACGATGCTACAATGCTATTAAGATTGAAGATACTTTTCTTTATTTATCCCAAGGCACTCATCTTTCTGGCTTCCTTTTTGAGCTTTTTGTGATGCTATTTAACCTTCTTCTCTATTTTGTATTTCTTATTCAATGCCAATCTCTTGCTTGTACGACCCTTGGGTTTGTTTGTAAACTTAGCCATTTATTAAAAATATTTTAATTTTTATATTATCTCAAGCGCCTGTTGCATACATTTTAACAATATCAAGTAAATCGTTTGTTACCTCACATTCACTGGCTATAAACTATGCTATGTTGGCAATACTCTATTTTGTATCAATAAGATTGTATACATGTATGTCTATCAATTTGCTCAAATACAACAACAAATGGAAATCTGCAAATCTGTGATGACTTGGCTTCTTTTAGTGTTTGTGTAAGAATGTCTTCAAATCCTACTGTTTAGCAACCACAGATCTGTTCTCAACTGGGAAATCGTACAATTTTAGAATACTGTAATTTGAATTTGGATTGTATCCGTGAGCAACCTTAAAGCATTCAAGTTTAATAGTACATTCACAATAAAGAAGTCTGGCTCAAATTCTTTGACTGATTTTCCATTGTACACAAAAGAGGGCAAGACATCCAATTCGTTTTTAGCTTCTCTAACTTACAAGACCTTTCTTCTTCCTGAATTCTAGAATATTCCATCATACTCCAATTGTTATCCCTAATCAGACACCATATAAACCTCTGGAACCACCTCATCAGGGTTGTCCTTCTTGGCTAAAAATGAGAATGGCTATTATTTTTACTTCTCAGCACGACTGTCAAGAACTTGCTCACTAAACAACCTTCAGGATGTTTAATAGAATGCATTTATTAGTATTGTGCTGCCTGTCTCAATTCTTCACTTGATAAAAAGCAATCATGATTGACATTTGTAAAGATCCATCCGATTTTCTCCATTCCCAAATTAGATGCTATTTCGTCAGCATGACTTTAAGCAGGATCTTACAACAAATCAACGTGACCAAAAGTTCCCTTTTGAGGAGGTTCATAAATAGCTTCGACTATGGCTCTAACACCATTTTGATAATTGGGATCTGCAGCATAATATCCGTATAAGAATCCCATTCTTTATTCTGTTTTCCCTTTGCTAGTCCAATATTGTACTAAATTGGACATTTCTGGGATGTTTAGGAATTCAACATAATCAACATGTCTGTAAATTTATCTCTTTAACAAGATGGAAGGTGGAAGACAGTTGTTGCACATAGCCTTAGGATATGGAGCATGATTCTTGCAATCCTTCTTGAGTTTATAAGAAATCTAGGATTAAAGGGAAATGGGATTACCATGGTTGGGGGAAGACAGTTGTTGCATCGTCCATTGTCTGGATGTTATCCACGACATTTGAATTTCATATCATGCAAATATTGATCAAATGAAAGATGCTTGGCCTCTATTTGTCCCTCGTCTATGCAATGTGGACATTTTCCATTAGGGCCATGTTGACATAAGATCTTATTGACTGTTTTGGTATTCTTCTTCTCTTATTCATAAGGCGCACAATTCAAACAACGACCGCCCTCTCCGTGCTTGCATTTATTAATCTCTGTTTTCTCCTGCTATTCTACTTTGGTTGATGTTGAAGATAAGCAGTTAATGCATTTTGCTTGTGGCCCATGTTAGCAAAATTAACTCAATGCACTATGATTTATAATATGAATTCAATACTGGTCTTTGTTTTCATGGATTTTATGGTCAACTTGTTAAATCTATTAAGCATTTGCTAATTTTCCACTTGCCATATACACTTTTGGTTGTTCAGGAGTTTAAATTTGTTATGGTTTTTATTGAACTTTCCTTTGGTCAATGGAGACATTGATGAAGGCTCCATTACTAATTATTTGGTATTATTTATTACTCAAATTTGGGAATGTTTTTGATTGGCAAAGTGGGAGAGATTTTCTAAGTTATCACCACTCCTTCTAAAGTTAATGTTAATGATTCAGGAGGTTTGTTCAAAATTTGACTAACTTTGTTTACAAATTCTTAAAATGCTTGATTAGAAAGAATAGAGACTCTATTCATCCCAACCTCTGACCTTATCATAACTATAATCTCTGACATTTAAACCTTATTAAATTTATTAATTGAAATTATATCTCACATTAGTATTATTAAATATCAATGCGAATACTTTCCTTCGATATATATTTGCATAATTATGATTAATATAACAAAAATCTTATATTCATAACTTATCGAGTAACTATTGTGTTTATTTCAATGGAGTCCAACTCATGTCCCTATTGATAATTTTTGTGTAGATGTGGGTTTCGATTCCATTCATATTTTGTTTCCCGACCTAAAGCAGATGCACTATAAAAGCGATGTAATTTGAAAGACTATGAACTTCATCCACATGTTCATGGAATTGCAAACCCTGCTTCTCGAACTCCCATCTAGATACATATACTTAAGATCTGTTACCTCTCCAATGAACATATTACACAAACATTGTTTCTGTCGTACTCGTTTTGTTACTACTTGTCTCTCAGTTCCGCAAATGTGTCTATTATGATACCATTGATGATGTTGATCATAATGAGAGTTACAATTATGAAAAAACTAAAATCAAATAGAAATCGTGGGTAATAATCAGATGATTTGTGATAACTCTCAATATCCCCATGAGCTGCTAATCCAGAACCCTCCCTTAACCCAAAATACACCAAACTTATAAAACAATGAGCAGGAGTGTCACAAAGCAATTCCTCTTCATGAATATCATCTTCTGGATGCACTATTACATCCAATTAAAAACTGGTTGCAAATCTCCTGAATCCTATGTAACTGTACGCATTCAAAATAATGAGCAAAACGCTGAAAATTCCCAGGAATTGCTACCATCTCAATCGCAATGCTTCCAATACTGACGACATTGTCTAAGAGATGTAAATAAAACAGAAGCTTTGCAAGTAAAAACAGAAGGGCTCAAAGGTTCCTAAAATGCTCAGTACAAAATGCAAGAAAAACTAGAATATGTCTCTCCTCTGCAATATTTAGAACATGATAACAAATGTGTTGTAGAATGTGTGCTTAACCTCCTTGCAACTGATTTGGTAATAGATACTCATTCGGAAAAACAATTAACAAATCAAAGCCAAAAGTGACATGAATATTAATAGTATTTGACAAAGTGTCAATGCCACAGAATGAGACTCCTGGTATTTCATTGAAATGCGATTCTCTTCATTTTCTATTTTCACGAAAGCCGTGTTCGATATCAAAAGGATTACTATGATATTCAACGCTGTAATAGACGTAGCCAATTGGGTGTGATTGAAACTAAGTATAAATAATGAGCTAGTTACTTGGGTGATATGGCGACACTGATTAATCTTTAGAAGAATAAGGACTTTCTATACTTTGACATGTTTTCTTTCATCTCAGTCATGAATTGAGGGATGGAGTCAAATATGGATGCCAATTTAGATGCTGGATTTGATCTGTCTATTGTTTCTATTAAGAATTATAATTTGGTTTCTTCAGATAAGAAAAAACACATAGGAGGTTTGAGAAAATGGAAAATCTCAATCTAGTCCTTTTGATTCACGTATTCTATTGATCCAACTATATTGAATATAAATTAAAAGGCTGACTTTGCCAGATGATCTCCTTCTCTTTTGAATAATTGTGGTTGACCCTACTAACATTACTACTTTTGATCTTTTAAGTATTAACATATTTCAAGACTGCTGGTAGCATATAAATTCAACATCTTGTAGATTTAATAAAGTATTTTTATAAGCATTTTGGAATCGAAAATCAATGACTCGTTTATATTGTCTCCTAATTCTCTTCTATACTTCTCAGTCAATTGACTGTCAATTGTAGCTAAATCCTTTAGGTCTAATTTATTAAATATTATCAACGCTCTATACGTCTATGTGAGGGTTTCTTCTAATAGTTTGTGATTAATGAGATTCATGATATATTGGAAGTCATCTGGATTTCTCTCTGGATCTTCAAGCAATGACAAAATCAATTAAAATATATAAAGTCGAAGTGTATACACACTATTTTATTGATTTTCATTTGTCCTTACAGTCAGGATTTAGATGATGACTTGCCAAACTCTGTTTTTACTTAATTCATTAAAGGTTAATTTTTAATTGTTCTATTAAGAGCCCTGGTTGAATTCCGCAATAGTTATGATTGTATGAGCAAAGAGTTTAAGAAAAGCCTATGACACATCAATTCCATACTAATCCCCTTGAGTACTGTGAATTCCAAATTGCATAAACTCATTCTAAGTACTTGTTTACTTCTAACTGTTTTTCCTTTTTTGCAAGAATTTCAATAAGTAATCAGTAGTACTGCTATTCTTCTTCTTCAGTTGCATAGTTCGTACATTGTGAACTGCTTTTTAAAAACTAGCCTTAGTTTGTGATTTAATTTTGTTTTGATTATTGGTTTCCCTTACTATTTCTAGAATCTATTTTGACTTAAATAGATCAACCAATAATTTGAGAATGCACAGCAATAGTCCTGATTCCCCCACATAATTCTGCATTTCTTAATTCTGTCCCTCTGCCAAATACCTGATGAATTCAAGAACTATGATTGAATACTTACCACTATTGATCACTATTGACAAATATGGCTAATCTTGATATACGATCACCTTTTTAAATAAGAATGGAATGATTTTGGTTGATAAGTATTGCAGGAAACTGTCGAAGTTCTTTTAAAAATTTGGATATTTTGGATCTTGTTTTTCAATATTGGTGTTGATTATCTATTGTACTGGTTTTGTTTCGGCTTATAATAATCTCTACAATTATACTATGTAATTAATATGAGACATAAAAATCGTATTTGGGTATTCCAAATTGCGATTCCTCTAAAATTAAGTCTATTATTATAGTAGTTCAATTAAGACATTTATGAATATTAAACTGTATTACTCTTTACTCCTATTGCGATATTCTTTTTTAATTAATTGCACTATTGCATTCTGCTCCAAGATATCGTTGTCTAATTCAATCCGCTTCAGTTTCAATTTCAATAACACCTTATTCAAGGCCTAGAAAACACTCTTGTCCTTGAATCTAACTATATCATCGATAGCTTTCTATGAAATTGCAACGCTTAAGTTGTTCTCCTTAATCTAAAATATTTCAGGGGGACTTGAATTATCATGCTTATTGGATAAGGAGTAGTTTACAAGTGTCTTGAATTTCTCCATCACTTATACCAACTCCTCGAATCCTCCCAAGGGTCCCTGAAATAATTTCTATTACTTCAATTACTGACTAAAGTATTAATGGATCTATTCTATTTTCTCTATTATCGATGCTTATTCTAAGAGATCTTGGGTCTCCAACAATTGGTTTCTGTTGAAATAGTCAATAATGAGATTCATAAATCGAATAAAGGTGTGCGTCAATAATACTGTTGTGATTGCCAACCCTTCTTGACTGCCTAAGTCCTTTTGCATTTAGAAGATTTCATTCAATTATTTCATGGTGAAGGATTGCTGAATTATATGCGATTAGTTTAATGAGTTAATTGAAAAAAAGGACATTTGGGATAATTAATTCTGGGGACTACCTTGATTATTTGAAACTCCATTTTGAATTTGTTCCAAACAAGTAGTAAATGACATAAATGAATATCTATTCTAATTTTGATTGATGAACACATCGTAGGATGAGGAATCTGGGGTATATTGATTTCCCTTTGTGAATATATCAGTCGAATGATTAAGCACCTGAGGCAATATTTTGTTGTATAGATTCTCACATAACTAATGGAATTGCAGGTAGTCATGATTCGTTTCGTTTGATATTATGATCAACTCCAAGATTGCAATCAGCAACTCGAATATTTAATGCTTATTATACAAAATGCTGGATGCATGCTTTTATGTTAACTCTGCGCAATCATCGTATTGACCATCCAACATTTCATTCAAATGAATTAGATGCTACAATAGGAATTAGGGATTTAAGAAGCAGTATTAATAGACATTAATAAACCCACTTTTTAGTATTACATCAAAATGAAATTTAATTATGATGTTCCTTAGAGCACATTAACCATAATAAGGCAGTTCCTTTTCTGCAATTCTTTAAAATATTTAATAATTTTCTACTGTATAAATCTAATTTATCAATTACTAATTGAAATTTATCATCCGATTCAATATTTCAAACATCAAAGTTGTAATATTAATCATAATTTCTAATTAGGCCAACTTTACAAATTAATTTTAAATAAGAAATTAACAATATCGAATGATAATTAGATCTATGCCCTTTTCGTATAGTATTTATTGAGTCTATTTTATGATTTTCATATCTGATTTCAAATGTTGTTTTAATTCTTCCTGCAAATTCTTTGCTGATTGACTAAGTTAAATTGTATAGATACTTCTTTTTTTTCTGATTTTCACATATTTTCTCTTGATTCGCTTCAAACTTCTCTAATTCCCTAAAATACTTTGTGTTTAGAAGTTCTTTACATAATTTCAATAGCCTTTCCAGATCCTCTTCTTCAATTTCAAATGAGACTTCAATTGAATTTAGAAAGTACTTATTCCATTCAGATTTAAAGTTGTCCACTTGACTTAAGAACTTAAGTAAATAATAATGCTTACGTCCTAATTTAAGATGGTCAACCTTTCGTATTTCCATAGCAACAAGTCTTCAATCTACAATTACATAATTTAAGTCCTCAGAGTTGTGTCTACAAAGAGATTTTCTCTCAACATTATTTAGATGACATGGTTCAATTTGGTTTGAGGATTCATCATCTAATTATAATATTATCCATTCAAATTATAGTTTATGACTATGTTAATAAAGACTCTCCATATGATTTAGAGTTTCTCTGATTCCCCATTGTAAAACAAATCTATTTGCAAATTCTTTTTCTTCTTCTCAAAATAAAACGATGCAGTGTATTTATCAATTAATGATATTTGTCTCTTCTCATTCCTGTTAATCTGCTCGTTCAGAATTTCGTAAAATAAATCGTCCTTCATTTAAAAATATGTCAATATCAATATCTTACTCAGGAGGTTGAACATCTACTCTGTGAAAAATCTTTGAATCTACCCAAAGTTCTTCTATTGGTTATAATAGTCAATGTCTTTGCACAGTTTCTCCAAATTGAGGATGACCTTGAACACTACTTGAGTCTTAATCAACAGGCCAGTTTACAATCCCATCTTCACGCATTTCAACAAGACTATTAACAATTTTGATAGGATTGGATTGGTAATTTCAATATCAAATAGGATTCTGTAGTATCTCTTAATCAGTTCGGTCAATTCCACCTGCAAAATTCCATTATCCAGACATTGATTATACTTCCTGATTTGGCTCCTCTAAATTGGGGTGCTGTTCTCGATGTCCAAGGTGTCAATTTTTCTAAATTTGGAGAATTGATATTTTAGTTGTATGGATTGTATTTTCAAAATCTTCAAGACCAACTGAGAGAGCTTCTCCTTGGCTGATTCTTATAAATTTTATGATAATATGTGATATTAACCTAAACATAGTTTAAGATTGATTACTCACTAAGAATTTAATCTAACTTGACGTCATGCATTGCCATATCTTGTCATCAAGGTATATTAGATTGTACTTTAATTTCATAAGTAGCTATTCTATGAACACATGGATGGATGCAATTTCAGTATATGGGAATCTCTTCTCAGTGAAAAGTTCTAAGATTTTTTCATTCAAATTTTATTCATCCTATTATACATCGATTCTAAGAACAATAGGCAATAATAAATTACAGCTTTTAGGACCATATGCATGTTTAATTGAAGTCCCCTGTTTCTAGTTCGTTGAAAATATTCTCGAATGTGTTTTTCAATTCCGCAAAGAGGAGTTCGAAAAGATCAAAGTTATTGAGCAATGCATTGATTATTTTTATCATAGCCAACTCATCTTAGGGCCTGTATTTAAGTGTCTTCGTGATGTTGTACTTCTTTAATTGTTCAATGTAATGCACTCTGAGTTAATATTTGGAATGCAATTAATTACACTTGCACCCTTCCCCAGGGAGATATTAGTGAGTATGTTTGCAATTTTTAATACAGAATGAACAAAGATTAGTCTTACAAGTAGTGCAATTTGAAATAGGACAAAAGGTTTGAGAATTCAATGGACAGGGTTGTATATCAAGTTATTTTTGTTTATGCTTGAACAATCCACATTCACACTTAAAATTTCCCCTGAGTTTTAGTAATTTTGCTTGTTGATGATATACATTTCTGGTTTTCTTATGACAATGCTCAAAACAGTATTTACAAATCCCATGAGGATAATCAAAGCATTATCCACATTAATACATTTCCTATATTATCATTTTATTAGTTTGTAAACTGCAGTCCTAAGATTTGAATGTCTGGTTAAATTCAGGTATTTGTGATCTTCTACTATTCAACATTAATAAATATTTTATAATGTGTATTTTAATTACACAATGATCTAATAATTATTAAACAGTATTCTTGTTAGTTTAATTCAATAAATCAATATATATATTCAAAAATTAGGATCATTTATTTGACCACTCTATTCCATTCTCACCGATTTAATAGAGAATTGATTTATCAAATGGCAATCTGTCATTCAGTGACTTATGAATCTTCATAATTTTTGATTGTTTCGTAGAAATCAAATGGATGATAGTGCTAGCAAATGTGTTGATATATTAGTCGTATTTGGTTGCTTGTATGTACTGCAATTAATCCTGGACTGATCTGATTGAGATTACAAAAGTGTTTTGTTATGATTCAGTCAATTCATGAAAGTATCTCATCAATTCATTGATGATATGATAGAAATTATAGATTTCTATTTCACTTTCATAATACAAGGTCATTAATCCATCAATAAAAATAATAGTCTTATTAGGTATGTTCTTGATTAGTTACTCGAAGTCTTTTAGACAATCAACAGCCTTATATTAAATTCTGCTTAATATGTCGATAGTAGCTGCCTCGGATTTAGTACTTTTAATCATTTTGTATATCCTTTAAGCTGACAAGGTACATGAACAATCATAATATATCACATTCGAATTGCTAATCTAATTGGAGAAATAGTTTTCAATAGCTGAAAACATCATAGAAGTCTTGCCACTGCCAATATCACCTAGAATAAGGGAGATGCTATTCAGTGGGAGGCATTCATATTCCCCTAGGACTAAATATTAGTATAATTTTGGTTGCAAATTTTGGTGTAGTTGATTCAGAATGTCCTATTCCATATCCCTGAGTGTGGCTATTTCTGAATCTATTTCATTGAATAGTGTATCAACATCATTTGGTAACATTTTCTACGAAATGAGTTTTTCATAAAACTTCTATCTTTTTTACTTCAAGAAATCCAAGACACTTACAACTCCATTTCCTTTGAATCTCTGCAAGACTGCTTTTCTATTCCCCCCAAGCAAAACACTTATCTAATTTATTTTAGATTGCTTACAGGAAAATAATTCATTTTAATTATTTTTTATATTTATTCCCGCCATTAAATATGACATTCTAATCTAGTCTCCCTGAGATTGATATAATACCCGAGGGTGAGAACAAGGATCAGTCCTATCTTTAATAATTACTACACAACAGGACTCCGAATCCCAAAGTTTAAGAATAACAGGAAATGCTTATTGAAGAACAATCACCCCCCGTTAGGAGGAAGTTGTTTTAAGAAAGAAAACTGTATAAAGGGGAGAGTGACATTGAAGAGGAAGTCGAAGAGGTCAAGCAAATCGCAAAAGTCAAGTCAGATAATCGATCGGCATTACCAGGATATTAGGTTCATAAAGATTACACGGTGATGCTCAATTTGACAGATATCTCCTATGGAGTCAAGGGTCACAACAAGTTCTATTAGATTTAGGTCTTAAAGAAGGATGGCGACTATTTTCTATTCACTAAATGGGGAAGAGTAAATATCATTATACTACAATTTAGACGGGCGCATCGAATCCATAGTAGGAAATCAAAGAGAGTGATTTGGTGACAGCTATAAAAGGGTTTGAAAAGAAATTCCGAGATAAAACCCATTGGGATTGGAGAGAGAGAGCTGAATTCAAATAACAACCAGGGAAATACTGCATAGTTGATGTTATGGGAGGAGGAGGAGGTTCGGTGAATAGTGAAATCGAAAAGTTGAATTAAAGAAACGGAAGAATTGCAGCAAGGATCAAGAACCTGCCTTCCACTCTGGATCCAGCAATATTTGATTTAATGAGTGAAATTTGGGATATCCAAAGGATGAATAAAACACTTAAAGAATTGAACTTTGATACTGATAAGAATCCATTGGGTCGTTTGTCTGTTGATGCCATCAAGAAAGGGTTCAAAATACTCAATGAGATCCAACAAGCCTTAAGAGATTTCAAATATAGTTTATTGGTTGATCTTACTAACGAGTTCTATACAAACATCCCTTAAAACTATGGCATGAAATTACCACCTAAAATTGATAATTATGAGATCCTGGGTTAAAAGAACCAATTGCTAACTGTGCTATAAGAATTAGAATTGGCTAATCGATACATCAACAGTACTTTGGCTGAGAACAGTGACATCAATCCTTTAGATTAATTTTATAGACTATTAAAAACTAATATTAGGGAGTGTTAAGATCTCGACGTCATTTCTAAAATTGAGCATTCTATCAATGTATCACATGGTCCAACTCATGAGAAATTCAGATTATAAGTAGCAAAAGTGTATGAAGTTGAAAGGAAAAACGAGAAGATCAGGTTCTATCCATTCAAAGCCTTAGAAAATAGAAAATTATTGTGGCATGGATCAAGAATCACAAATTTTGTAGGGATATTATCAGAAGGTTTAAAAATAGCACCTCCAGAAGCCCCAAGTACTGGGTACATGTTTGGAAAAGGAGTTTATTTTGCTGATATTTGCTCCAAGTCAGCTGGGTATTGTGTTGCCAACATTGATCATCCTTACGGATATGTGTTGTTGTGTGAGGTTGCTCTGGGCAACACTTATTAAATATATAAAGCTAAAGATCATGTTAGACCACCTCAAAATTACCATAGCATACATGCAGTAGGCAGAAATCACGCTGATCCTAAAACCAGGGAGAAGATTAAGTATATATACGAAGATAATTATAAATAGTAACCTAGATTTTGAGTCTGGAAAAGTCATCCCAAATGAAGAATTAAAGATCCACAACATTGAATCAAGTCTAATTTACAATGAATATGTGGTTTATGATGTTGCTTAAGTGCAAATTCACTATCTAATAAAACTTAAATTTATATTTTGAATTTGAAGTTATTTATATTATAAATATCTCATTAAATATTATGAATTTATCAATGGAACAATCATAAGAGATTATTAAGTAATGGTTTAAAGGATCCGAAAATATATATAATTACAATGTTTTAACATATCCCTCATATGAATAATAAGTATTTGTGTAATAGAAAGTAGGCATACATTTTAACCTAACATTAATTATATGAATTATGTAGATAAAATCAAAATTAGCAGGATTTATAAAAGAATTTATTTTAATTTAGTGATCAACATAAGGCCATAATATATGTCATGTTTCTCGCTCCTCAATATTAAAGAAGTGTAAATTTAATTAATTATTTATTTAGCTGTTTGATTTAATGAATATAAATGGGTTTCATAATATTATTGCATTTTATTCAGAATTTAGTCACTTCATAAATACTTAATATCATTTATTGAAGGATCATATCAAATTATAGATATTTGAAATCATGAAGTTTTTCTTGGAAAATCCACTTGATTAATTGGAAGAATGCTTCAAGAGCTTCCTCAGAACCTGCATCATCTATCCTCACAACACAAACTACACTTTTCTACTGGAATTCCTCAACTTTCTGTTTGATCAACACAAACAAATTATAGCCAAACCAAACTTGGCCGCACTGTTATTTTACAAATATCTATTAATTTTAAATATTGACGACTATTACAAGATTCAACAATTCCCCCATAAGAGAATCAACGACCTAATGATAGAAATATGGTAACTCTACTAATCGACGATTTTATCCTTTGGCAGAGAATTGTTGATCAATCTCTAGATTCCCTTTCAATATTCAGAATTCAACATCTCCATGATAAATTTAAATGTAATCAAATAAAATCTGCCTATATCCCATTTGATCGCCAATCAGACCACCACAACTGCAGCCTACAAGGCAAATTACTAATTGGCTTTGCCCTATGAAGTAGAACAAAGAATCGGATTCGCAATATTTTCATAGATGCCCCTGGAGAGTATGTCCACCTTTTTGACTATGATATTCGAGAAATACGGATACCATATCAATTTCATAGGAGCAATAGTCAGAAACATAATTTGTGGCTATCAATTCGATGAAACGGAAATAATCCAAAACAAAATTGCTGACACCTTGCTATTGATATACGAGATTGCAGATCTGTAAGGTGAGAAATGGCCAATCTTCTTGAGGTTCATCTATTCTGACATTTTCTTTATGACTAAGTAAATTGCATTCATGATATTTTAAGAGATTTTAAGGATGATCACAACATCTAAGCAGGCTTGTATTTCTTAAGAAAACTGTACCATAAATAATTATATAATGAATTGTAAGGTGCGTTGTGGTTTATCTTCTAAACTTTCGAAGTTAACGAACAATTGAAAAAGAAGGTCTAACCACAATTGCTCTCCCTCAGTTCTCATAACATATTCTAAAAGCTATTGGAAGATCAAAATATAAGAGAAGCAATTAAGTGCAAAATACACGAGTACTTTCTTAAGTTGATCTGTAACCAATATCAAGGTCCTGGAGGGTTGAGTTATGATTAACCCCACACAGCATTATACACAGTCGACGATTTGGATACTCCTCAAGTATAGTATCTCAATGGGAACACAACAAACATTGATGACTCAATCTTGGATGAATTCTAAGGCAATTCTATATCAATCTAATAAAATGATATTATGTTGGAAGAGGCTGATGTTGCAAATACAATCTAGATAGATATCACTTTGTAAAAGATATTAGAGAAGGAGAAGCTCGATGCAATATTTTAGAATCCTCAGCTAGAACACAATCTAATTAGATTATACACCTTCTTCAACAAATCCATTTAACCAGATGTTAAACATGTGTTTCTTCAAGAATTGACCAAAATTATTATTAGACTGTATGAAGACTAATTTTATGATCTTGATTATGGTATTGCTTTTGTTATTATGTAGAATATCCTTTTAATTGTTTAACCACATTACTGTAGATAAACTTTAATTAGGACAGTTTATTATATGACCTAATAAAAAGTTTGGTTTCTTCTGAGTAATTCAGCATTCATTACTTGTTTCTGGTATACTTTGAACGCAAGACAAAATCAGGGCATCTAGAGAAATTGCTTATTTAATCGCCAGATCAGATTATAAAATCATTTAAGATTATTCAAAGTTTGATTTCAGCTCAAAGAAGTTAAGTGATTTTTGAAGAAGTTTTATCAAATAACCAGTTGAACACGAACATCGACTTTGTTTTCAATCTTTTAATAATTACCAATATCTAAACCATTTAGAAAGCATCAAATAGAATTTAGACTTTGTTCTGTGTTAATTACAGTTCAATTTTGTATTTCTTAAAGAAAATTCCTCAGATTGAAAATCTTTAGCTCTTTGGTTTTGTAGTGGACTTAATTTAGAAGATAATTAAGTACATTTAAATTAATTATGTAGACTTAATGAGAATCAAAAGGACATGAACATTCTGATTGATCAAATATTTGTTAATATAGAAAATCCAAGCAAAGCATTTTGGACAGTGTTTATATAAGTGTTTCAATTATTGTTACAATTCAAGAGGATATCTGAAGTAATTATAATGTTGTGAAAAATATTAGGAAAATTTAATACAATTTTTTGTTAATTGCTTCGTAAATTCAAATAAGTATTGCGAAGGCATTGCTGAAATATTTTTAATGACTCCAAATACATTGAAAACATTTATTTTCAAGGCGTTGACTAAACACTTGGATAAGACAAAAAACTATGAATCAGTGGAATTCATATTAAAATATTTGATAAAGGACCAAAAGAATGTCAGTTTTAAAAACTCTCTTCAAAATAATTTAGACAATTATATGAAACAATAAGAAAAAAAATGAATTTTATTGTTTATTTTTTTTCTTTGGGTATATGATGATGATCGTTATTGCTTTTAATATTATTATTATATTTTATCAATTTTCCTTCTTTTCTAATTTGTAGAATGATAATTCTTGTATATGTTTATCTTTCAATTCTTCCCATAATTTCTAATATCTTTCCTAATTTGGTTGTGCTATTAAATTAATTTTATTCTAAATGTATCGATTGAAATTTGATTGCTTATAAAAGTTGGAGTCTGCATTAATCTGCTTCACATCGATAAATCTGGACAATTGCTCAGTACCATCAAGATTACCAAATGATTCAATTTGACTAAATTTATTTTATATTCATCTTACTTTAAGTTCAATCTAAAAAATAATAGAAGTAACAATTTAATCAAGTAAGCTCGTTAATCATCAGGTTCATCACTACAAAAAGAATAATTTTGGTTTTTGAAATCTATATCAGGAACAATTTCGTTAAACTCCTTGAGGGATTATTGCCAATCTGAAATCTTAACATCTAATCTATTTTTTTGAGTTGATATTAAAATATTGGAAGGAGATACGAACTTCATTTTCTTCTAGAATTATTGATTGCCACCTGAGGCTTTCAAATCTGTTTAATCCAAGTAGGATAATATTTGATGAGCCACTTAGAATTTCTAATCAATGTTGAATTGAGTTGATGCTCTAAATCAATTTAAAAATAAATTACGCAAATGAATAAAGATTATGATCTTCAAGGGTTGAAATAAGATACATCGACCCAGTTGGACTAGTTTAATCAGTATCTTTTAATGGATCTACCTTATAGGCATGATATTTCTTGTAATATTCCCCTTTTTGCTATTATTTGCCAAGATTAATAAGAAAATTGTGAAATTTGTTTAAATTCACTCCATTCCAGCACTTAATAAAATACAACCCTTTGTCTTTTAAATGCCCAATAAAACTATATGAATTGTAAGGAGTCTATCGTATGATTCTCATATTTCTTATCTCTCCATCTAATTCTCTGAGAGTGTTGGCAAATTCAGGACCTCTTTACTTGTAACTTGAGATATTATCATCCAGAAACAAGGGTCCTTTAATCTCATTATTGGGAAATTACAGATCTATTAATTGTTCCTTCAATAGTTAAACTTTTAATTGATCAGCTGGTTTTTGGTTGTATTGAACTTCTGCAGAATCATGTTGAAGTTTAGCATATTATTCCTTGAATCCTTCTACTTTGCTATCGAATAGTTTTTGTTATTTAGATCTTGGGCTTTCTATTTGACTAACCAAAAGGTTGGCCTCTCTGACTTCAACGGGTTTGGTTGGTTGTTAAACTTAAGATTATTCTTAGTTTTGAACTACACTTTGATTATTAATTTAACTTTGTGGAACCTTAGATACTTCACTCTTTGGTTTTTTAGATGAGCAACACATTGGTTATTAAAATGGAATATATATTAATATAATTGACTTTAATTTTTATTTTAAATGTCCTTTTTTAATATACTCAACAGAATAGTTGTGTTAATAAGAATACTTGAATTTCAGATTACATTTTATCATTACAATATACTTATAATCATAACTAGGTTATTAAACAACCTAAAGATGACTTTTTTTGGCTTCGAGCTTCCATAATTATTTTTTTAACAGGATAATTATCTTATCGATGTAATTAAAATGAACTTTGTGATTGAGATTTAACGATTTGCACATTATGAAATTCATCCTTCTTTTCTGAATAATTTTAATTAGGTGTTTTTATAGCATAAGATCGACTTGGAGTAACAGTCCTTGAATTTTTGTAGGAATGAATATTTAGTGATTAATATTAATGTTGCAATAGATTGTGTTGAGAATCCTAATTCAAAATTGGAGGTCTTTGGGTTTCAATCTAAGAATTATAATAGGAGGTCTAAGCTAATAGTTTATTCCTCATTGATTTTAATTTCCTTAAGTAATTATCCTTCTCATCCTTGTCCTCTCTTTACTTAAAAGCAACTCTTTGCTTGTTTCTTGAAGACAGACTTTGAGCCTATTCATTTTTTCTCAATTACGATTGAAGATTGACTGGCTGATAAAAATAATTTTAGATTTTTTGTTTCAACTATTCTATGTTAGTATCTGATTCGATTTCCTCCCTTGCTTACTATTATTATTGAGGAATAACTTTTCTATTCCTAATAGTCTTCAGTAAATTTTAATAAGGATTACAAGATTTTGGTTTGAATTCTGGAACAAAAACAGTTTCTGGATTGTCAAACTCCTCTGAATTCTCTATTTTTCTAACCTATTCTTACAATTTTTCAATTCTTTCCTTTAATATGAGTTTAGTTTATCTTAAATACTTTTTCAATAAAACCGAATGATAATTGTCTGCTATCTACAAGTATTAGAATAGTGGGACTCTGTAGACTTCACTCACAGTAGTGGAAACAGCATCAGTCGCCCTACGAATATTGTCTAACTGATTCCTATTTTAGTACCATGTCTGATTATCGATAAACTCATAATCTCCAAAACATTGTCCAGTTCCCAAGGTCACAAGACCATAATCTTAAAATTTCCCTTTTACTTTTATCTTCTATTAAATTAATATTTCCCCGCTCTTTACGACATAAAATGATTTATCGTTCTGTCCCTCTTTATACACATATTGGTTTCTTAGGATTGTAATTAATTTCAAATGATGTATAATTAATGCCAATGCCAATTCGTTCCACCCATAGAAAATAGCTGTGGGCTTTAATTGATAATACTGAACTGCAATTAGATGATCAATCACAGGTTACAAGAAGTTGTAGTAGGCCTCATAGCTGATAACGAGAAGCACAGCATTGCATGCACACACAACTGTTGCTGTTCTTGGAAGTCTATGATGTAAGCTCACTTCTCCAAAATAATCTCCAGGAACTAATACAGCTGCAGGTTACTTATTCTCAATAATATTAAAATTGTCATACTGATTTCAGTAATCTCATAAGGGAATATATTCAGATTGCCATCCAAAATAAAATACATTTTCCTTCCTACTTCCCCCATGGTGAAAATTACATCCTTCTCAGAATGCATTTCAACCTAAAACTGTTTGATGAACATACGAAATTTATCTGTGCTTCTCAAGTATCTTTAGATTTTAGAACTAATTGGAAATATTTTTAGCATCTATTTCTCCAGATATTGCATGTCCTATTCACTTTGATTCGATAAGGCATTCAAAATATTTTTTACAGTAACCTGATAATTGCCCTCTGCAAATATTTTGGTCATGTTTTTCAGTAGTTAGACTTTCTAAACTGCCTTCTTCATCTCAGTATTTATAATTTAAATATAATTAAAAATATGTAATTAGGACTTTACTGTTTCTTATTAATTTTGATTCCCCCTCTCATTATGCACCTTACACTGTGATCAATCAAACTTTAATAGCTTTTACTTCAATTTTATTTCTTCCATTACTTCGAAACTCCTCAGAATTCTACAATATTTCAAATATAGAATAAGCGACAAGTCCATAAATTTAGATTTACTTATTAAATCTAATTATTATTTCAATATGCATTCTTTAACGAATCAACTATAATACTCGTGGAGTTAACTCACAGGAATATTTAATTTATTCTACGAGTAAAATGTTTGAATTTAAAAATAATTAACAGAAAAACATTACAAATGAAGGCCATCCCAAAATAATAGACCTTAATTACAGTTGCTCGTCCTTGCTCCCTGTCCAAAGAGCTTACGCCAATATCCATTCATTCTCCTGACCGATAATTGGTGTATGGCTTGAAAACATAAACATAAGCCAGAGTATAAACCTATGTGGGTTCTCCATTCATACAGTCCCCCACTTACGATGCAAATAAGCCACTCATTTCATCACGTAATGCAGCTATCATAGTTCTAGCTAACTTAAATGTCCAACCTCAATCCCCCAAAAAGTTAATAGACTCCTACCATTACAAATAGAGGACACTTGACTATAAATCCTCAGGCGCAGAATACAAACCATTTGAGACCACTAAACAATTAGTTCCCTAGATCAACCAACAGGATTTTGCCAAGACCTATCAATTTGATATAAATAAAGAGAATAAGGAATCATATTCCAATACTGATAGAAGAACTCTTAATAATCCATTCTTAGAATCAAAGGAAAACATTAAGGTTGGACTTGAATTTCTAAGTATATCTCCCATTTAGGAATTAGCCAATCAAAATACAACTAATATACCGTCAAAATTAAATTAAACACCCTCAATAAAGTCTAAACTCTAAAATGACATCAATAAGATTTCTAGTTCGTTAAGGGAACTAATAAATTCAATATAAAAGTAATTGGGAACAAGCAATCTAACTGATGCTCTCAATGATAAAATGATAGATGTACTCTCTAATTTCAGAAAATTGGAAGAAACAATTGTGTCAGATTACTCAAATTAGCAAATGCCTTAGGTGAATAATTAACATGCAAATGAACAGAAAATCTAATCCTTAACTGAGGATTATAATAAATTGAAAGCCATTCTAGACTAGTTATAGAACAAGATGGCATCTCTTGTTTAAGAGAATTAGAAGGTATCATTAATTATCCTACCCCGTTTTAGTTAAATAAACAATTGATAGATCAAGAGCAGCAGGTCCAAGATGAAAGGAGGAGACTCAAAGATGAGAATCAAAAACTACTATAGAATTAATGCGAATTGAACAGAGTGCTGGGATGTCTGCAACTCAATCAAAAAGAAAATGAGGACTTGAGGAATCAGTTACAAAAGTTGGAGAAGAACATCAGCGACTCAGTGGTTTGCAGATAATTATTTTAGCAAGATGAATAATCAAAAGAGTTTCAAATAAAATATTAAAATTTATTAAGAGATTATACTCAATTGGAATAAAAATACAAATAAGTAATTTAGGAGAGAAATACTAGAGACATGAATAAATCCCCTTCTGTTTTGAGATCACCATCTGGAACTCCACATTAATAATAGAGTAAGCAGATGGAATAACTGGAATTGAAGATACTTTAATTGCAAATAGAAAATGATAATTTAAAAGCAGAGATTGCTCATAATTAGGTTGATTCAAGATAGTTGGATTAGAAGAACAATGTGATTGATTAATTGGAAGAGAAGATAAGATCAATATTGAGAGAGCGCACAGAATCTGAAGATCATCTTTAACAAATTTGTTATAATTTGGAAAATTAAGTTGAATAGATAAAATCTAATTTAAGTTAGAAGGAAACAGAATTGAATCAAATTACTAAACTAAAGAAGGATATTGAAAGAGACTTCCAATCCTCAGTTAAAAATTATCAAATAGTCTAAAAAGGACTGGATGATAAGATCACAAGCATTAAAGCAGATTACGAAAAATTATAGACTGACTATAAATCCTTAGATTAGAAACGAATTAAGACTGAAGAGAACTTAAAATCATCTGAAAAATCTTTAGAATTACAAAAATAAGAATCAAATTCTTTGTAAACTGAAAATTTAAAACTTCATGATAAATTGTAACATCAATAAAAATAATTGGAATAGTTGAGTCAACAATTGTAACAGTATCAATAGTCAACCTAATAATTGTTGAAATAATTGGATAACTTGAAAGAAATTGAGGCTTAATAGAAGTAGGAGTTGGATCAATTATCATCATAATTAAGACAAATTAAATAAGATGCTAAGAATTAGATCAATGATTTAAATTAAGCTTTAGCATTATCATTGACAAAAACAAAAGAGAAAGAAAAATAAAACTTAGATCTAGTTGAAGAGATGAGCGCTTTGAAGGATCAATATGAAGTGTAAAAGAAGATCCAATTAGAAAACATCAATGAATTAGAGAGAAAACTAAAGAGTCTAAAAGCTTAATTGGAGGAAACAATAGATAATAAGGAGAATGAAGTTAATGATTTAAAGCTCCACATGGAACAATAACTAAAAATGATGGATTAAAGGAATGCTAATTCTTATTTTGATTTTGAAGAAAGAGAATAATAATGGATCTCAGATCTTCAATAGAAAACAGAAATCATCGAAACATTAAAAGGGGAGTTGGAAAAAACTAGGAGCATTAACTATAATATTCAAGAGGATGTACTCAAGATCAACATCTAAAACACATAGTTGAATGTTACAATTAATAATCTGAAAGGTGAATTAAATCAAGCCAAATAAGAGTAAGCTCATTTGATTGACATGCTTAAGAAAAGAAAGGAAGAAGCTGAACAATTACACTTAGGATTGGAAGAGGCACGCAAGGAAGCTTAAGCAAAAAAGAATATAGTTGAAGATAATAGAAGTATATGATTGATAATATTTTAGGGACATTGCTTAGGTAATAGGATTTATAGGCATCATTGGAAAATTTGTAGAGAGATAACTTAACATTGACTCAGAAGGTGAATTCATTGAATAATGAACTCTCAAGGAAACAAA